CAACCGTCTATATACAGTCTGTACGTACCCTGCTGGCATGAGACATCAGAATTATACATTTTATTTAGAGTGACTTCTTAAACATCTTTAATAATAAGAATTTTAAGAGACTATGACGAAGGGCTGACATTGTGATGGGCCTTCATATAAAAGTAAAGTTAAAGCATTTATTTCAATTTTACTTTTCAAATCTGTCAAAAGTTTAGAACCCTATCGAATCCTCCAGTGTTTTAAAAATGGTGAGTCTTTAAACGTAGTTTAGTATTCCAGTCATTCCAGACCACTCGCTCAGTTGATTTTGTACTTAATAGCTAGGGGTGCATTATTGAAATGAAAATACATACGTGGAAATAGCCATTAGGTTCATTTTAACAATATTTTGGTACCTAACAACCTAAACATTGAGCTTTCTTTTTTTTTTGATGGGGAAAAATCATCCAATGACTTCTCCCGCCTTGGGTTAGGCGAGAGGGAGTTTCAGACTCTTACTGACTAACCGGTTAGGCCTTCTGCGACTCCGTATCAGTCATCAGCCCTACTGGGTCTCTCTGTGGTGGTCTGATGGCTCTTTGAGCCGCGCGCGGAACGTGACGCGCCGTATGCACTGTTCTGTTTCTGTTTCTGGTTGAGCCGCGAGCTACCCTTGCTCGCCGTCCACATACCCGCACTACCTAAACATCGAGCTAAATTACCTATTTGGTAGTGACAGATACTGGTCTGTCATCAGCCGAAAACATAATAATTAAACTCGTAGGTCAGTACCTACGAGTTTAATTATTATGTTTTCGGCTTACTCACGTAACTGTTTGACGAGGAACTCGACTAGTTTAAAGCCATGCTAGAGGCTCATATTCGTGAGCAGCATTTCGCGACCCGCTACGCGTCGAATGTCACGCTGCTACTGTACGCGAGATCCATGATTCATTTCTTGACTAACACCATTTCTGTAAAATGTAAAGAAAGCAATCATTCGTTTTACGTACTAAACACAGACATAGCTAATTTCTTTGTCAGCTTTCCAATAGAAAGGCGAGACAATGGCGCAGACACTACTATTCATACCAAGGCTTACTTGCCAATGTGTATTCCTTCTTAGGGTGAACATATAAGGTTGAAAATGCTTTGTTATATAATGTGAAGTAACAGCTATTGTATAGATAGTAATAAGCCGGGTATTGAAGTAGGCTGCGAGGGCTCTCCGCCGGCCAGCGCCCTTGCTCAGCCCCTCGACCTAATGAAACGTAGACTACATCGGAACAACACGATTCTCCAGCACTTTTCCGCCTAGACGAGAAAAGCGTCCGTCTTGAAGATGTGCCTGTAGATATTTTACAAGATTTTGTAGCTAAACTTAATATTGACACGAGTAACGTTTTAAGTACAACCTGTGTTAGGTACATACATACATCGGTGGTCTTATTGCCGTTGACATTATTTTATTATTATCACTCTATTTAGTCCTTAGAATGGACAGTTAAACGACGTGGCAAACCTGGGTTCATCCAATCGGTCGATCTGGAAGGCTCTGGGTCAGGCCTTTCGCCAGTAGCAGAAGTGTTGTAGTCGATACAGGTTTTTAAGACAAAACTGAGACTATCAACATCAATAAAAAGGAAACAGGTAATAAGTAAGCTGAAGGTCGAGCTCAGTGGGCTGATGATGACAATGCGATATTCTTTATAGAGATAATTAGCCTTTGGTAGTTTCACAAAATGAAAGACGATATATTTTCTTCGTTGTTTTAATGCATGACAGAATGACAGATCTTACTACATGATCATGAACGCTATGATAGCTACCAATGGGTCGTAAGTAACAAGTCAACTAGCAAGGTAAACACATTTTAGAAAAACCTTAAATATAAAATAAAACGTCAACTATAGCGTTGCGAGAATATGGGCGTACATTTACGAACTACTGTTGTTACAAGATGGTATTGTTCTACCTAACACAAAAAATCATGCAAATAGATAAAACCACATTGCTTGTAAACTAATATTTTCTAAAGTGCTGCGCAACCATTTGCGCAAACAACTACAACAGTAACATTGTTTGCGCATATTGTGTAAATGTTGCAAGAAATATTCATATCAATTACGGGTTTTTAACAATTACGTATGTACTTCACATGCCTTACAACAAAGAAGAATTACTATAATTAATTTATGATATTCAGCTTCTTTTAATAGTATTATGCACTGCAACAGTAGTTCTTATACCCAGCCCACACGAATGTATAATAACAATTGCCTTAAATACAACAGAATACAGTTTACCTAATTAATTATGATTTTATTATGACTCATAATCTAGTTTTGCATAGACAGTGTAGAAATACTATGTCACTGATCAGTAAATTACGCATAATATACGTATAATTCGAAAATAAAACTCAGTCTTATAGTGCAAAACTAGGACGTAACACTACAACATAACGAAAAGTCTTGCGAAACCAATAATATTAATAACTGGAATTCATTTAAAAATAATATATTAATTAAAACATTCAATAAATAACAAAAAAAATTTAAAAATCACTCATATGGGATACAATTAAATAATAAGGCTTTACCGCTTCTAGATGAGCCGACAAATCACGTTTTACCTGAGTCAATGAGGGCTACCGTATTTTTGCTCACTAGGTGGCGCTAATGTGAACCTCGCAATTTTCATCCCATAGGGAATCAGCATTAGACGTTCAATATTTGACAGCTGTTGTGATTGGACAGAAGAACCTCTTCCTACCCCTTCCTACATTTACGCCACCTGCTGAGGAAAAATACAGTAGGTCCCAGTCAAATTGTTAATAATTATAATCGAATAATATTCAATATAATTTGCATCAATCAATCGGCTGGACAGGTTGACTCGCCTGTAGGAATCAATTTCGTCACACAAAATAACACAGTAGACAATATTACTTCTATACAGTCTATTTGTCGCGACGGCTTTATGCACCCGCGCAATGGAAGTTTAATATCATAATATGAAGGAATGTCACCAGTAGAAATTCTAAGAGATTACAAGATTAGTATCTTAGCGTTAATTTAACATACGGAAACTGTTTGCACAGAGATTTCCGACAGTGCCTAAATGTAAAAATCATGGTAACTACATCATTATATAATATGTCGTTTCATAGAACTTACATCAGATAATTGCATTGAATGTCTATCACTTTACGGAGTTACTTTCTATTGAATTAGAAAGAACAAACAACCAACATCAATTGACTGCACGGTTGGTGCGGTGGCTGGGCAACCGGCTGCCGTGCAACGTGTCGCGGGTTCGGTTCCCGCACGGAACAACACTTTGTGTGATCCACAAATTGTTGTTTCGGGTCTGGGTGTCATTGTGTATGTGAACTTGTATGTTTGTAAACGCACCCATGACACAGGAGAAAATCCTAATGTGGGGCAACGTTTTTTAACAATAAAAAAAAAAATATTGAACGTAACTGATCATAATTGCAAACATTCTAACTGAACTCCCCGTAAAGTGGACAGCTCCTCTTACAACCTAACATTGTTTACTCAATAGTAATCAAACAACAGATACAATATATTTCGTAAATACATTCGTTTCCCGAGTTACAGTAAGTGTTGATTTAGTAGTTTAGTGAAATACAAATTAGTGTTTTAGTAAGTACTTATCATAAAAATCGATTAAGCATATTTTATAAAGTTACCTTTAAGAATGTAAAATTAATCACGAATAGGGAATGTTTATGAGATTACACAAAGTAAATATCTTGAGATAAATTTACCGAGATTACAAATATTCACGTGCATAATAATGCAGTATAAATATAAATGAGTACTTGGATAAAAATTGGAGGCTCCTCCAATAACAACGCAGGCTGTACGATTCGATATCAAAATAAATAATATTTATCACCTCGTATATTGCCCTCCTTACAAGATACATGTGACTACACAATATACATCATATATTATTTGAACCTTAATTTAACCTTACTTCAGATAAACGCTACAAATATTAAAGCAAATGTAATCGTCTACATTCTGGGAATGTACCGTTTATAAAACAGTATACCTATTTATTTACAACAGAAATTATAAAAATACATTATGATCAATTCAAACGATAATTACATTTCTCTACGCTACATTAAGCTACAACATCAAACAAAACAAACATTTAAAATTGATATCTTTGGAAGAACAATGACAGCCACATACAAGCGAAGCAGCAACACTCGCGCCCTCTCGGACCTGCGGCGACACCCGCTACTACAGCCAATGTCACGTGGATTGTCCGGTACGTTACGCTATGTCTTCGACTCTTTGGCAATGTCAATTTACAGTTACGGGGTCTATACAAGTCATTCTTAAGGAATATAGTTACGTTTGGAACAGGACTAACAATCAGTCCCTCGGTTGACTGGCTTCATTAGTGAGACAAACGTTGCTTTTAATATGTAATCATCACTGGCTTCCATTGTAAAATAGTTCTAAGAACTACATCAGTCACTAAATAAGTTACAAAGTATTGCTATTGATACGGGTCAGATATGAAGGGATCATGATAAATTGTTAACATCACAGATACGTCAGTTACAAGAGATTCGATGAGAAAGATGTTATGTGGAAACTACTACTGTTATACATGTTAATATAACACTAGGAAGGGGTGATGTAATAGTTACAATTACAAGAGATATTCCAAAGAATCCTACAGCTGACTCACATTATAAATCGTGGTGTATTTATGTGCATTCTCACATTAAATTCATATCATATGTAACGATTTAGTTGTGAAAAATCACATAAAAATTCGAAGTAAAACTCTTCGCTGCCACTGTAAAAGGTAACATTCCGGTTGAAATATTAAGCATTCCGCCACTTTCACGGGTGTAGTACGAGTACAGTCGCGATCTATATAGAGATGCGACGACAGTCCTAAGGAAAAATTGAGGGGAGAGATTAGGCCACGTAGTTTAGTGGCCCGGGCTCGGCGGGCGCGGCCGCGGGCGCGGGCTATAGTGGCGGCGAGGCCGGCTCCGCGCCCAGCGAGTGCACGCGCGCCGACAGCAAGTTGTGCAGGATGAACACTGCAGGCTTCGGGCTGCCCTCCATGTCCAGCTCCTGGGGGGACATCGTGCGTTCTTACTATACTGGACCTCATTAGACAAAAATATCAAACCGGGCTCTGCAAGGGCAGGGCGACGTCTTTATAAATTAGTGGACGTCTTGTGGCTAATGAGGATGACATTGAAAGTACTCACAACAGTGTCGTCATCAGCGAAGTGTAGCCAGAGCGCGGAGCGGTCGTCGTCGGCGGAGGCGCGCAGCGCGTGCAGCGGGCGGCGGTAGAGGGCGCGCGCGCCGCCGCGGCCCAGCGACCCCGCCGCCTCCCACACGCACACGCCGCCCGCGCCCAGCGACAGGCGCGCGCACGCGCCGCGGAAACGACATCCTGGGGTACCAACATATTCATATAAGCTAATATTTCATTATTTCTTCTACGTTCTGCCAGTAGCTTTCGAAAACCACCCGAGTGCTAATCTGACTTTAGCTGACATGGTTACTTTTTCCTTTAACTCGCTATGTTATTAGCAACAAGCAACAAGCAAGTAATAAAACTCACGGAAGGTAAACTCGGGCATGGCTCGCACGGCGTGGTGCGCTCCGTCGACTAGTGCCCCGGCCACGGCGGCCAGGTCGTGCGGCGTGTCAGCCCGGAGCGCGCGTACGGCGAGGCCGGCGGGTGTCCCGGCGCGGAGCCCTAGGGCTGCGGCCCCGCCCGCCGCGCGCCGCCACCACGCCAGCCGTGTGGCCGCCAGACCAAAGCACTCCGCGGGGGCACACCACGCCTCGCCAGACCAGGGCGCCGCCTCGTACAACCTGAAATATAATCACGTTACTCTCGTGTCGATGTATTAAAATATCGAACGTATCTTCAAAAGACTTCATAACGTAAAAGGTTTACCAAAAGCATGCACCATTTATGTCTTCTTTCTAATTCAAATATTATGTCATAAGTCTGTTTACAATGAGTTATCCCAGTGAACAAAGATGATGTAATGGTTATGATGTCATATCAACAAACACTGGAGTCCAAAGTCTAGACAACAAGCTATCATGTAGGTAACACATTAAGATAAAGATTTTGGTAAACTTAACATACCTAATTTCGCGGTCGGTTATAGCAACAAAAGTGGGTTGCCAGCCATCTGCCTCGTCGGAGCTGTCTGAACCGCCAGATGCACTCATCTGTAAAGATTTAAAGACCTCTTTCAATAAACAAACAACCAAATTACGTATGTATGTAACTATGTAGAAGACTAAATAGCAGATGGTTATCTTACATGATCCTGTGGAGGTCGCCTAGCCAGCCAACCGGCGTATCGTACATCTCCCAGTAGCGGCCGCAGGCGAGGCCGGGCGCGTGCCAGCGCGGCCCGCGCCGCCCGGCGCACGGCGGCGTGCAGGGCGCGGTGCCAGCCCGTCGCCCCCTGAGCACTGCTCGCTCGCAACGCTAGAGCGTGCACGCCGTCCGGCGAATAAATCTCGATTGTTCTCTCCTCTATAAGCAGATATAAAAGATTTATTGATATGGGAATGAATCAAAATAATAAGTGGCATACTCTGGATCTATACCTATTGCAAGACATTAAGTTGAAAATTTTCAGCACTAAAAGCTTTCTAACTTTTAGAATGGAAGTAACATTAATAATTGAATTTGAATTAAAAACATTGCATTCCATTAGGCTTGTGCTAACATTCAGCACTGCGTCAGAGTTGAATCTAGATCTTGATATATATTTCAATGAAACAATTATTTTATTACCTGGATCTCGATGACGTAAGTTTTTGGCGATGCATGCCATCAACAATGGTACATAGCGAGTGTCGGCACGCCGGCGACGTGGTGATGGAGGTGAAGGTGGTACGTCTGCCATGAAACCTCGCTGCAACTCCCATCCTACTTCACTGATGATTGACGCCTTCCTGAAGTACGGAGTAACCTCACGGAGGTACTTAACTGAAAGTAAAGTGTACTGTAGTGCAGTAAGAGAAGTACTGGCTGCAGTAAGATAAGTGTTGAAGACAAATCTTGATGCACATATTACCATGTATAACACACTCAAACAACTAAGTTAAGGCATATAATGCTACAAGTTTCTTTTTGAAGTTTAATTCCTGATATAAATGGTTATTTATATCAAAATATTTACTGATTTCTATTTATTTAAATAATACACATTTTTATAAAAACCTCTATCTTACTTCAATTTGATTGACCTCAAATAAACTAATGTTGTTTTTAATTAACTAATCTAGTAAATAAAGAAACATTTATGTAAACAATATCTATTTATCTTTTATACTTAAACTCAAAAACTAAGCTAAGTTTTATTATTTTATATTTATTTATTTAGTTCTTCTGCACATATAGTACAAGGCGGAATTATTTTTTGGTTAAGAATATCTTTATTTCTCATAAAGAATCATATATATACATAATTCGCTTACTGAGAAACAATATTTAACACAAAAGTAAGCAATTTAGGCGGACTTAAACTGTCAAACACCAAGCGGTCACCGGTGACCGCGACCGCGACCTATTGTTCTTTAATTGTGTCTATAAAACCGGTACTCAAAGAGTTAATGCCTAGGGCGTTCTCTGACATCTGACATTAACTATGTTAGATAAATTATTTATTTAATCCTAAGCATCTATGGACTTGGACACAATCCACAATATCAATTATGTATATATTTTCCAAATATTCAAACACCACTCAATTACTTAAGTATAGTTCTGTTACTACAAAATTTTTGTAAAATGACAGAGATGGCACAATATTAAAGTACAACTTCAAATCGAGTAACCTTTCAGTATTAGGGGCTATATCTTAATAGTTTATACTTATTTACAAAATTAAATTGAAATGACTGGTTCTAATTGAAATATCGAATCAAACTAAAATAAATTCTCAGCATTGGCAGTGGCTTTATATTTTTATAGCTACCACTAGATGCAGCCCTGAATAGTTCAATTAGCAGGTCAGCTTCACTGAATGGGTGTAATTAAGGTCAATATAGTTAGCCTATGCTTTGTAACTAGCCATGTGTGTTAAAACTACTGCATTCTATTCTAGTCACTCATGAATCATATGAACACACTCACCTTCCAATTGTACCATTTTTCCAGCTCTTTTCAAAGCTTTCACTGCCTCCTCATGTGTGGCATCCTTCAGATCCTCACCATTCACAGATAGTATAGCATCACCAACATATAACTGCTCTGTAAGATCAGCTGCCATGCCCTTGAATATCTTTGATATCAGTATAGGCATATTATTTTCTATGCCACCTTTTATTGATATTCCCAAACCATTATTGTCCGACTTCACCACTTGTACTAAACGTTTCTGATTCGCAATAGCTTCTGGAACTTCCGTGAAGTCACTGTTTGGTGTCTCCACGTTGTTGTTATTCAAGGTGCCGTTCAACGTGGTCGTCGCATCGTACCCATCATCGAGACATACGCTCAAGTAATCCTCTTCCAGCGTACAATGCACACGATACCAGACGCCGCGCACTAGCGTCTCCAGCAAGCCTGAACGTGAACATGTTGCACTGGGGCTGTCACTACCCCCACTGGAGGCTCCGTTCTCCACCATCGTTTCTCTTGTTTTCACAACAAACAAGAAAAAACCCAAGAGCTCACGATTTTATTAAATTCATTCACGATATTTCTGAGGTCACAGATATATCTCACTTCATTTTATATTTAAACATTGACTACTTACAGCTACATAAAAACAAAAACGCACTTTATTAAATTATCATGACAAAATACGAATTTATTGCACAATCGATAGGTACCTATACAATTTTGACAGCCCGTACGCCCCTGTCGCGTATGCCACAGATGACAGTAGAAAACATACCATAGATGAAAATAATTGTATTACTCCACAGATACTTTATCATATCAGTGCATTATTTAGAAATAAAAGTAAGAGCGTTTTAATTAATAAAAGAAAAGTTTATTATACTACCAAGGCTGTTGAACAACGTCCTTGTGTACTACAGCCAATCTTGGCCAATCTTTCACAAAATAAGAGAAAGGTGGGGGCAGAGGTATGGGTACAGGATACTGCGCCAAATCGAATAAAGAATTATTAAATCACAAACACTATTAGTATTAATTATTATCTTTCCGCTTATTCATGTAACTGTTCGACGAGGAACTCGATTAATAAACCATCATCCTAGTAAATCTCCAATATTCACGTATAGGATCGGTCTGTCGTTTTTATTTGAATCGCATCAAACACTTTTTAATGCAATGGAATATAATGATTTATACCAGAGGTTCCAAATTTATTTCGTCTCAACACCCACTTTGAAAATCAGTTATTTTAATTTCAGTGAATTTTAAAACATTTTTGAAGTAACTGAAGCTGTGAAGTATTAGCTATCGCCCCTAAATCAGCATACCCCGTTTTTTTTTTCTAGGTCCCTCACCACCCACTCTGGATCTCCAGCAACAGGGGGCGTTGTCGCCCATTTAGGAAACACTGATCTATATCCTTCTGTCCTCTATATTTATTTTGCTTGCTGTGTACACTTACAAAAAAAGCTTGAATCAGAAAACAGACAAAAATTTTACTTCTTCCAAGAGTTCATATTGTAAAAAGTATGAACTCATGCGCTAATTATGAAGCGCCACCGTAGCAAGATGGTAGGTTAAAAGACACCTTTATTTGCTTAAAGATTTTTTGCATACCATAAGATTTGCTAAATCAATAAGTTTGTTGTGTATGTACCTATAATCTTATTGCTCATAACTGCTATGACCCCCAGTCGTGACTCACAAAGTCACAAGTCTGATTTTGATTTACAGAAGTTATACATGAAAAATTGTAATATAAAAAACGGGGGAGTTGGGTTTTACTGATACCACTCGTTTTTATCGATCGATTTGCGAGACGCAAACGAGGGTGATATGTGTTCTTAAATAATAATAAATTAAGTATATAAAACTTTTAAAAATTATTTATTATAGAAATACAATTTACATCTAAGTAAGAAACTAAGTGTATCACATACAAACAAAAAGTCTTTGGCTAGTACAGGAAGTACTAAATATAAACATTTATAAAAAAAAAACTTTATAAAAATGGATAACCGGTAAAATTTCAAAAAAAGAAATTATGTAGGTAAGTATAGGTAAACAATAAGTTATTCTTAATTTATACTTAGGTTACGATTAGGTACTAACAGGCAAGCGTCATGTGCTACCAACATATCACAAAGGAGAAAAATGCTGCTTTCTTGCTAAAACAATATTTATTGGAAGATCATCTATGATGAGTTGGTAACACATGCTTTAAAAACAAACTGCATACAATGAGATCGTATTCTAGAGTTGCCAGTATTAACGCCGGATTTCGTTATGTAATCATTTCGAGTAAAAATGTCCAGTTCGTGAAGCTTAAAATTTCTAAAATAAGTACAATATTGACAATTGTGTAGTTGATATTTTCAGTCAGTCTTATAAGCTAATACAACATTAGAATTTTGAAATACTTATTTACTTGGAACACACACTGCTTCAGACACCACTTACACATTTTATTACAATAAAATGTTTTAACTATTTTACAAGCAAAAGTACAATGGTCTAAAAGGCAATTCAAATATAACGCCGGAATACTAGAAGGCTACTCAATTTTAAGCAGTAATTAAAATAACGTGTCTTCTCTGTCATTATACAAAGATACATTTGTAGTGACGGTACTATACTTAAAATTGAGTGGCGTTTCAGTATTTGGATATAAGTAATTTGCACTTCCCTATGGCAAACAGAGTGAAAATAACAAATGTGTGTACAGATAATAAATCACTTTGGAAGTACATACCTATTCTGTCTAAAAATATTCAATTAAGTAATAGAGATCTAACTAGACAGATTATGTACTTGAATGCCTACTAAAGTTTTAAAAAGAAAGGTTCAACATACATACAATATAAGTACGACCCCTCTCTAGTGCAATATAATAAGTAAAAAATGAAATTAATTTAAAATTTATAACTAGTAGCTTGGATTAGGCGGGGTATTTTTAGCTGTTGTAGGTACAATTTTAGTAATAGATTTCTCTTACTAGTTACACATAATGAAACATAAAAAGGCAGACATTTGAAATTACAATTGTAACTAATTCATTTATTACGCAACATTAATAACATTATTTATGCTAGGGATGTCAGCTATGTATATTATGACAAGCCGTAACTATCAAACATATCCCAAATTATATTGTTCAGTAGCTAAAAATGCATACCATAAAATAATCTAAAATAAATAATAATTGACAACAAAATAATAAACTCTTAACTCTATTACGGTTTTACTTGGACTTATAACTAAGTAAATCTATAAGATAAGTAAAGCCAATTGAAATATTATGTACTTATTTTCATTGTACCTCTGTATTCAAAACTCATTAAGGTACTCCCATTTACATATAGTACACAACCATTATTAAAACTACACCTTATATAAGTTTGTAAAATAAAGGAACTAATAGGAAATAGTAATCATAGAATTATATTAATTACTCCAAGCAGTTATCTGTTACAAACTAAACATACTTGGCAGTATTGTGTCAGTAAAACGAAGGCAGGCAAAATTGTGACTTAAAATTCGAATAATGTAACAAAATAGTAACAAAAACAACTAAGTGTCATGAATCATCGAGCATCGATTATACATCTGTGATTCGACGGAAGTGGCTTACACAGTCACATAATATGAAGACTAAAATGTTACAAAAACTACCTCTTTTTACAAACCTAACTTAAACTAACTTCTTATTTAATTGTAAAATGCATAAAGCATCAAAGTAAAACATGTCGAACATTAGCTATCTATTGTACCATGGAGTACACAAATGAAGTGTAAATACGCAATAAAGCAAGTCAACTTGTATAGTGAACATACAGCTATTGCGACAGAGCGAAGATTTTCGTTGCGTACCTTATCATTCCATTTATAAACACTCCGTGATTTGTACCATCGCACCATCTTTTAAATTTCGTTACCAAATTGTGAGTTAGGTAATATCCTAACCACTGTATCTTTCGTACCTACTTTCTCTGTATCGATGAGCGATCCCGAGCTGTGTTTCTTTGTCTTGGGAGCAAGAGGTGGCACCTCACTACAAGTGGAACAATTATCATCTGTAACTTTAGAGCTAGAACCTGCAGCGCTGAACTTTTTCAGGCTACCCGTGGCCAGGGAGCCATTAGATGATGAGCAGTGTGGTGGTAGTAAAGGTACCCTCTCCTGCAAGTCTCGGCTGGAACCCGAAGGTCGGTTTCCAAAACCACTGCTTCCGGCCTCAGAAGCTGCGATTTCTGGACACCCACCCATATTTATCCATTCTTGGATCCTGGAATAATAATATTACATATTCAAAAAACAGAATTTGTGTACTGTTTACACGAGCGAATTTGAGATGAACTGCTACTAGATATTACTACGATTATTTTCTAAAATGTCAGACTTGGATAACCCTTATGAGAATCGAAACCTATACTTAAATACTTCCCGAGAGTATGGCGCGTCGCGTTCCGCGCGCGCCTCAAAGAGCCATCAAACCACCACGGATGGGGCCCAAGAGGGCTGATGCCGATTCGGAGTCGCGGAGCACCTAACGGGTTACCGGGGTTCCGGCTCGACGTACAGAAGAAGGAACGGGGTGGTTTTTAGTCACTACGAGTCTGACACTCCCTGCCGCCTCACCCAGGCGGGAGCAATAATTCGATGATTATTCTCCTTAAAAAAATACTTATAACTTACCTATTAACAATTTCCTCGAAGTTAGGTCTCCTTTGCGGCGTATGCTTCCAACAGTCCCTCATGAGTGTGTACATTGGTGCCGGGCAGTTCGCTGGAGCCGCAAGTAGCTCGCCTCCACGCACCATCGATATGACTTCTTGATTGCTATATCTGTAAAATGAAAGAAATCGAAATAACAATAAGTATTCAATATTCAATTATTCATGTATGTAAATTAGTCCATAAATAAGTCATTATTTTCTTACCCGTAATATGGCTGCAATCCATAACTGTATATTTCCCACAATACTACTCCATATGACCAAATGTCGCTTTCTGTTGTGAATTTACCGTAGAGTATGGACTCTGGTGGCATCCACCTTACTGGTAGTAAACTCTTTGACTGTACCTGAAAAATAAATAGTTTTAAAAACATTAGTCCAAAGTTTCCATTGACTGAAACAGTTAGTCATAATGCAAATCGATTTGTATCAATACCTTGAATAAGTGAAAGGAATGAAATAAAATAAAATTATACATGAGTGCATTTCGCAAAATTCCAATGTGCGTGATGTTCTAAGATCATCGATAGATAAGTAGCATAAAATATTCGCGCAATGTAAAAATATTGCATGCTATGCATTCATGGCAATCAGTAACTATTAATTACATTCTTTATTCATGCATACACATAATGCACGTCAACATAATTATGGTGACATTGTAGTTTCTAATAACAAAGATAAAAATACTCACTCTATAATAATCTGAACTGTAGATATCTCTGGAAAGACCAAAATCAGATATTTTGACAATAAAGTCGTCAGAGACAAGACAGTTTCTAGCTGCAAGATCCCTGTGGACATAATGATGGGAAGCAAGGTATTGCATCCCAGATGCAATGTTATTTGCGATGTTTAGCAATCTCATAGGTGGCAAACCTTTCCCAGAAGGTGGCGCACGCCCCATCAGAAACTCGTGGAGATCGCCTCGCGCCATAAACTCGAACAACATACACAAAGGTTCTTCTCTCAATGCTACACCAACAATACACACAATGTTATCATGAGTTAATTCAGATATCAAGTCTATTTCTCTTCTGAAATCTGCCTGTGTTTTAGCTGAAGCATTCTCTTTCAATGCCTTGACAGCAACAAACTGTGTTTCACCATTCTTTTTCAGAGCTCCTTTGTAGACTTTACCAAAAGCACCTTCACCCAATTCTTCCAAGAATTTAATTTGTGATAGAGAGTATTGAGGAATACGAAGCACTCCATTGCCTCTAGTGTTTCTGGTCAGGTGAGGCTGATTGGCTATATTGTTGGTCAGGAGTTCACTCATTTCTATTGGTGAATTAAGTCTAGAATTGCCATAGATGTTTTTATCAGCATTGGGTAAATTAATATCTCTAATTGTTGAAGCATTGTTCTTATTTTTATGTCTGTAGCACAAACAAATAATAAATCCAATAATTGTAAGAGTCAACAGAAGAAAAACTATGACAATGTAAATCCAGATTTTGTGAGCGCATTTTGGAATATCACAGAGCTGCTTATCTGTTTTACCATCCTTCTCAATGATGCACCAGGGCTGCTCTTTAACACCTCCAGGATTTCTACAATAACTGTGTGTACCAGCAAGTTCAGGATAATCTGACAATCTTACATGTAGTTGTTTAGACCACTCAATGCAAGGCATGCCATTATTTGCTATATTAACTCGCCCTAAGTATCCGCTTCCATTTTCCCAGTAACATTCATCATCAGATACCATTACTGCTCCAATACTAATTCTCAAACAGTCAGGATCATTTTCAGGAAGGTCTTGGCATTCCTCTAGTGTTAACTGCTGTCCTATATGTGGATGCCTCTTAGCTATAGCATACTCTTTCTGACAAAGTTCATTTTCCAGTATCTCACAATCTTGTTTACAGACCCTTCGGAGGACTGTGGAGTTATAACGGAAATCAAACATTGATGCAAATGAACTATTGGAATCTGTGTACATACTGGGTAGTTTGCCAAATGGCAAATTTTCAAACACAATTTCATGTAAGTCATTATCATTAATTTTAATTGCAGGATCAGACTGAAGAGTAAACAGTTTTCTAGCTTCCCTGAAGAACTTACTGTTGGTAACAAAAGGATCTCTACAGATAGGAAATGTTGAGTAACAGAGACTGGGCACGGCATAGCCCTCACAGCGAGGACTTATATCATTTGAATATTTAGTAACTTGGAATGCTTTCAGCAGTTTATCCTCAAGAGCATCCTGGCTAGTATTGTAAGGTATATATACAAATTGACCCTTTAAATGTTCTGCACACACATTTCCTAAATATTCTTGGCATATCGGTTCCAACTTTTTTGGGTCAGTGGAATTGGTATTGTTTAGTGTTTGTATATTTTCTGATGATAGACCTGGAGTGGACTGCACATTAATATCCAGCTGGCTGTAGATGTCAGTGTTTGGGAACAATGAGGTATATGTAGGAATCTCATAGTTTTCAATACCTTGTTCAATCTTTAATTGTGATGTCTGTCTCTTCTCATAATTTTGTTTAATTACACAAGTATAGTTGCCTTTGTCACTTACAATCAAGTCCTTAATTCTTAAATTTGTACCTATTGTGCCATTGCTCTTATCAATCTTGGTGGTTATTTTGATTTTTTGAGTTGAGTTATCATCAATTATTTTACTGTCTTTCAACCAATATACTTTAACATTCTCCAATAGTTTCTGCTGTATGTGATCAGGGGGAGCTTCTTTTAGCAATTTTACCTCACCTTCCCTATTTTTAGTGTACTTCTCCACCTTTGTATAATTCATGATCGCCTCACATTTGAAACGTACATCACTCTTCGGTGCCCTGGTGATGACGGCTGGTAAAGTTTTTGAGAAGAAAATGTCAAGTTTTATATTCCATACTTTCTGCTCCGATGTTGAGTTTGACTTTAGCAATGAGATAGAATCTGTTCTGTCCGATCTTGCACATTTAATAACACACAAATATAAGCACAAAACAATAAATACACTGCAGTGTTTCATGACTAACACTTCCCATAACACCGATGCCTATCTTAAATTTTAAATTATCGCTTGTATCTAAAATAAATAATGCAATTTGTTTGCGTAGCACAAGAAAATATGAACTTATTTAGCTGAATGTCGTGTTTAAGTTACATATTTACAGGAAAATATATGTTTCTAAATAAAATCACTGGCAATTACAAGTGACAGCGAAACAACACCAACCAACCACTATGACAATCTAGGGTTGCCAACGTAAAATATCCATTACTGTCAATTTAGTTTTTTTTTCTTTTGTGTTTTTTATGAAACAAACATTTTTTGCATTTTTATTGTTATTTCTTCAATATCAGTAAAATTGAATTTTGCATTGTTTTGTAATTCATATTGTTTATCCATCACTACTATATCTTCCTTATTCGGTTCCTGACTTTGAATGACGGTTGCAGTTTACATTGCAGTGGAATGCTATTGTTTGCTGGGCATTAGGTAGATATCTTACTGGTTACTCCACTAGCTAGTTAGTAGTACAGTAGGTACTTGTTGTACTTATACAGTATGCAAAAAAGAAACATTTGCTTCCTTCTCACATTTTGTTTATTCTTTATTACAATAAAACAACCCCTTTTAAAATTTTACTTAAGTAGGTACTTATTTATTTCAAAATGTAACTTGCAACATTACAATAAATACCTATTATTTTGGCCCTTTTTCCACATGTATACAGCAGTAATTAATAAAATCGTGTATTTTAAAAACTATTTTGTTCCAACTCTTCTTCTATTTCCTCCCTGAGAACTAGTCCTCCAAGAAGTGAAGAGTCAGGGGGTAGCCACTCGCAACTAGTATCCTCCGATGAACATGCCTGCAAATAAGTATTACATAACATCAATGTACTTTATTTCTTAACCAGCCATATTTTGTATTATCTAATTTCATGAAAACTCTTAACAATGGCCTATGTAGGTACCAATTCAGAGTAGGTAAATACTAGATATTCGCAACTAATATCATTATTAGTGTAAAAACTTCTTTGTGCACAATATCAGTATCGTGAAGAAACTACAATTTAAGCTACAATATATTTTCGGACCTGACATCTGCAGGAGGTAGCTTCAACGTAGTGGTAAATATCAGTACCGGGTTGTACCCCGGGGTCGCAGTGACGCAGTTTCACTGAAGCGTGCTTACGGTCCCCATGCACGCACACAGGGTGATGGGACTGTTTGTACGGAAACTGCCAGTCGGAAATCTGTAAATTGTGAACACCTTTGTTATACTTAGTTGTTGCATGTCGACTGATTTAAGGTCATAGGTAAAGAAGTACAATACCTTTTACCCAAAAGCGTTAAATATTAACATCGACTCTAACTGATTTAAGAACGAAAGTTGATCACACTAGGACTTTGTGCATAAACAAACGTAGTAATTCGGAAACACAGACACACCATACCTCAATAGAGGTAATCGCAACAATTTAATAATCACAGAAATAATTCTTCAGTTTGGAAATAAAACCCGTGACACGTATTTACACAACAACTGGTTAGGACAATGGCTGAACAATCGGTTGCAGTGTAGATGTCACCAAATGCTATTATTCGCAAATCCCAACAAATTGGTGCCCGTTATTCCCCTTAATGTAATGTAATGTTTCCTTAGGTACCTACCTCATAAGAAAGACAGTATCCTCCACAGCCAGTGATCTTGACATCATCCCAGCACCGTCTTCCATTGAGGTCTGTCTGCATAGCCTTGTGCGTGTGACGTTTGACCTTGCAGCGTCCCGTCAGAGAAGCACCCGTGCACATCAGCGCCCAGCAACAGAACACCAGTGTCACCGTCGTAGCACTCATACTCCTCACGAGACCAGACATCATTGACACTGGAATTATTTTTTATCAATTTCAACACCTGTCGTTTGCATCTTGAGATGCAAAGAAAACTTGACTTCAAAGCTTTCTATATAAAAAAAAAATATTTATATGAAGAATGACACTGATTCTAAAGCTCTTCCCAAACCTTGTTCGAAGCTGGATGCTGAACTGTGTGCCGAAAGTCCATCGCAAAATGTTTTTATAAAGGAACGAAGTGGACGTCACGGCATTTCTTTCAGTTCGCTTCACATAACAATAGAGCACGAACCATTAGCCCCGCGACAGTGCCGTTAAGCTGGATAAAAATAAAGAAGAATCGCCTCTTAGAATACATAACATTTGCATATTTAATTTAGTGCCATTAGCAGTAAGCCGAGACAGTTTCTTCTACGTAAAACCTACCTATATATACATATATATGTATGTACATACCTAGATAATATAAGCTACGAGCTTACGTCTGGACGCATAAAGCAAATACATTTGCAAATAATATACATTATTTTGCTTCATGTCTGGACGACTGGGCTTTCCAATCTCTACAAAATCTCCCAGCAATACATACAATGTTCGATATGTTAGGTTACCTAGGTAGGTATACCTAAAGCTACTTTTATAATAGGTACCTATGCAATCAAGGTACCTAATTTAGCCTTTTCTAGGTACAAATTACATACTTTCTGTATGTTAAAAGTCACCCAAATAAAAATGATGTCCAGATAAAAATAAGACTAATAAATAAACAGCACCTTACTAATAACGAGATTTCAAGTTGACCCAAAAAAGTCATTAGAAGCGGTGGCGCAGAAAAAATTGGCTCATTTGTGCGAGGTTCTGTCCCCGCTTGATGACTGCGTCCTTACCAAATTTAAAGTTCGTACTAATTGCATTGCATTCCTCATACTCACTCCATGTCCATGTCCATAATTATAATTAGGTAAGTACATACATCAATCTCTGTAACTCACCGACATAAATGCGTATGGCAGCTTTTTAATGTCAACACGCTTTAACACATTTCGGCAAAATAAAATAAATTTGATTTATTAGATTTTATAAATTAAATACCCAATTATTTATACAGCCGTTGATTTTAAAGTCAGTCGCAAGTTACTTAAAGTTTATGACCCCTTGGCATTTTCAATGGAGACTTAATTTTATTGAACGTGAATCATATTCGTTGTGAGAGAACTGAGAGAGCAAACTCGCCCAAAGCGAAACGACCCGTGCATTCGTCATTTTGGTGCAATTTACAAGCATTGTGTTTATCCCTATTCGCCAGCAGTGTCCTTTCAACGAGCGCTTTTGCAAAGTGGAGTTACCGCCAGGCAGAGTGGCCTACAGTCACACTATTGTGTTTTCGTAAGCTTAAATTATTAACATACCCCTTACTTAACGTATCTCTACCTAATATTTGATGTCAAGTGTCTATCTAAGTTTAGTTCAAGTCCAGGGTGTGCCCAAAATGCACAATATATTATATACATAGGTAGATTTTTATTATCTTGTAATACTTATCAAAATATTCAGCAACCATTAATTTAACACTGCCTCGTTGGCCGAGTGGTCGCAATTGTGCGGCAAGGGATCTCGGGTTCGATTCCCGGGTCGGGCAAACTACTACAGGGTTTTAAAAAAAAATTCACTAGTATCACGGAGTCTGGAATTGTGCCCGGTATATGGCAATAGGCTCACCCCCCTATGACATGGGACTCATAACATAAATAGTGAAAAGTGGGTGTTATATTGTCCAGTGGCATAATGTGCACCTCTGCCTACCCCTTCTGGGATAAAAGGCGTGATGTTATGTTGTGTGTATTAATTTAACAAAGGCAAGCACTTAGACTGCACTTGTTCTGAAAGTGACTGCTGCGCAACGCGTCGCGGCCGCGGGTTCATTATTACCGTATGGAACAACTGTTTGTGTGATCCACAGATTGTTGTTCCGGGTCTGAGTGTGTATGTAGTGCATGTGAATGTGAACTTGAAGAGAAAAACCTATTTTTTTTAAACGTTGCTCACGTATGAAAAAACCTAGGTTAGATGACTACTCACTTGTTCGTAATTAGAATCACGCCGAATTAGCCCGGTGTTCCATAATGAAAAGTAAAACCATTTTGAGAAAATATTGATCATTACTGTCCTGTGTGAATCTGGTTCACTTGTTTAAAGTTGAACAGATTAGATACGCGAATAGTGGTTGCAGCTCGTTTGCCCTAGTAAAGCTAACAATCGGCAAATAATGGAAATCCCTAAAAAGCTTTCGATACTATTGGTCAGGGCTGTCCAAACTGTATACTCTCGCGGGTTAATGGTCATACTTATGTAAATCAGTGAAAGTTTAACTACAAAGTGTGATACCTAAATTAGGTGTCTATCTAAAAGTCAAGTAATTTACGTTATAAAAGCGGTAAGTAAATAGTTACTTACTAGATTTCTTTTTGCAACAATTATGTTTTTTGCAAAGAATTGTTGATTGAAGAAATTGGTAGAGGTAAAATATCTAAAAATCAGGACTTCATTATTTTGGAAAATGCATTAATTTTGTTATGCCCACGTTATTGGAACTAGGCACATACTTAATTCATTAAATCCATATAATTATGTTTCGTGAATATACAGTATTATTATTATTGTGATTTATAAAATAGTGTTTGTTACTGAAAGTTTGGTCAGCTGAAAATTACCTACATAAGTAAAAATAAACTAGTAATTAATAGTATCATCATCATCATCATCATCAACAGCCTATAAATGCCCACTGCTGAGCAAAGCCTCTTCTCACACGGAGAAGGTTTGAGCATTAATCACCACGCTTGCTCAATGCGGGTTGGCGATTTCAAACTTATAATTAGAAATTATAAGTCCAGGTTACCTCACGATGTTATTCCTTCACCGTTTGTCAATGGTGTCTAAATAATCTTAGAAAGTACATATAACTCGGAAAAAGTCACATTGGTACTTGCCGTTGGTAGGTTTCGAACCTGCACCCTCATGCGTAAGAAGAAGTCTTAAACCTCCGGGCCACCACGACACGACAATTAATAGTAAATACATAATAATTTAGATAATGTGGGAGTTTCATTAAATTAGTAAGTAATTGTAAATAAAATATTATTTTTTTAGTCGATTATTTGATAAAATTTTGTATTATTGGCATAAAACAATAAAACAGTACCTATTAACTAAAAAAGAAGAAAACGATAGTTTTTTATTCATATTTTATGGCTAATTCATATATTTTTACGAAAAAGTTGCCAGTCGTTTATTAATTCTAGCTATAGAACTATGGAATAAAACCTTTTTTTTGCTTATGAAAGACACTAGACCTACTACCTAATATACTTAAATAAGGGCTATCTGACATTCGTATAGTTTTTGTATTTATTTATTAGATAAGAAATAAAATCTCAGAAGGTTGTTTCTGTTTTTACAGATTTATTAACCTAAGCCAAATTTTTATGAAAGGAATGAATGAGTAGGTACTTACTAGAGTTAAAATATTTTTCAGGCGGCGGTGTCACCGGTGACACCTCGCTCTCCCCTAACTACATTACAGACCTTATTTCCAATGTATAGAGACTACTTTTGAATGAATAAATTTAAGGGATGATTTTCAACGGGTTAAATTAGTAAGTAATTGTAAATAAAATAATATAATTTTAGTCGATTATTTGATAAAATTTTGTATTACTGGAATAAAACAATAAAACAGTAGCTATTGACTAAAAAAGTAAAAAACGATAGTTTTTTATTCATATTTTATGGCTAATTCATACATTTTTACGAAAAAGTTGCCAGTCGTTTGTTAATTATAGCTATAGAGATAACGAATAAAACCTTTTTTTGGCTTATTAAAGACATCGGTCTTTCCCATTAACCGAATGAAGAACCGAAGCATTGCCAACATACCTAATATACATAGATAAATAGATAAGGACTATCTGACATTCAGTTTTTGTATAATTATTTATTGGATAAGAAATAAAATCTCAGAAGGTTGTTTCTGGTTTTACAGATTGGTTAACATTATTATTATGCCAATTTTTATGAAAGGAATGAATGAGTACTAGAGAGTTAAATATTTTTCAGGCTGCGATGTCTTTAGACGTAGGGTAGGTAGATTTGTTAAATTTCTAGAAGGCTCAACTGCCTTGTTACATAATTCTTAATGTAAATTAGCCATAAAGTTGCTCTCTAAATTAATGTAAACTAATAAACAACCATAGGCTAAGCTTGTGCGCTACAATTATGTACCTACTACAATCAACGAGTCACGTCCGGTGTCCGGTGTGAATCAAAATTGTGTAAATCGTATCTATAGGTACCTACCCTTTTTCGTATGGGAGCTGTTTTGAATTGTTTTTGTTTTTGATGAACTAGTATAAATTGAAAATTGTTGAATTGTTAAATGAATTAACCCTCAAAGATACGCAATTAGACTTTAATAATGGCTAATTAGAATTATCAACTAAATAGGTTTTATATAAAAATAATCCTTACTAATATTATAAATTGGAAATTGAGTTTGTTTGTTTGTTTCACTTTCACGCCGTAACTACTAAACCGATTGCTTTGAATTTTTGCAGACGTGAAGTTAGAAGTCTGGATTAAATAATAGGATACTTTTTATCCCGGAAAAATTTGATATTCTCGAGGGAAAACGAAATCATTGGTATAGATGGCGCTGTGTGTATTGGTATATGTCAAATGGGCTACTTTTTATCCTTTTGTGACGCGAGCGAAGCCGCGGGTAAAAGCTAGTTAATTACATAAAGAGAACTGGTCTATTCTCACCCACAATATTAGTAAATTTTGGTTAACTCTCTGTGAGTTAGCCAAAATTTAACTCGTCGAGTACCGGTTTTATAGACACAATTAAAGAACAATAGGTCGCGGTCACCGGTGACCGCTTGGTGTTTGACAGTTTAAACAGAAATAAATATCTAAAAGATTTTATAAACTTAAACATATAAAAATCGACTAAAATAAAAACTGTACCAAACGAACTAATATACATATAAACAAATAGAATTAAAAAGGGGAGGGATCATGCCTGTTACACATTTACTTTTAGGTTTTAGGGAATATATTATGTATTATGGTCTTATGGTGCACGGCACTGCGCAGGGGTGATGTTACATTATTTTTATATCTGCCTATTTATTTTTTAGCAACGACAACTAATAGAAAAATTAATGGTCTGATGAATAACTAAGCAACATGGAATCAAAGAGTATAACAAGTTTAAAAGGAAGTCATCAATTGATAAAGTCCGAAGCAATGGAATTTGCTTGCACCCGACTTTTGTCAACTGTTTTCCCTTTAAATAATATTCATTGGTAATCTCATTTTTATTTTTGTAATTCGTTCTTCTTGGGGCAATGAATATTCTTCCATAACCGTGTTACAGTAGGTACTGTACCTGCTGTATCGAATCGCTTTTGAACCGCTCGATAATTTCCAGTTAAAATGCATCACCCTTTCCTATGTAAATTGACTAATTTTCTTAGTGTCCTATCCAAGCATCGGGCACGCTGGATAAAACGTGCTCTCGATATTCTGGCGTAGATACCTATAGATTCCTACTCTATGTAGCTACAAAAAAATTTAAAGCTAAATTCATTTTTAATTAATTTTAAAACTTATTTATTGTATACTAGCTTTTACCGGCGGCTTCGCTCGCGTCACAAAAGGATAAAAAATAGCCTATGTGACATATACCAATACACAATTACACACAGCGCCATCTATACCAATACTTTTGTTTTCCCTCGGGAATATCAAATTTTTCCGGGATAAAAAGTACCCTATTATTTAATCCAGACTTCTAACTTTACCTCTGCAAAATTTCAAAGCAATCGGTTTAGTAGTTACGTCGTGAAAGCGGAACAAACAAACAAACAAACTCACTTTCCGATTTATAATATAAGTAAGGAAGTAAGGATATATACGCAATAGCGTAGGTCGATGGGTTGTAAGTGCGACAACTGGACTACGGGTCTCTGGTTGCATTCCTGAATCTCAATGTAATATTTATTTTAGTTTTATCTTCATTACAGATTTAGTTTTGTGTTACCACAATTTTCGCCAGTCACAAAAGCGACAATAGATCGGGTCCATTCTAATTTAGCGACATTACTCACTGGTCCCACTAACAATATTGTTATTTTGCTTTTAGCAGTGTTTTATTATTATAGCGCTTTGCTAGATTTAAGAGTAGATAAATATGTTAAGAAATATTGTTTGGTCCTGCAGTCTTATGCTACTCCTTACTTAATGTCGTAGTCATACCATATTATAATGATCCAAACTAAGGTTTATTCTGTTTAGTAAATGAGATTGAGATTTATAATCTAAGTAAATAAAATACAAGCTATTGCGTATTGGTTTTGTTAATGTGTACCTATTCTGTAATGTATAAAACAGCTAGTCTATTTTGTAACTCTCAATTCGAATAATCGAAGTAAATTCGAGTTCACTTTGAAGGTTTTTTTTAGGGGGGAAAATCATCGAATGACTGCTCCCGCCTGGGTGAGGCGGAAGGGAGTGTCAGACTCTAACTGACTAAAAATCACCCCGTTCCTTCTCCTGCACGTCGAGCCGGAGCCCCGGCTACCCGTTAGGTTCTCCGCGACACACTTTGAAGGTTGGAATTGACAGTTATAGAATAGATAGCTTAGCAGTTGCGTAGCGTGTTACACTTTCCATCACAGGGATTAAACTCTGCCACTCCACGAGTATTGTAGGTATTTCGTTATTTGTAAACCATGAACTAATTTTGGCCCATGCACTTACGAGATCACGACAATCAAGGCAATGTTTTTTTTTAATAATCCCCATTTCATAGTTTCATCAATTTAAGTAGGTAGATAGGTATTTGCTTCATAGGACGTAATTAAATTTACATTCATAAACATCCATAATCTAATTAAAAGTTCCTTATGGTAGAACTTCGGCAAGGAAAATATCAAACCAGAGTCTAGTTAGGTAGGTACCTACTTGTTTAATGAATTTACAAGTAAAGTGGCCTGAATGTAAATAACATACCTACCTACTTACGCATCGCTTTCAGAGGTAGGTAGATGCTTTAGCTAAGTACATACAGGTAAGACGGTGCGATAAGTAGGTAAGTGCTTACCTACTTATTGCATTATTTAGTTGCGTAGTAGTACCTACTACATACTTAAGTACCTAATTAACTACCTGACCAGCTGACTACTCATAATAAGTAATAACGTAGTATATTTACATAATGTATAGCTGCTATATCTATACCTACATTATAGTTGTTAGGCTATAGGCCTGTAGGTACCTACAGAGTATGAAATAGGTTTCTTTTGGAATATTTTCAATGGGCTGTTGTTGCCCGTGTACAATTTAATATTTATACAGATTCAAATTATAGAGTGTAAGATTATAACATTACATTTTTCTACTCGTAATTAACAAAACCTTAAAGCGTTATCCTTGCCGTAAACACGGAATATAGAATTATATTCTATATTCCGTGGCCGTAAACCTATAAAAAGAAAGAAATATGTCACAATAACAATCCGGTTCGGTCTTACCTATTTATTTATTTATGACAGTGTCAATAACAGATAGGTATAAAAATAGGCTAAAATCAATGAACCTATACTTGTCTTAAAAACAGAGCCGTAGCAATAATTATGTAAAAGCCGTTTATCTAAATTTATGAAAAAGTGATATACCTAATATAAGACAAATTATTAATGCCTTTGTTTCGTGAGCCAGATGATATGTGCAATGTCAATGTGAACCATGTTCGTAAGAAAAATCGCTATGATAAGATAGAATTACCGTTACCATTTCCAAATACGATGTCTCATGGTATGTAGCCTACCTACCTATTTACCTAATATATTATTTTCTAGTAAAACAAATAGTAACTAGTATTAGTATAAAATGGAAGTAGACAGATTGATATTTTTAGCTTTACTTGGGTCTATTCTTTAAGTAGGTATGATTTATGAAACAAATTAATATTTTTATTCATTTATAATAATATTATACTTACGCACTACAATCATACAATGGCGGGCTTAGTGCCGGATGCAGCCAGCCAACACACAGACTTTATTGTACGTCTATGAGCCAACACAACCGCAGAGTGATGCAAAGAAGTGGTGGGTTTTATACAAGTATCAAGCTATTTATTTTTTTAGTAGTTTTGGACACAAATATTTCTTTGATATTATCTTTCTATGTGCTTTTCCAATTCTTATCTTCTTATAATGTATCACAATATGTGCACAGAGAATTTCAATCTGTGGATGTATTTTTAACCTATGCTCAGAAATGTCACATTTTATTATTAGGGCATGTTTACATTAGTACAATGTAAACTTGTAAACCGATTGGTCTTGATCTACGAATTTGTTTATTGTTATAAGTATTTGATAGTAATTTATGTCTTTAAACAGTATTGATAAAGAAATTATTTGTATTGAAGCGTATACAATTGTTTGAACTGGCAAAATGTGATAAAACATACCATGTGTGAGCAGCGCTATTCTGTGGAAAGAAAAAAAGTTAAATACAATTTGTCTGTGTGTATGCCTGCTTATATCGACTTCAACAAAAACAATAATGATTTTGCTTCAGTACCTAGTTCAGTAATAAAATAAACTGCACTCCTGTGATAAATAATTAAAAATAATGTCGAACAGGCCGCATTCTAAGTCACGTATTAAAGTGTGTAATAAATCTGTGTTTCATCTTCAAGATAAAAAGGCAGACGAGAATGAATTATCAGTTGGTTTGATTAAATCTGCGAAGAGGACAGGCCAACTCAGTTTATGCAACAGGGGACTGGGGACGGGTGAGACGTAATTATTTAATAAATTTAAGTACCTTGGCACCAGCGTATGTGGTATAGTTCCTTAGTAAACACTATACAATCTGTTTGACTCACATCCTTTAAGCTCATTGTTATTTGTTTATATTATTTAAAAAAAAAACTTAGGTCATTATTCTATTGATGTGAATATAAAAATTTCACCTTTTTTCTAGCTATTTATGAATGCATACATTATTTATTTAGAAAGGAATTAGAACTGATTAATATTTAGAAGAATTTCTTACTAATTGTATTTAGTAAGCTTATTTATTTGAAATTGTGTAGTAAAATTTTTTGGTGATAAATATTTCAAATTAAATTTTTTTTCCAGTGCCGGATAATGTTTGGAAAATTGATGAGTTGATTTTAGATGAGAGCAAAGATGTGGACTTCACGAGGCCTGATTCCAACAAGTGGTGGACTGCAGAGCCTTTGAAGACCCTTGACCTTAGCTCCAATGTTATTAAAGTTATATCTGGCAATGTCAAGTATCTGCAACACCTCGTCAATCTCAAGGTGAGTGATAAACTGGAATTTATTAGTTCATTTTAAAACTAATTACTTACTACTCTATATAATTTTATACAAGTAGCAAAAAGTGGTGATTCCAGTTATGATACTAACTAACCAATTAAATCAATTTAAATATTGTGCAGTCTGTGCTCATATAAATTTACTTTTCGCCAACTTTATTAATGTTTCATGTGAGTAATAAAATTCAAGGATAATATTTCTGTTTTTAATTACCCAAAAACCTGTTTAATTATTTTGCAACGATTTATTATTTAATGTTTAACTTAGTTATTTGTTGCAAAAAATTACATATTTAAAAAAAAATTATGCTTTATGGTCAGATTTTGTATCTTTTGTTTATATGGGACTGTGGAAATAGTAGAAGAGAGAGCTATTACCATTCTCTGCTGCAGGTTCAATTCCTGTGTAGAAGAAATATTACAATTTATTATTTACATGTCTAGTAACAAGTAAACAAAACATTTTAGCATATCTTATTTCTTTCCAGCTACATGATAATGCAATATCTAGTCTTCCGCCAGAGTTTGGTGAGCTAAAGAATTTGATGACCTTAAGTTTAGCGCACAATAAACTGACAGCACTCCCCAAAGAGTTTTATAAGTTAACTGAATTACGCTGGCTGAGCATATCGCACAATGAGATTTCGAAAATAGAAGCTGACTTTGGAGATTTTGTTATGCTGACCTTTTTGGTAAGAAACTCTTTGCTAAGATTATATTTTAATAACAAGGACGTTGAAAAAAGGTGGACGTATAAACTTGGAAGTGATTGAAGCACCAATGGCAATGGTATATTTATGTGTGCATGATGTGATCGCCGATGGGTCATATTTTCAAGCGACAGATATCCTTAATGTCATTGTATGTGTATTCTGTGTATAAGTCTATAGTAGCCTGGTGTCACAGTCGTGGTTTCAAGAGACTGTATCCACCTTTTTTCAACTTCCTTGTTAAAAGTGTAAAAAAAATTTAAAGGTTGTTGTTTAAATAATTAAAATAATATTTGTTTCCAGGACTTATCGCACAATAAACTGACGATACTACCTCCAGGTATGGGGTATTTGGTGAGATTAGTAGAAATTAATCTGTCGCATAATCACTTGGAAGAGCTTCCTCCTGATATTGTTAACCTCAGAGGTATGAACCTATTTCATTATTATATAATTCTACATTCAAGTAATTCTAAGGAAGTAGTATAGATTAGTCTAACTTGTAACATTGCAATAAATCAAGATGTATGTACCTACTGAGTTTGATAACACTATTGTATTATCATTGCAATTTTGACTCTTAATAACACAAAAGAAACATTGAATATTTATTACAGCTCTAATTGTCAAAAACAATTACGTTATTCTATAATGCATTAAATGTCAAGACATATGACATTGGAAGTCCAGTGCTCTTACATTGGCAAGCAAATATCATTCTTATCTCAGCGCAATAAAGGTACTTTTTGAAAAACTGATAATTATTATACAGCAGTAGGAATCTAAAAAGTTTCAATCAAATATGACCTTTGGTTCTATGTGAATAAAAGTGATTTTAGAAAACGCAATTTTCTGAAGCATTTTATCTATGTTGTGTAATTAAGCTTGATTACCGAGTTGCCGGTAGAGAATGCATTATTATAATGTGTTGTCTTAGTGCTACGTGACTAATTATTGTTTTGATTATATTGCATGACTGATTCGTTCGTGACTACTTACCCATCATGAAAGTTTTCGGACCTAAGTTCGATTCATGTTGTTCAGTATGTGACTTAATACCGCTTGTTCTAATGTTATTGAGATCAATCACTTTGTATAAAAAAAATGCATGCGACTGTGACTAATGACGTCACCGCGCAGGGTACGCAGCTTATAAATAAGAGTCCCGTTATGACTTGAAACTTCTAGAGCTTTTAAAAACTTTTAAACTTATAGAGTATTCGATAAACATAACATAACATCACGCCTTTAATCCCGAAGGGGTAGGCAGAGGTGCAAATTACAGCACTTAATGCCACTGTACAATGTAACACCTAGTTTTCACTATTTATGTTATGAGTCCCATGTAATAGGGGGTGAGCCAAGTGTTCGATTTTTCGAAAAAAATGGTAGTGGCTGCGTTTCTGACTCCCAAATGTAGGTTACGTAAGTAAAGACGTTATTTACAGTTACTGATTAAATTTGATTTCAGATCTGAGAAAAATGAATATTAGCAACAACAATCTGAAGAAGTTACCGCCACTAGGCGAACTGAGAAAGATGGAAGTACTGGATGCGAATCATAACGACATTGAAGAACTACCCGACTTTTACGGCTGCGCAGCCCTTAAAGAATTATATATGGCCAATAATTATATTAAGGTACAATATCAGTTTATATACTTTTAAGACAATGTACAGGTGGAGAATTTGGAAATGTAATGAAAAAGTACATTTTTACTCCTTTTGAGGACCTCATATTCAGGTACCATGACACAGGACAGTAGAAGTAAAAACGGAGTGGTTTTTAGTCAGTAAGAGTCTTACACTCCCTCCCGCCACAAGTAAGGCGAGAGAAGTTATTGGATAATTACTTAGTACTAATTGAGAGCTAATGACTTATAAATAATCCTTTATTTTCATATGTTTCATAATAGGTATTCAGAAAGGTCAAGGAATACACCTGACATCCTTTGACGTTTCTAGAGTATTTGTCCATTTATCTTATCTAAATCGGTATAGTTGTTTTGCAGATTTGTGCAAATGTACATACATACATTAATCAACAGCTAATCTTTATTAATATTGGTTATTTGTTACAGGAGATAACAGAGGAGTTCTGTGATCAGATGCAGCATTTGAATGTGTTGAACATCAGGGACAACAAATTAGAAGTGTTGCCTGAGAACATCTCACTACTGCAGAAACTGAAGAGGCTGGACCTCACTAACAATAATTTAAATAAGTTAGTATTTTAAATTGTAGGAGATCATTTCAAGACTTCATAGATATTTACCTAGGATATTAGGTTAGGGCTTATAAAATGGTTTGCTCTGACAACTAATAATACACTGCTTTTGTGGGTATAAATGGCTTAAAACATTTAGCCAGTTAAAGATTTTCGAAACTCCAGTAATGCTATGATCAAAATCGCACTGGCTGGTATTATTACTCTGGTAACGACGTCGCCAGCCAAAAAGGTTTCAACAGAAACATCCCGGGACAGTTCACTGCTACACTATGCTACATTAGAGACCTACTCTACATTAGACGTCAGGTTTAACAGAGTTACTGTCCGGTCTATGTGAAATGTATTGATGTACAATAATTTTTCAGGTTACCAAGGAACCTGGGCTTGTTATCTCAGTTGCAAAGCATCAACATGGAGGGCAACAAGTTGTCGTTTGTGAGGCAGGACGTGATCAGAGGAGGGACGGAGAGGATGATGAAGTATCTCAGAGACCGCATCACTGATGAAGTCGTCAGTGAGACCAGGCTTACTCCTGAGGAATGGCCTGATAAGTGAGTCTACGTCTTCGTTACAATTGGACCTACCATTTTTCTCTTCACTCGCTAGCGCCAATAAGGCTTGGGGTCAAATATGAAACGGTCAATGGTTTTGCACTAACTACTCCTCTATTTGGACGAACAGGTCGAAATTAACGCCACCTGGGGAACAATAAAACGGTAGCCCCTATTGATATAGCAATAGGCTATATTACTTAGGTACTTAACACATCGAGTCAATATGAGAAATACGAGTACAGTATGAAAATAACTATCTACCGTAAAACGGGATCAAGAGGTGAATAGAGACAGAAGAGTGGTGAATAGATATTAGGAAATTCTTCACAGTATCGATTCACCTTTCGATCCCTATCACCCCATGACTGTTACCTAATTCTATCTACACTTTGCATAGAAATGGCACCACCAGCGTTTTTTTATTTCTTGATAAATATTTTCTAATACAAGTATTGTATTAATTCATAATTGGTAACGTGTGTCGTATAAAAGGCAATTTAGTTACCTTTAAAATGAGAGTATTTTGTTGTATAATATTTTTTTTTAAGTTATAGAGGGTTCGATAAAATGAAGAACAAAAAGCTCGCGACTCCGTTTTTTGCTCCCAAGTGTATGTGGCTCACTTCATTTAAAACAACATAACATAACATCACGCCTTTTATCCCCGAAGTGGTAGGCAGAGGTGCACATTATGCCACTGTACAATGTAACACCCACTTTTCACTATTTATGTTATGAGTCCCATGTAATAGGGGGTGAGCCTATTGCCATATACCGGGCACAATTCCAGACTCCGTGCTACTACTGAGATTGTTTTAAAAACCCAGTAATACTTTGTCCGACACGGGGATCGAACCCGAGACCCCTTGCCCGGCAGTCGCACTTGCGACCACTCGGCCAACGAGGCAGTCAATTTTATTTAGTTGGCTGCTCCATTAACTCCGTTAAAGATTGACTGCTGTGATTTGGGAGTGTTATTATTACACACATAATGCTCCTATAGAATCAAAATGAATACACTTTTAAAGTCCTTGACTTTAATGAATAGACTGTAAAGGCTTAGATACAACGTCCGATTGATACACTGTTCACAATGACTGATAAATGGGTGGAATTTCAATACTGTTTTTTATTAAATAAATATTCACATTAGTACTTTCAACGTTATCCTGTTAGTAATAGAATTCAATTTTATGTGTTGCAAATTTTAACAAGTTTAAGGATAATTCGTTCTGTATCTATTTTGGACTTTAATGTAGTACCTTTTTATGTAGTAGGATTTAATGTTGAGTTTTGTTTAGCAAATCTATTTTGTTTTAGATATACTCTAAAGAAAAGTCAAGCTTTAATGGTGCCTGGTCGGGAACTGTCGAACGTACCGGACCATGTGTTCAAAGCTGCGGCCGAAGCAGAAGTACATATTGTCGACTTCTCTAAAAACAAACTCACTGAAGTACCCCGTGGGTAAGTCATAACCATAATATGTAATCATAACTTAGTACAATAAGTAATAATAACATTAAGTAAGTAGGTACGTTTGTAGGACCTAATATATATATTTTCATAATAACAGTTTGTTTACCCTGTGCGTTACGCAGATATAAAATATTTTTACATTGACACTGACCTTTTGCTTTTTAAACCACTCACAGGCTCACCCCCTTACATGGGATTTAAAACTTAATTCGTTAAAAGTAGGTCTTATATTCCTCTGCTCTCCACTTTTTGGATGAAAACGCGTAATGTTAAGCAAGTATATGTTTATTTGCAGCTTAGTGCAAGTGAGTGACACCCTGTCCTCGCTAGTGTTGGCGTCGAACAACTTGTCGAACATCCCCGCCGACATCAACCGATGCAGACACTTGCAATACTTGGACCTCGGCAAGAACCTCCTCATGGAACTACCGCCGGAACTCGGCGACTTGAACAACTTGCGAGAACTAGTCATTTCTAATAATAAGTGCGTGTTTCAGTTAACATAAATACATAATTGGGTACTTGCCAACTAGTCAAATTCAATACTTTTTTCTAACTGTCAAAATCTACAGTTTTCTATGAATTTACTATGAGATTGGAGATTGTGACGTCACGTTTTTTTAGCGTCGAACAGCATACTTATCTCTTAAAAAAATGTTGGTAAAATACTAAAATTTTGTTGGTCATAAAATTAATTGATGAAAGTGTGATCATTTTCAATATCCTATTGTATTGAACAGTCGGAAGTTATTTAATTTTGATTAAGGAAAGTACCCAATTATTTTGACTAAGTAAAATGTATGCAAATCATGATAATGAACATGATTTTCAAATCAATCGGCAGATAAATTATTATGCCTGGCTAATATAAATATACTGCGAGTTATAATAGCCTACCAGAGAACTAAAGACCTATTTTATGTGGAGCTCATGTCACCACAGGGCAAAAGCATTGTTTTACAAGACACCCTGATACGTTATGTAAACATTTATATTATCGTAGGTTCACGAAGATACCCCGGTGTGTGTACCAGCTGGATAACTTGGAGATACTGTTGGCGGCCGAGAACAAGATCGACGAGATCAACGTGTCGTCCGACGCACTCGCGCGGCTCAAGAAGTTGGCCGTGCTCGACCTCACCAATAACAACATCTTCACCGTGCCCCCGGAACTGGGACACTTCACACATCTCAGGTCAGTCCAGTCGCCAGCTTACAGGGCAGGCAGTTCATTGAGATGCTTCTTTTATTATATTGGGATTGGGTTGCCGTGATGCAGCATACAATGGCGCACCCCTGCACATGAACAACCTATTCACTCGGGCCTTGAAGCCACCTGGATTATACTCTTCAGGAAACACAGACTCTGGTAAAGAGTTCCATTCTTTAGCCGTTCTGATTAAAAATCTTGGGGCGAAATGCTTCGTGCATGTAGATGAGTTTCTCCCTACTGCCCGCCTCGTTGGTCAAGTGTTTGGAAATACGACTGCCGGGAAGTTCTAGGTTCCATTTTCTAAATCGGGAAAAGTACCTATAAGTTACCTTTGTGGAATTCCAAAGTTAAGTGATAGTATGTAATCTGTAATTATGTGGACTCGTAACTGGAAAATATTTGTGAGAGCTTCTACGCTACATATAGTTTGTCATAAATCAACTAGCTAGAAAAATTCAAAAATTAAAACAATTAACATCTTAACTGTGTCTGTTATACGAAACAAAAAATCATCGTGTTTAGGTTAGCTCCACGTTCCAGCAGATTAGTTAAAAATATTATTTTGGAAATACAAAGAAACCAACTAATTGAAAGGCCAGGTGAGTGTTTTTTTTTTAAACATTGCCCCACACTATGATTTTGTCCTGTGTCGTGGGTGCGTTTACAAACATACAATTTCACATACACACACACCCAGACCCGAAACAACAATTTATGGATCACACAAACTATTGTTCCGTGCGGGAATCGAACCCCCAACACGTTGCACGGCAGCCGGTTGCCCAGCCACCGCACCAACCGTGCAGTTAGTTAATTAATCTATTTTACAAAATACTTATGTAGTAACCAAAATATAATGTCTATTTTAAGTTTAGTGCGGCAGTGTAGTGCTTGAAAAACGTTAAAACTTCTCTATCTCAATATTGCTCCCTACTACATAGCCAACATTTCGAAGAATAAAAAAATAATATACGTAGGCAGATAATAAAAATATTTTGGTTTTCAAAAGTCGATTTCGATACTCTTTGTTTGATAAACGCTCTTCTGAAGATTCGACTAATAAGATAGTCTCGTAATAATAGACTAGTCTAATTTTTAGTATAGACATTCCAACATCGATTGTTGTCATTTGTGTCACATGTGTTTATAATAAACTAAGAACGTTAATAAAAGGGAAGTATTCTGTGTTATGATACGTCACGAGCCGGTTTTTCATTATGCATTGAAAAGTTGGTGTCTTAAACAAACAATCGTTGCGTATTCTGTTGTATTCTAGAATAATTCCATTGTTTCAGAACCCTGGAGTTGATGGGGAACTGTTTCCGACAGCCACGGCACGCTATACTCGCTAAGGGCACCGCCTCCGTGCTCTCCTACCTAAGGGACCGCATACCCACCAATTAGTATTACTCAATTCTATGGCCCTCCACGCTGTAACGTACTAAAGATTGTTCTGCAAGTTCACATTAGAAAAAGCACAAAAACATCACAACATTATGATTTCGATCCTCAAATATTTTGTTGTCCGAAACGCACAAATAGAATCCCTTGACATGTACCTACATATATTTTTGAATAATGGCCTGTCTTGTATTTGGCGTATACTCGAATAAATTCAATTAAAAATGTAAAAAGATCCAAAACAGACAAAAATATTAAGAAATTGTAAAATGTTGTTACATAAAATTGAAAAGATACCAAAACGTGTGTAAATAAATGTGACTACAATTGTACCTAGAGTTTTGCTAAAGAGTTTAGAATAATTTAGTATCGTTTCTGTGGCAAAATGGAACACTACGACTCAGCCGGTTTTGGTAGTTGTTATTTTTATCGAGTTTAAAAAGAGAAGGTACTATGTTCAGATGCTTGTTTATTCTTGGAATATGGTCCGAAGTGGGTGATTCAGTCCAAGTCAATATTAGTTCCTGCTGTCACCGCGTCAAACTCTTTTTTGCCAAGCTCTACCTACAATAGTAGAGTGAACTTTCACAATTAATCTGTGGAACGTCAAGTCAAACGTGTTGCCATACGAAACGCAGTCAGCTTACTTAGCCAAATATTATTTTTCGCGTACCTGATTGTGGTAAATCCCATTTATTGCTTTATTCATTATTGTGAAAGCTTTTCGTTATTTTTTTGTGTTTTTGTTATTGATTGAAATACATTTGTTGTTAAATTACGTTACTAACATAGTCAGTAGCTATGAATAACAGATAGTGTTATGGGTTGTGAAGTAAAAGTATGTCATGATATATCACTAAATTGTGTATTTAAGAGACAAGTATTTACAAATGGGTTGACTGCATTACTCAATATGTTATTGCCAAACGTGAGGATATATTTAATATTTTTGGACATATTGTTTTAAAGCAATGCAAATGCGAATGCATTGATTGATCTGAATGTGTATGAGGCTATCAATAATCTATTAGTATCAAGCTTACATGGTACAATAAAAGTTCATATTTGACAATAGATTGTTCTAGTATTTAGAGATCCCAAAAATCTTAGATTTAAAATATTACCATGTTTATCAGTACATTTATATTATTCACCAATTAACTATCAAATTAATTAAGGAATCTAACAAGTAACAAGTTGTTTGAAATTCAACCAAAGTATTGTTCGAAGTACCTGACATTTATTTTGTAAAATATACACAGCCTTTTTGCTGCTTGAGTGCGTGGAAATATTATAAATTATAGAACGGAATAAAGCACAAGTTTGTTGTAAAATTATGAGCACAATATTATAAAAATTGAAAATCTTTGAGCATATCGCGTGATTATGAAATATATGCTTTGAAAGTTCTAGTTTGTATTATTATGAATTCCTATTACTATTTTCACAACCTCTCACTATAAAATGTACCTTAGTACTACGCCATAAATATCAGTTTCCGCAAATTGTAACAACCTGGTACTAGGAAGACAAAGTGTGAAGTGCATGTGTCAACTATTAACAGCTGTGAGTAGTAGAGATGCAATACAATTTCAACCTTATAAGGATGAAGTTAGAAGTCATGTTACATTATAGCTACTAGACCACGGTAGTCTGTTTATTGTATAGGTATATGTAGTATAAAATGTATAAATAATATGTTATGTGACTTTGAAGATCTTTATAATTTATCATAGTGCTGTCAGGCGAGTAATTAACATGACATAAAAACATTATTACAGGTGTGACTAGGTATTTTTAAATAAAAGCATTCTTTAAATTTGTTCAAGTTATTCTTGGATTTTAGATTAGTATCTACTGACTTACGTCAGTTAAATTCGATTGGATTAAAAAAATCAACGAACGGTAAAATGAGTTTGGTTATCGGTAAAAAAATTATATGTTGATTAAAACATCACTTGCCTACTCTTACTGCAAATTTCTCGGAGCGGATATTCTCTCGTTCATTATAAATTCTAACATTTTGAACAGTAAGAAGTTGTCGATATTTTGACTATAAACCTCATCATAAGATTTATCTCCTACAACGTTATACAAAGCAACGGGCTTACCTCGTCAGTCGCCATTAGAAACGGTTAGTGCTTCATAAAAGAGTGAAGACGTTGAACATAATAAATACTACCTAACTATAACAATGCATAATTGCCTTCAGTTTTTGTCTATAGTCAGCAGTAAAACATGCTAAGTAGATAACATTTATTCACGGTCTACCTAGGTACAGGAAAATTGCATAATAAAGCAATGCACAGGAAAATTACGAGGAGGTTGAAATAATGTAAACGATCGTCCATGTAATAACTGCTATTAAAAAAAAAAGATGATTGTCTTGTAAGGGCCATGCAGTGCCTATCTACGTACATAATGTTTTAGCTGCATTATGTACACGTAATGTCGGTATTTGGCGTATTATCAAGTTGCCTCGGTACCACGACTCGTCCAAACACTATTTACATAACAATACAATGAATGTTACTGAATTAACATAACAGATTGCTTTTCTAGGTCGGGTAGGGACTGGGCTTCTCTTATTTTGATTTTTGTTCGTGTATTTAGAATCCTGGTCAGATATCATTAAGTTGTATGCAGTAATTTAGTAAATTCCTATTATGTACTTATACAGTATACCTATACTAATATTTTTATTACACATCTGCTTAACCTCTTTTTGTACTACGCCTTTGGTTTCAGGACTGTATGATTTAAGGAGAGTACTCAAACTGTTCAAGCAGTAGTCAATGTGCAATATTTATCGCCAGGCAGGTACACCACGAATATGTCTCCTCAAAATAAGTACATAGGTACCTACATGCTTTTGTGACTGAATAGTATCGCGCAATAGTCAAATCCTGGGCACATAATGACTAAGCCATCATTGTCGGAGGATGTATGGGTGGAGCCATTCATATTGTGTCCGCGAATTAAGAAGTCATCCTTTTGACGGATGTTTGTGAAATATCCGACGATTTGTGAAAATTATATACGTCTCAGGGAAATAGCACGTAACGTGCCAACTTTACCATATCTATGTTTTCTATAAACTGGCCTGTATCGGCGGCTGTTACAAAATACGTCGTTGCGGGCGCCTAACGTCATTATTATCGTTTTCACTATCGTTCGACGTCGACTCGTCACTCTATTGTAAATTGTAGTCTGTAAACCCATAATAATAAACTAAACTAAAGGTCGTGCCGGCGACGTATACCTGGTAAAGTGGGGGCCGGCGGCACATGACGGCTGCACTTCATAGTTTCAGTAGCCGCGCTGTGACGACCGTACCCATCTGCGCCGCACACCCATTGCGCGCGAGTTCCTCACTTGATCGCCACCCTGGACGTGTCGTATCATCCTACCCGCATATAGATTTTTGTATAAGTAGTACCTATCGCTCTATATTTTGTGAGCTCAAAAACAAATTAAGTACCATCGGTTTTATTTGTCTTGGTACCTACCAATTCTTTACAAAAATATATTTCCGTGTTGAAGTTTATAATCAGAAGTTGTACAAGTGGGATATTTGTTCAGGTGCGGCCGAAATTTGTGTAACTTAACGTTCTGTATGTAATTGCGCAAGTGGTTCATCAGCCTAGTGGACGGAGGTCCTTCGCTCTGACTGTGCAGTGGAAGACGCACCTTGACTGTCAGTGGTGCCTTACATAATACTTAGTACCAGTTTGAACGTAACGTCTAAAATGATTATCAGCAAACTCGTAAATTGTGGGCGAAATAGTAATTGTAGCAAGTGAAGTGATGTTTGCTAATGTAAATTGTTGAACAGTTGGATAAATCTTTATTGTAATTTAATGAGTCGTAAGCGTGGTTGAACGTGATCGCAATCAAATATTATGAAGCCATATGGAGTCGTTATTGTCCTGTCGTCGCTCATATTCTTTAAATGTAAGTGATTCATTTATTATGTTACCTTAACCTAGGAGCTGTAGTGTAATTTAAGTGTGGGAGAGCCACGCTTCGGCACAAATGGGCCAGCTCGAACGGAGTGATACACGACGTGAAACAACGCAAGCGTTGTTTCACGCCGTGTGATTGAGGTTACTGGAGGCCCAATTATCACACCCCCCTCCCGAACCTCCCCAATCCCTGAATCTCCAACAGCCCTCAAATTCCTAATCCCCAAAAGGCCGGTAACGCACTTGTAACGCTTCTGGTGTTCCAGGTGTCCATGAGCGACGCCGATTGCTTACCATTAGGTCCGTCTGCTTGGTTTATCCCATAAAAAAGTTATATTAAATACTGTACATAACATCAACAACAAAGCACATCTAGGCATACTTACGGAATAAAATTTTGTAGATACCTACCTAAATTATTCAGTTGTTTCAGTAGATAGGTACTTAAGTAAAGTAAGACTGGGTGAGTTGTTTCATCAATATACATCCATACTATTATAAAACTGAAGAGTTTGTTTGTTTGAATGCGCTCAAATCTCCGGAACTATGGTTCGAATTGAATAATTCTTTGTATGTCGGATACTCAATTTATCGAGGAGGAGTATAGGTAGGGTTGCCACCCGTACTTTATAATAAAGTATTGTACGTTATTTAAGGTAATTGTACCTACTCTATACTTAAAAGAATAATAAAGTACACGAAAATACTTTATTTTTGCAAACTTCATTTCTATTAAAGTCGTAAGTATTTTTCGGTAAACTTATCGATTCGATATCGATTTCGCCACTCGCCAGCGCCACTTAGACAATTTCTAGTGAAGATGCAATTGTTTAGTAAAGGTACTAGTTTAATAGAAACTGCAAAGAGCAATAAAAATATATTTTTAACCAACCCATTTTTTTTTTAAGGGGGGAAAATCGAATGACTGCTCCCGCCTGGGTGAGGCGGAAGGGAGTGTCAGACTCTTACTGACTAAAAACCACCCCGTTCCTTCTCCTGCACGTCGAGCCGGAGCCCCGGTTACCCGTTAGGTTCTCCGCGACTCCGAATCGGCATCGGCCCTATTGGGCCCCATCTGTGGTGGTCTGATGGCTCTTTGAGGCGCGCGCGGAATCTCTGCTCGGGTCTGTTTCTGGTCGGACGGGGAGCCACCCATGCTCGCCGTCCGCAGTCCCGCGCTTACGGTGGCCGGAGATCGTCCCGCGATCCCCGACGCCCGGTGTGTCCTTCGCGACGTTTGGGTTGCGAGGAGGCAGCGCTTAGCTGCCTCACGCGTCCCGCCTCCTCCTCAGCTAGCATGACTGCTTCGCAAAAGGAGGAGACGGCATCCCAGTCCCCCTCGCTCCGCATCATGGCCTGCACTAGGCCCGGACGCGAGAGGTCGCCATCGCCAATCACTTCCCTGAGGGCACGGCGGTGCTCAGCCCACGCAGGGCATTCCGCAACAGTGTGTTCCACCGTGTCCTCAGGGTGTTTAACCAACCCTAAGTATAGGCTATCGAAGTATAAAATAGTACGCTACGATCAATAGAAATCGAGTAGCGTACTGTGAATCTAAACAGCTTCCTCTAAAAAAACTAACTAAACAACAACAACAACTAGGTACTACCTACCTACTACGTTACAGGGCGAAGGTGTCTAAATAATATCTTCAACTGATTTCAAGGAATACTTTTTATTTATAAACGGCTATCATTAAATGTCTTCGTAAAATGATATTCCGATAGGCATCTAGGAGTTTTGCTCTTTCCTATTATTACTAGTTTTTCTCCTGCTCGGCACCTCGAGATTCCCTCAGTGAATGCTACTGTAGTCGTTGTATAAATAGTCATTATAATGGCGATCAACAGCAAACAAAACCGCGGCTCGATTATCTGAAACAATAAAATTCAGTATATTGTTTTTTATTATGAATCTCTCACATATTTTCTTACTGATTAGTACCTATATGTTCTCATTCACCTGACCTGGCCTATTCCCAATTAGCTTAGGATCCGCACGAAAAGTAAGTTTGTAAACAAACGATCAGATTAGTGACGCTAATCTCAGGAGTACCTAGTTCCTGATTCGGTTCCGTATTCTGGAAAAAAATACGAAGAACGAAGTTCGGTTGTTACATTGTTTCGATAATATGTACCTACTAATTGTTTATAGAATAAGGAACTGAATTATATCAAGTGAAAGGCCCAAAAATATATGGAGCAAAAACACAGAATCGATTAAAATCATTTATGAACGTAATAGACCATAAGGTTTTCTACCTCAAATTTTGCGGGCAGCGGGGCGACGGCAGTGGCGGCGCGGCGGGCACCTTATTGACTGGAGTGCACCGCTCATTGCCCGCCACCGCGCCGCGCCGCTTTTTCTGAGAACCGGTCCATTTGATTTTACGCATAAGATCCTGCCGCTCCCGCGCTGCGGCCCCACTGCCCGAAAAATTCGAGGCAGATGCCTAAGTAAAAGATCACAAATATGCTATTTGTTTTGGACAAAACCGTAACCGAACGGACCGTTTTGTATGGGTGCATAAATTTTCACACTTTTTTCAACCATCTTCAAAAAAAAGGAGGAGGTTCTCAATTCGACTGTATTTTTTTTATGTTTGTTACTCGATTACTCGAAGACGCCTAGACCGATTTCAAAAATTCTTTTAATAATGATAGGTATCTATTAAGGTTTCAATGAATAATTTTGTTTAAAAACTTGTGGCACCGACTATTCACCTATCAGTGGGTGTGTAAAATATAAGTAGGTACATGACAATAGTTACCTACTTTTTGCTTTTTTTAACTTTTTTTTTATTTGTTCTACGTTTTTTATTAGACTAATAAAAGCGATAAAGAATATAGATAAAGGAAATACAGAAGCAAACTCCCAAATCTATAAGATTTTCCAAGATTATGCATTCATCATCATAATACGTTGTGTAACAACTATAGCTGTGCTAGTTGAATATCGCTATTGAATGTTGTGTTTATTACTGTAAGTAATATAATTATTCACTAGCGACATTTATAGGGCATAAGGTACACCACACGATACAGTAAACTGTAGTTCCGTCACTCGACCATAGATGGAGCTGTAGCGTTTTGTCATAAATCAGATCGCTGTGTTAAGAATCTCAGTGAGTAATGAAGTGACGCACGCCCCTGCGTGTTCATTGAATATTGTCGGACTGACCTAGAGTAAGAGTTGCATTCTTGGATCACGTCTTAATTGCAATGATCACATGAGACTTCTTTAGCTAAGTTGTCTGAGGCCTTAGTACGAGTTTGTTTTACGTTTAAAGTAATCGTAACGAGTAGGTACGCGGTCGGCGCTGTGATTGGTTGTTTCATTAGCACCAGCCAACCAGAGTGCCGAACGCATTTTTTTTTTTTTTAAGGGGGGAAAATCATCGAATGACTGCTCCCGCCTGGGTGAGGCGGAAGGGAGTGTCAGACTCTTACTGACTAAAAACCACCCCGTTCCTTCTCCTGCACGTCGAGCCGGAGCCCCGGTTACCCGTTAGGTTCTCCGCGACGTGCCGAACGCATACTCGTTTCGTAAATAATACTTTAAACGTAGGTAAATCAAACTCGTATTAACTAAGGCCTCTGAACTGACTCCTTTACTTTCAAAACGAGCTTTAGAATGGCACCACTGAAGATAGACAATTTCATTGAAAGAAGACATTTCGTTTTCAAAAACATATTCACCGCGTTATGGTTTCATCATAATGATAAGTAAGGCATTAAGGTGGACTTAATGCCGCAGGCATAGAAATAGATTAGGTACTTATTTAGTTAGGAAAAGAATATAAAAACCTGTTTGTGTGATTGTAGGTTTGTATTGTACACACTAATAATCTCCAGATTTAATGGACAGATTTTAATGAAACCTTTTTTGTTGTTTTCATGGGTAATATGCCTTTTTTGAGGGATGGTAAAAATCATCCAGTGACTTCTCCCGCCTTGGGCCTCTTAAGGGGGAAGGGAATGTCAGACCACCCCGTTCATACTGCAGCTTAGAGCCGGCCGCCCCAGTAGTAGTAATCCACTAACAGCCGGTTTCAATAACCTATCTATCTGCAGATTTGCTTACTAGAGATAGAATTTTGACATGAGCTCCATACAAAAAGTGTCAAAAATCTATCTCTAGTAAGCAAATCTACAGATAGATAGGTTATTGAAACTGGACGTAAGTCGTCCACTCCTTCGGATAGCTAATAATCCTGGCTTCAAAATAAAAAATCTTGGGCGATATAGATAACTACTAATGATATTATTTGTAAAATCCAAGATAAAAAAAAACTGCCTGAAGTTTAACTATTTTACTGTAACCATCAGTCTTTATATATGTATAGTTACTGCCTCTTCTTGACTGGTTACAAAAATAAGAAGAAATCGAGAATAAGTAGGTAATGGGTACAGTGTACACCTACCTATGTCATTCCAAAATACAGTGAATGCATTCAAAACGAAATTAATTTATTTACTCTAGACGACGCGAGTAGGTAAGCAGAAATAAAAGTACATATTTGCATGGGATTTACACCCAAAATACAAGTAAAGTGTACAACTGTAAAGTGTTTAATGAATCAATTAGGTATATTATGTATCTATTTATTTAGATGGTTACTACAACAAACGACTTAGATGTGAAAATGAGATAGCTACCTACCTAACATTTTGGAAATTGGAGTTAGGTGCCTAATTAAGGATTATTGGAAAAATAAATGCTTTGACTTTGAGAGCACGAGGACGCAGGGTAACTACGTAAGGTGTAATTTGTAAATTGGTTCACAGTTTGCGGAAACCTTGTTACTATTATTAATAAAAAACCGATTACCTACCTATATCTTTATATATATAATTCTTCTGTGAGTGTGTATGTCACTGAACTTCTCTCAAACGATAGGACCGATTTTGATGAAATTTTTTGTGTGTGTTCAAGGGGATCTGGGATTGGTTTAGATTCACAAATCAGCCCGTCAAATGGCGCTGCCTGAACTAATTTGATTTGATTGATTCATATTAATTCATACGTGAAACAAATGACAAAGAACAGCAGCTAGGCTCATGGACGTATTAGTTAGTTATAATACGTCCATGGCTAGGCTATTCTGTAACTTGGTTGTCTATTGGTTGTGATTGTGAGAATAATCCCGACCAGTGACGGGCGAGAATGCGATCGAGTTCATTTCAAAAGTTCGAATTGACATCTTACAGTATAGCCTAGCAGAGTAGTGGGACTAAGGTATAGTTCCTTTAAGATTTCTGAGATAATTAGGTATTCTCCTGTGTCCTTTTTCGAGTCTTACGCCCGCATACTGAAATGCTACCCTCAATTCAAAAACCTCAATATCTTTCTATCTCTTTCATTTTATAAAGAACTATATAACTTCTGACAGCAGCTTCCCCCGCGTTTCCGTCTCAAAAGAAAGTCAAAAGTTAAATCATTTACATATCAATTAGACCAGGAAGGCACTTTTGAACGTCAACAAAAAAAATAAATAAAGCCATTTGCTCATCTCATTCCAATGTCTAGATTCCTACGGAGAATAATGAACAAGATACTCTCGCATTTTTTTTTTTTTTTTAAGGGGGGAAAATCATCGAATGACTGCTCCCGCCTGGGTGAGGCGGAAGGGAGTGTCAGACTCTTACTGACTAAAAACCACCCCGTTCCTTCTCCTGCACGTCGAGCCGGAGCCCCGGTTACCCGTTAGGTTCTCCGCGACTCCGAATCGGCATCGGCCCTATTGGGCCCCATCTGTGGTGGTCTGATGGCTCTTTGAGGCGCGCGCGGAACGCGACGCGCCGTACGCTCGGGTCTGTTTCTGGTCGGACGGGGAGCCACCCATGCTCGCCGTCCGCAGGCCCGCGCTTACGGTGGCCGGAGATCGTCCCGCGATCCCCGACGCCCGGTGTGTCCTTCGCGATGGCTGGGTTGCGAGGAGGCAGCGCTTCGCTGCCTCACGCGTCCCGCCCCCTCCTTAGCCAGCATGACTGCTTCGCAAAAGGAGGAGACGGCATCCCAGTCCCCCTCGCTCCGCATCATGGCCTGAACTAGGCCCGGACGCGAGAGGTCTCCATCGCCGATCACTTCCCTGAGGGCACGGCGGTGCTCAGCCCACGCAGGGCATTCCGCAACAGTGTGTTCCACCGTGTCCTCAGGGTGGTCCTCGCAGTGATGACACCCGGGCGTTTCCTCCCGCCCCATCAGACACAGGTACCTCCCGAAACTTCCATGTCCGGTGAGGACCTGCGTCAGGCGGTAGGTGAGGACGCCGTAGCGTCTCTCAAGCCACTCCTCAAAGAGGGGACTTACCGCTGCAATGGCAGCGAGCCCAGCCCTCGGTTGCGACAGTCGTTGCTGCCATTCCGCCATGAGATCGCGCCGGAGCTCATCCCGCCACGCACTTATCTGGCGCGGCAGCGGAGTTTCGCCCCGGCGACGTGCCTCCGCGCGCATGCGATACACGCGCGCGAGCACCTTCGCCTCCAGATCCCACGGCGGTAATCCGGCAAGGAGGTTCGCCGACTCCCCAGAGATCGTGCGGTATCCGCGGATCATTCGGATCGCCATGACCCTCTGTGCCATAAGCAGCGCCCGAGCGGGCCGCTGCAGCAGGTTCGGCGCCCAAACAGGGGCGCCGTAGAGGGCCATGGACAAGATACTCTCGCATAGGTTACTCTTTTCCAATAAGGTTCACAATACAATTCTTTACTTGCATAGTTTTGTTGGTTCAATTTTGTGAGAAGAATGCAATTCAAAAAACTCTGTGGGATTAAAAGTAGCCTTTTTGTTATTCGAGACTATTGTTCCAAATTTAATACAGATCCCGTCAGCCTCTTTGACGTGATTGGGTAATTCACACAAATTCACCAAGTTTCGCATCTATAATATTAGTAAGATTCGTAATAATTACATTTACAGTGTCAGAACTATTATGCGAGCATCTTAAATTTGGTGGCGTTTGACTATTTGACCTAATCTGTTGAGTGGTTTAAAATCCAACCCAACTATCGTTGTACCGGATTACACTCAAATAAGTTCAGTGGTTTAAATAACCCCGGGGGTTTTACCCTCGTACTTCACGTGGGATTTCCCGGGTAAAAGTTATAAAAGTTATCCTTGCTCGAGAAAGTTCGAATCTATAATTTTAAATAGGTACCTAAATCAGTTTAGTACTTTAGGCGTGAAAAACAGATAGAGATAGACGGACGGTTACTTATTATATTATATTAAGTGGTACGATGTGTAATAACTAATAATGATGAATATAAACACTATAAATATGTATAGTCAATAGTTTTTTATTAATTTATTTGTATTCGGCAAATAAATCTAAATAATACAATTGATTTTGTCATGTAAAAATAACAATAATAAAAATTCTAACAATATTCATAAATAATATTCCGATTTATAATGTGTTATTCCTTTGTAGTAGTAAAATTATCATTATCCAGAGGGAAAGGCCAAGCAATTTGGATTATCCAAATTTTGGTTCAATCCTGACTTCCACGGCTAAATATATATTTCATTGTCGGCTGGTGGAGAGGATGTTTCTAAAACGTCAGGCTTTAGTCTTTCCTACAAGAAAATTATAAGGTAATGCCACAATGCTCTACAGTTTTTTATTTGATGCTTTTTATGCCGTATATTTTTCGTAGTCGGGTTTTAGTATTTCTATTTTTTGGGGTAAAAGTACACATATCTAAAGTCAGCAACAGGACCGTTTCAAACTAACTAATGGTCTCAATCAAAAAATGTTGCCCTCAAGCGACATTTTGTAAAGAATGTTACTAAGTTTCTACGTGCGCGCACTGTATTACTTATTGTTACCTCTCATAATTAATAATAAAATATTATGTATTTTTGGTATATATATTATATAATATAAGCTCTACTACTGAGGAATTAATTATATGTATTTTTTTTTAATTTATACCTACTGTTTATCTAAGCAAATTGATAAGTTGAAGTACTTAAGTATACAATACATATATTATATAACCGACGAGCATGCATGAAAAGATTGATGACTGTTAATGAAGCGAAAGAGATAGGTATGTAGGAATCGTTCATAGGTTCTATGAGAGACAGGCGTAAAGTTGTATGTATGTATGTATATTATGTATTTGAAATGTGCTAATTACTTCCTTCTATTTGATATCAAACACGATATAATCACACAAACTTCTTTTTATTCACGATTTTAGCCTTTAGAGGGCCATTTGAAATTTCGTATAATTTTATGTATAATAATGGGACTGAATATGAATATGAATATGTATGACTAATGGGACGCTTCTAATGATGCCCCATTTATCGAATTATGACCAGTAGTTTAGTACCTACACTCTTTTTGGCTTCGCCGTAGTCGGGTATCTAATAAATGAAACTAATAGATATAGAGTTCGGATTCGCTATGGAAATTAATTTTTTCTATTTCATCCATGACTCAATTTGACTGATCAAGCTTAATTATATATATATATGTTATGTACCTAATTACCTATACATATTCGTACAAGTTACGTGAAAATCTATCCGTTCCGGAAAAAAACAGCTGTTCATTTATGGGTCGCAATTTTAAAATAAATAAATGTTACAACGAAACAGTATCTATAAGTACCTATAATTAAACTGTACAAATATCAATTCTGTACATTTAAAATATAAAAATATAAATAGTAGGGGGTGTCACCAGATAGACACCGAGCCCAAAAATGTTTTAAGAAAAATGTTGTCTATCTCTTCGATGTTTTATATCAGTGGTATGTTCACGCATCAGCATCATGCAAAACCTACCGGTCCTACACTGGATCACACTGGGTACTTTTTATCCCGAAAAAGTATAAACATTAAAAACTAATTTTATTGTGCGGTTCGATCCCTAGGATGGGAACGCGAGTGAAGCGGCAGGCAGAAGCTAGTACTTAATAAAAGAACTGTTCACTTACCTTCATGTTTTCTTTTATAACTTAATTATATATTTTATTTTAAATTAATTTTACACGAACACGTTTAAAGTGCACTAAATATCACTGTGTCGATCGAGTGGATCGGACTGTTTAATCTACTGCGCACGCGTCGATCGCCCAATTGATTATGACAAAAATACAGTCTGTGGACACACCCATGTGTGTGCGTACTGCATATTATGTTGTTGTATATTTGGGTTTTTTGCAAATTGCAACCAATGACGCGACAAGATGACTTTTCTACAGTGGTAACGGGCTGCCGTGCCGGAGGCTTAAGAGGTCGTTACCCTATGGGGGCTCTGGAGCAGCTCTATAAGAGAAATTTAAAAGTTTTCCTCCGTCATTAAAAAAGTAATTCACTGCGGCCCCTAATTCATCAATTGATTAGATATTTCCTTCCTCCGTAAATTCATATCCAACACAATTTTTGTCATTCGAACTAGTAGTTCTGGAGATTAGTGCAATTGAACAAACAAACAAACTCTTCAACTTCATACGTTAGATGGAATAGAAGATTTCAAACATTACTTGATTATTTTTCCTGTTAAGATTTTTCTTCTTCTTTTTGAAGTTGATTTTAAAAAGTAGTTTTTTTATTTATCGTTCTACTAGTTATTAAAAAAGGTATTCTTATTATTTTTTCCAGCATCCAAAGCACAATGCGGAGTTGGTCGGTCGGTGACATACGTCCGTTGGTCAGGAGTGGCTCCGGAGACTGCGAAACCTGTGTTTGTGTACTCCGCGAGCGGCGAGGAACAGTCTCTGGCAGGAGCCTGCCTAGCCAGATGTCGGGAGTTGGAGGAGTGCGCGGCAGTCGTCGTCGCATACGGCAGAGGAAACTGCCAGGGCATAGCAGATCACACCTCAGCAAAATTGAAAGTAGACAACGATGTCGCCTTCTTCAAGAAAGTCTGTCTGACACGTAAGCATCTACTTAAACTACCTAAGTATCTTTTCTATTACTAACTCATCACTAAATTAACGCTGAAAGCGGCTGACGAAATAAGACGCTCATTCAGTTCAAGCGTATCCGACACAGAGATAAGGAAGCGTGTGCGGACGTGAATTCATCATAGGGAAGGTCGTCGCGGAGAACCTAATGGGTTACCGGGGCTCTGGCTCGACGTGCAGGAGAAGGAACGGGGTGGTTTTTAGCCAGTAAGTCTGACACTCCCTCCCGCCTCACCCAGGCGGGAGCAGTCATTCGATGATTTTCCCCCCTTAACTCGTCGAGTACCGGTTTTATAGACACAATTAAAGAACAATAGGTCGCGGTCACCGGTGACCGCTTGGTGTTTGACAGTTTAAAAAAAGGGAAGGTCACTTTAAACTTTGAAGAAAGTTTTGTAAATAATAATGTTTTTTAAATTGCCCGTATTTGGGTAGCTAATAAATCAAGAAAAGAAAATCAATCATAAATCAAGTTCTGTAATTTAGGTGTGTGTAGGCGGTTTTTGGAAAATAGATAGTATTGGTGCCAGAACACCGCAAAGTAAGTACATTCCAACAAGCATTTAGAAAAGTGAAATTTGTTGGTTACATGCTTTCGAAATTTAGCATAATCATACTTGTGCATGATTAAAATTTTTAGGGATGCAAAAGGTATCTCCCGCTTAATTTTATTTACTTGGCTCAATGAGACTGACACATACATTTCATATGAATACCTAAAGAATTGTTCTATGAATATTTTGAACACAAAATTATTTGATAATTCAAGGAGCAACTATTAGCACCAAATCAATAAGTAGTATTATTATAAAAATTATCGAAACCAATTAAATCACTGAATAACTTAATTAATTAACACTAAATATAAAACTATGCTTCACCTTTTTATACCTTATCTAAACGGAAGTAATCTGAAACCGAGGGAAAATATATTTTATATTATATTGGGTGGTAGGAAACGTCCGGGTGTCATCACTGTGAGGATCGCCCGGAGGACACGTTGGAGCATACATTGGCAGTGTGCCCTGCGTGGGCTGAGCACCGCCGTGTGCTCAGGGATGTGACGATAATAACTAACCTCCTCACGCCCCAGCCGTCGCGAGAGTCACTCCGGACATCGGGGATCACGAGACGGAGAGCACGGGTGACTCGCCGCCCGACCAGAACCAGACCCGATCGTACGGCACATCGCGTTTTGCGCGCGCCTTAAGAGCCGCGACCATCAGACCAGCACAGATCGGGCCCAACAGGGCTGATACGGAGTCGCGGAGGACTTAATGGGCTCCGGCTCGAAGTGCAGGAGTAGGAACGGGGTGGTTTTTAGTCAGTAAGAGTCTAAAAGTTTGTCTTTCGACAGTGCCAGATGAGTGTAGTACGCGGTGGTGGATGCTGGAGAACACTCCTGGCTACCACCTGCACTCCGAAGTGTCTCACCTCAAGGTCATTCTCAACACAACCATCTACGAGTGCTACGATGCTGTGTTCACTTACAACGGTGATAAGAAGTTCAAGTAAGACCTAAGATTATATTTATTTTCCACCATATAACAGAAACAGAATTAGATCTTATACTAGGCTTCTATTACCTATAATTAATTATACAACACAATAGTATAATTTTAACATGTGGGAGATATTAGATCCTAATAGGATATAATATTGTACGAGATTATGGTATTTCGCTTTCTTACAAGTACCGTGCGTCCGTGCGATGTCACGCGTGGCCCCGCCTTCTGACCTTCATGCTTTCTTGTCATTGTTACACATTGACGTGTCGGGCGTTTATTAATATTGTTGTCGCTTATTCTGATGTACTGTCAAACTTAAACGATTTATTAGAGCCGTATTTTTATTGCCTAGAAACCTTCTCTTAAATTGATCATTTATGACTACTGTCACATGCCACTGAGTAGTATCACGGTTTCAAATCGACATCTTGCATATTTATAGAGTCGAGTACCTACTTTTTCTTATTGAAAGAAGGAAAGAAAGAAAAAACATTTATTTAGCACCAGGCACGATGCAGCATAAATAAAATATAAAAAAGACAATCAAGGTGTGACAGTGGAAGTAATAAAAATATAAGAGTTGAAAAATTGAAACAGAAGAATTAGATAAGAGACGCTGACAACATGCCTATGCTAAAAGGGTCACCCACTCAGTATAAGCCAAGCATACAGGTTACCCAACACTGATTTTCAGTGGGCACCCATGCAGTGACGCACGGATGGTAGCAACGTTGTATGGTTAGACAAAGACAAAAAAAATATATATACATATATGAATGACAGAATGAAGGACATAGGACAGCCAGTATGTCTGTGTTCTGCATCACTTATACACTAAATTGATTAGAGTTAAATGATAGACAGATCAATATTAATTGCAGCCTTGTCTTTTTGCGAAGTTAAAATAAATATTTTAAGATTATATTTAAAGCTATTTATACTTGGTGAGTCTCTGTAGGCTGCCTGCCTGCCTCGAAATGCTGCTGTTTTGTGTTGAGGTATAGCTAGATGCTGTGCACACTGCCTAGCCTCCCGCTTTCGGTGAGCACCAACCCAGGATAATTTTGAGTGCAAGTACGAGGGACACTTATTTTTGATTACGCCAAAAAGAAGACAAGCTAGGTGGAGCTTGCGACGTGACTTCATTTTTAGGAGGTTGTGTTTGTTAAGATAAGGTGTAACGTGTCCCTTCGGTGGTATATTAAAGCAATAACGGGCACATGCGTTTTGAACCCGTTGTATCAGCCTCTTTGTTCGTGATAAGAGTCTAGAGCCAATTACTGTATCCGCGTAATTTAATTTAGACAAAACCAAAGCTTCAGCCAGCTGCACTCGTAAATCCTCGCTGAGATATGCACGCATTCTGTACAGAACTTTCAAGCAGTAAAAACAATTTTTTACACAATTTGAAACATGGGTTTCAAACCTGAGGGCTTGATCCATTATAAGACCCAGGTTCCTAGCTTCAAATACACGTTCGATTACTTGTCCACCCACTAATACGTTAAGTTTACTAGGAACCTTGTTCAACTGACCGTTTGTTCCAAAAAGCATATATTTAGTTTTGGATGGATTCAAAATGAGACAGTTCCGACTAGACCATTCCACTATGCCATTTAGATCCTCGTTTATAGCCGTCACTGCAGCCAAGTAATCGCGCGGCTTAAAAGAGAAATATATTTGAAGATCATCAGCATAGATATGGAATTTGCAATGTTTTAACCTTAACAATATCGGTACAGTACAAAATAAATAGAGTTGGCCCCAATATTGATCCCTGCGGAACGCCCCTAGTTACCGGTTCTGCACCTGAACGCAAAGGACAACCCTTTGAATCGCGAATCTCAACCAATTGAGTATGGTTTTTGAGATAACTGTCAAACCACCTCAACGCTGCCATATCGAACCCATAATACGCCCTCTTAGACAGTAGTAGGGACAAATTTATGGCATCGAACGCCCTAGAAAAATCCAGTAAGACCAACATGGTACACAGACCTTCATCCTGTGCAGACAGAATATTGTCGGTTACGTCCAACAAGGCTGTAGCTGTACTTCGACCCTTTCTAAAATCCAACTGCAGCTCCGGAAGGATGCCACCACCCTCAAGAAACCTAGATAACTGCTCATTCACTACTCTTTCTAGCACCTTGGATAATAAGGCTAAGATACTGATTGGCCTTAAGTCTTTGAGATTACTAGGGCTGTTCACTTTAGGTAAAGGACGCACTATTCCAAGTTTCCAGGCGTCAGGGAATGAAGAAGTTGTTATGGAACCATTAATTATCCGTACCAATAAGTCCGGAGTTAGGGGGGCTGTCAACATATACATATGCAATGTGATTTGATCTCATCCTTCAGCATTCGATTTTAGGGCATTCAAAATGTTCAAAACTTTAGTAGCGCTAGTGGTTGGGAAAAAGTACAGTCGGAAAACCTATGAAATTCATAATACGTGAGATGTGATAATGAGGTACTAGGATCAGCAAGAACATGCAAGAAATTAAAATTGATTAAATCTGGGTTATTAAATTGTGAGGGTAGATCCATATCGTGACTTGGAGGAAGCAGTGTGGCTTTTCAATTTTTCCATAATAATTTCGGATACTTTAAGTTATTGTTAATATTAGTTTTATAGTAAGCTACTTTCTCAAAATAAATAGATTTGTTGACTAGGCTCTTTAAATCTAAATAATATTGTTTTTTATGCTGTAAAGATTTATTGTTCATAACCGTTATTCTCTTACCATAATATTTTTTTACACTTGGTATCATATTATATTTTCCTTTGTCACTATGTGTAGTATTATATTTATGCTAAAAGATTCCTTGTATTTATTTATCTCAAACTGTTCTAAAGCTATGAGGTCTGTATTTAGTTTACTTTTGCCTATACGGGTAGAATTTTACATAATTATATCCCATGGGAGCATTTAATCGGGATAAAAAAATCCTATAACCTAAGTCAGCCCATAGGTGGGTACTTATACAAAATTTCATCAACATCCCTTCAGAAGTTTCAGCGAGATTGACGGACAAACACTATATTAGTGTGATGATGAACTTATAAACATCTTCTATCTTCTATGTATTTTCTTCTATCTCTATCTCCTCCCTATATCTCTTTCCTTCTATAATAATAAACCTGTAGAAGTGTAAATTCTGTATATTAAAAAAATAATAATAATGGGCAGTTTCACTAAGTTTAAGGGAACTCTTATTCAGCGCATCCTTTATATAATTGCCGAAATGCGACTTGTATAGTTTTTGTTCACAGGTCTGCGCAGTGGGTAGTACCTCAGAGTGAGTTCGACCCCGACGTTATCTACACGTCGGATTCCCTGGTTGGGAACTGTATTCTCAATGCGGAGAACAGATTCACAGAACCGGAGTCCTATCGTGTTTCTAATTACTACACGGTGTACATTGAAAACCAGTGTAGACATGACTGTGAGTGGCTATTTGTCTTTGTAGACATACTGTACCATCTTTCTTAACATAATCTTGTTTTAACGCAATCCCCACCAATAAAACATAAATGTTGCCAAGGAATAGATTCTATCCTATGGTATTCTATCCGATAGAATACCATGCACTACCAAAAAGTTATCAGGTCTCGTGTAGTGCCAAATTTCCAAATCTACATCCTTATCCATGTAACCAATGCGTAGAAACAATACAACATCTTCGTTAAATCATTTTGTTTATCATTTTTATGCGGGTATACTCTTGTGCCCCCAGATAAAAGTCAAGGATCTAGATAGAAAATTCGTATACCGGGAAAATGAACGGTTCCCGTGGAATATCTTTATATCTTGCATAGCCACTATTTTACTACTGTCCAGTGACAAAAAGTTTAGTAAGGTAGAAAGGACGCTATTTAATAATGTGAATAGCGTTGCAGGACTACATATCTTGCCATTTCAGTAGTAGTAAATGCTACACGTTTAATTCTATGAGTCAGATCCAGAGCACATCATTTTTGACGCAACAGGAAATTATGTATTATGCTAAAATCGAACAATAAAAAAAATAGTAAGATGAATATTTAGTGAAGATTCTTATCAATCATATTGTTAATAAAACCGTGCGTGAGTCGTCTCAGATAAAGTTCCTTGTACTGATATTATTTTATTGATACATTTATTAGGTACGTATGATAACGACTACTACAAGTTACTGATTATTTCATTAACTCATCGTAATTTATTTCGATTCCCTTGTTATTTATTTATTACTAGCTACTTCCGCGCGGTTTCACTTGCTCTACTCGGCGCCTTTTAATCGTGGCGTGATGTTTTATAGCCTAAAGACTTCCTCAATAAATGGGCTATCCAACACAGAAATAATTGTTCAAATTGGACCCATAGTTTCGGAGATTAGCGCGTTCAAACAAACAAACTCTTCCGCTTTATATAATAGTATAAGATATAAGATTTATGTACACACATACAACACAAAGGACAACACATATATAAAAACAGAGTACATAGGTCCCACATATTCCAACTGGAATTTCTTCCTGTGGGCCTGTGGCAGGAAAAGAAATAACGACACCGAGACACAGTGTGTTACACAAATAAGATAAAAATCAATTAAAAAAAAGTAAAACCAAAGAACCCAAACAAAATTACAATATTGATTAATAAAAGAAATTAATATAATACAGTTATAACAAATAACAAATTAATACATATATATGTATTAATATAAACCACAGATATATTAAAGAAGAATATTTCTGTGGTATAAACAAACAACAGGAGGAAAGATAATGTTATCTCACTTGTCTCTTAAAGATAGAGATTGACTTAGCGTCTCGAATGTAGAGTAGAATTCGGTATTATGGGGCACAATTTTAAGATAGAAATTCGACGTGCAGGAGAAGGAACGGGGTGGTTTTTAGTCAGTAAGAGTCTGACATTCCCTCCCGCCTTACGCAGGCGGGAGAAGTCATTCGATGATTTTCCCCCCTTAAAAAAATACTCTTAATGACTACCGTCTTCAGAGATGTTTAATGATTACTTAAGAGTAGGTATATCGGCACAAGTGCAACATTGGGGTCATCATGAACTTAGTTAAAGCATCTTATTAATACTATTTTGTTTACTTAAGTATAACAAATTAATAATTCATTAATATGTATTGCTTCTATACATTTTTCTCACAAGAACTCGCATTTAAGTAGACAGGTACTCAGGTACTTGTTAACATTTACATGCAAATAAATTGGTGTTACAAAACGATTCGTTTCCATTATCATAACATTCATACATTATACGTATACATTATCCCGCATGTTTAGGCGATGCATTCCATGCGGGACTTGTTGAGTTCATTAATATGTATAGGCCAATATTTCGCTTTCATGTAAGAGTTGTGTCAGTAGATAAGTAAACTAGCTTTTCATAATGTACATATTTACCATATTTTTTCATGTTGGTAATTGCGTAGGTACTTACTTAAGTATGCAATGAATTTTTGAAAAAAATATTCATTCGTAGTTTAATTGGTGCACTAATTCTGTGTATCGTGTCGTGTCGTTTCCCGCTTGGAACCATTCTTTGTGTTTACTACGAATCACCGATCCGAATTAAGGTCGCATCACACAATTTTACATATTGTGTCTGCGTGTCTTTGTGAACACACCTATGACACATGAAAAATCCCAAGTTGCAAGTAAGAGGAAAACAAAACATAATTACTTACATTGTGTTTTCTTTAGTCAACACGAAAATTATGGTACACAAACCTTATTTGTAGTTTTTATAGGAGGCTCGAAGTTTAGCAGTAGATTGTTTGGTCGGTCGATGATGACATTCTGTTAGCAATTTCCAACAAAAAAATAAATAAACAAATAATAAAGAATATACAGGCTTGGCCTAAGACTAGCATTAAATTCCACGTTAAATTGCACTTTTGCCTCAGATGGAACCAGCCTTTTGATCATAAAAATCTTTGGAATTTACCCAGGGAAGAATGTTTTTCCTATTAAATCTCACGATAAATATTTTCGGATGCAAAAATTATATTGATTGGTAACGTAAGTCTTACGAAAGATAATTTAGTTGCCTTTAAAATAAGAGTATTTCTTTTTCTATAAGGAATATATATTTTTTGTCAAAGTTATAGAGGGTTCGAACAATGAAAAAAAAAACTCTAGTGGCTCCGTTTCTTTGCTTCCAAGTGGACGTATTGTAGTGTAGTATCTAAGAATGCAAATTGGTAATTATTCTAATATACATATTTCAGATCCACAGAAGATAGAAAGATGTTCTTATGAAGAATACTACAACCAAACACTGAGACACGTCGAATTTACTATGAAGAACTCCACGAGAGACGAAGTAAGTTTGATGATGCCGTTTTCCTATTATTAGTAGTAAGTGTGGGAGAGCCATGCTTCGGCACGAATGGGTTGGCTCAACCGGACTGATACCACGGACTCACAGAAAACCAACGTGAAACAACGCTTGCGTTGTGTTCCATCATGTGAATAAGGTTACCAAAAGCCTAATTACCCCCTAACCCCTTTAACTGATCTCCCCAATCCCTGAACCCCCAACCATCCACAAATTCCTAATCTCCAAAAGGCCGGTAACGCACTTGTAACGCTTCTGGTGTTCCAGGTGTCCATGGGCGCTTATGGCATGGCTTGTTTATCGGCTTATCGAATAAAAAAAATATAGTGCCTACCTATAAGGATACCTACATAAAAGTTTGGAGACAAGTTTACTTTAATTAGATATGGCCTCTGGTCTCATAATTTATGCAAATTGCCTTAGAAAAGACTAATTCGTAAACACGAATCCTGCCTGAAGACATTATTCTACGCGGACGAAGTCACGGCCAACAGCTAGTATTGTATGTTTCCAAATACATAGTTAGTTTTAGTTTTCTGAACTAGACAGCAATTTTGCTATCAAATCCCATTGTAACAGGAAGTGAGTGTTCCATATCAGAGATCCATTCAGAACCTGCATTACGACTGTTTACGACAGTCAAGAACCCCACTATCAACCTGACTCTCTATAGCTAGATACTTGTGATAATTCCACAAACGAGGATAGTCAGAACCAGTGATAGTGTTTAGGTACAAATTAACTTTTTTATCTAAAATGATTTCTATAAATAATGAGGTCAAATGTTGTATTAAATCAATGTCGTGCCATTAATCACTTTGCTGTGTTAATTATTCTTTTGTTTAAAGTAGTTGGTAGGTACTTTAGTTTATTGATGATAGTGCTTTTATGAATAAATATTTAGTCTCATTATAAAATCGAAAACTCCAGTGTGACCTACCTCCAGGTTAGAATAGAATTTCCTCTCATGTTGTTTAAACTGTCAAACACCAAGCGGTCACCGGTGACCGCGACCTATTGTTCTTTAATTGTGTCTATAAAACCGGTACTCGACGAGTTAAACACAATATAATATAAGTATTTGTACTATGACATCACGCCTATCTTTAAATTGGATAGTCTTGGCTAGAAAGAGAGAGGTAGATATAGTAGCGAAACGCCACTTTAGCGCTTGTCTACAGAGAGAGTAGAAAACTAAATGTATGGGGATGACACTGACATGTGTAAAAATTTACATCAATTCTATATAATTTGGTTTTCTATTCTACATGTAGACAAGCGCTAAATGGCATTTGGCTACAGCTGTAGGTTACGTCAGTTAAGAAGACTCTCCAAACCTTTTCGGAATTTGAAGCGGAGTTGGTACGATTTGACTCGTTGTTATCATTACCAAACTAATTTATTTGATATATGTTTTCAGTGCAAATCATCCTGTGAGCAATCACAGCTGTTCATTTGCCGTGGGTTTACGTGGATTTCGAGGGGGAAGGTCAACGGTGGTGGGGAACGGGGTCTATGCGATCTGCACAGTGAAGACCTCATTACCACCGGCTCCTGGCTGCTGAGGCGAATTTCTTTCGCTACTTATTACCGCAGAGTGGTCTGCTTAAACAGTATGTATAACTTCTTGTCTTCCAGGCTACTTGCTTGCGGTTAATGTATGTGTCCTTTTCCCATTGTAATGTATTTATCATTCATTAAGTGTGGGAGAGTCATGCTTCGGTACAAATGGGCCGGGTCGACTGGAATTATACCACGGCCACACAGAAAGGCGATGTGAAACAACACTTGCGTTGTGTTTCGCCGTGTGATTGAGGTTACCGGAGGCCCAATTCCCTGCCTAGTCTCCCCATTCCCCGAATCGCCGATAATCCTCAAATTCCTAATCCCCAAAAGGCTAGTAACGCACTTAGCGCGGCGCCGATTGCTTACCATCAGGTTATCCGTCTGCTCGTTTACCGGCTTATTCCATAACTCCTCTTGATAAAGAAATCCCTTATAATTTTGTCACGTGTTCGATTCAATCATACCTACTACGTATAATCTATCACGTACATTTTATATGTATACAGGTAGGGTAAGTAGGTTGTCCGTGTGTGTTACTTTAGTCCCATTATATTATTTGTTCCAGTTTCCGTAGAATGTGAAAGTACGCACATGGTAGTAACATACCGGCCGCACGGGGTGTTCCGAGGACGACTGTATGTTCCTGGAAGAGGAGAGAAGTGCAGTGCCCGAGCTGTAGGTCACACTGTGCGACTTAACCTGCCCATGCAAGGAGACTGTGACGTTAACTTCGCTTACGGCATCTCAAACGGCCCTAATGGAATCATTAACAGGTAATATCGATGATTCAATGAGAAAATAAGTACTTAGATAGAAGACTATATCTTGTTATAGTCTTCCAAAACTTGCTTTACTAATTCGGGCCTCACTGCGCACTGAGTATTAACCTGCCTTGAGTTATGTATGTACATACGTAGATCACCACAGACCGTAGTATTCCTTAATAAGATCGTAGTATTCCTTAAATGAAACATCCCTTATTTCATTCAGTGAAGTCTAATTTTACTTATAGGTTGACTTATAGGATGACGTGTTTTCACTTATAGGTAAATGGAAACACGTCATCAGCTAGATTAAATTAGTGATTCATTTACTTTAACACATCTATTTGTTAAAATTTATGTTAATTTAATGCAGGACGATGGCGTACGTGATCGTAATGATTCAGAACAACCCCATCATACAGACGGCGGGTGACCGCTGGGTGCGAGTAGGTTGCTCACCAGACTCAAAGAAAGTAAAGCAGGTTGGCACCACCGTGTCTGTTAGAGAACTCGGGTAAGATAATAATAATAATTACACTTCTATAACATACAGAGTAGGTATATATGTCGTCACGTCTGTCTCCCATTGAAGTAGTAAGAAGAGATAATGTAACGTCAAATGACACAATTCTGGCATACTTACTTTACTACCTTGTGAGATCCAAGATAGTTGTTTATGTCCCTCCTTACAGTTTTAATGTGTCCTATTTCTTGGCAGTGGTTATAGGAGTCCGGTTACACCGACTGAGCCGGAGTCCCCAGCGCACCAGACGCCGGCAGCAGCGAGTGCAATATACGGCGGCAGCAGCACGCCGGTGTCGATGTATGTGGTGCGGGCGCTCGATGAGACCGGTGCGGGTGCAGTGTCCCTGGGAGAGCCTCTAGAACTGAGGATCGAGACCACAGGTGAATTTTCATGGCGATGGTAACTTTGATCTAGCTTGTAGCTTCTTAAATTATACTCGAAAAGGTATTGTGTTCCAATAGGGTAGATGACAAATTTTTATTTTAATGTCCGTCTGGTAGATTATTTTAAAACATTACACACGTATTTTTTACAGAATCGAATACGTCCGATGATACATTGATTTGAAATGTCGCGTGACGTCACTTCTATGTACATTTTATACGTAGAAATGACGTTTTAGCCCCCACTCCTAAACTAATCAAAGTTTTATCTAAGTATCATTTTACTATACACAAACTTTTGCACAAATTTTTACAAATAAACAATCTTTCTTTCTTTGTTTCTATACGACAAAATAAAAAAATACGTGTCTAATATTTTTTAATTAAAATTAAAAATCTAATTCGAATTAATTAGATTTTTAATTTTCATACCCTGTCATCATCCCTATTCTGCGTCAGACATACTGTACTGTTGGGATGGAAGTTCTAAGTAATATTAAGAAATCCTTGTGGAGAAACGAAAGAAGGTATTCGTTACCATTATATTAACAGGTATTTTTGTTTTTTTATTTAACGCAGAACAGCAATCTCAAGAATACATACCCAGTAGACCAACAGAAACAAAAAATTAAACAAGAAATGTTGGTTCTATTATTTTAATCATACGACGTTTGAATAAATTGATCGTTCTGTCGTGCGCGAGGTAACACAAAAAGTCGTTAATTGTGTAATTTCATGTCTCATTATGGTGTTGTTTGAAGTGACACGCTTGATTGCAGACAATTTGGAAATCAAACCGTATCATCTAGTGGCTTCTTCGAGACTTGGAGACAGTTCTGTACTGCTGCTTGATAGTAGGGGCTGCCCTACTGGCCAGGTTAGTGAGAGTACTTCGGGTTGCCCTTCAATTTAGTTAAGCTTAGTTAATAGGACTGTGTGCACTTAGGCTGCAAACTGTGTGTTTAGTAAGTAATAGCCTGAAAGCTTCTTATATAAATTGTATTTGAAATGTCTAGGTGGACTTCCCTGCGTTCTCCCGGAGCTGGGTGGGCGACATACAGCGTCTATCGGCGCGGTTTAAAGCTTTCCGCTTCCCTACATCACACATTGTAAAATTTGCCATTATGGTCCGTTTCTGTGATCACAAGTGTCCAGAGGTGAGTAATGCAAATTTTCATTATCTCAATTAATTATTCTTGTTTTCATTTTTATGATAAAACTAGCTTTTACCCGCGGCTTCGCTCGCGTCACAAAAGGATAAAAAGTAGCCTATGTGACATATACCAATACATACAGCGCCATCTATACCAATACTTTTGTTGTCCCTCGGGAATTTCACATTTTTCCGGGATAAAAAGTACCCTATTATTTAATCCGGACTTCTAACTTTACGTCTGTAAAAATTCAAAGCAATCGGTTTAGTAGTTACGGCGTGAAAGCGGAACAAACAAACTCACTTTCCGATTTATAATATTAGTAAGGATGTCTCTTTGTAACAGGTGAAATGCAATTCCGGCAAACCAAGTCGGAACATTCGACAGACAAACGACACATTATACCAGTGGGGTGACGAGGTGCCTGCTGAGGTGCAGCCTGAAGATCTGGAGGGGGGCGAGGATGGTGCGGGGGGGAGACAGACCCCGGCGGGGGGGAGGCCGGGGGGAGGGAGGCCGGGCCGCGTGGTGGCGCGCGGCGCGGCGGCGGGCTGCGCGCCGTCGGGCGGGGACTCGCTGGCCATGACGCTGGAGCTGCTCGTAGACTCCAAGGACATCCTGTCTGCCGACACATTGGTCCGAGCCGACCATCGGGCGACATTGCGTGAGTATTTATGCGACTTGTCTCTTGCTGGTCATCACCGGTACGTTTTTGACTACTCAATAAAATACATATGACGTTCATCCGATTGTACAGTCTTAATTTGAATTCTCATTTGTGTGAAGGTCATTCCTTTAGTGTTGTGTAGATGTAAAGAATCCATGTTGCTTTGTTGACAGCGGAAGACGGCAGGCTGAGCGATGATGGTGCAATGGTGTGCGTCCACGAATTGCTTCTGGTGACACTCGCGCTAGCGTGGCTCGCAGTACAGATTATACTTCTACTTGGCTGCTGTGTACTCGTCAAGAGGTAACTACTTACACAAAACGCAACGCACCAAATGGCTCCTACTACCTTGGGTGGAGCGAGAGGGAATATCAGACACCTATTGACTATTAAACTACCCTGTTCCAACTCCTGATTCGAGCCGGAGCAAGCCCCGGTAACCCTTGCAGTTGTCCGCAGCTCTGGTCAGTGGTCGGGCATCGGCCCTACCGAATGTTTCAATTTTCATTTGACCCTAGACTGTAGAACAATAATCGAAGATAAATAATTAAGTATATCTTTTAGTTGACAATATGCTACGTAAGACTTGACCAAGGTACAGATAGCTACTTGTGTGTAGCTATATTGACAAGTGGAAAAGCAATAATTTTTCCAATCTATTCACCAAACGATTGTAACCGAACGAATTGTAAAGTTTTTCATTTGTATAGCCTCGAGATTTATTTATTTGACTAAAAATTTGATTGATATCATCTTACTCTTTGTTCTATCGTCGTTAGGTCACCAGTAATGTGACTTACACGTTTTCCCACATCTCTACTGAAAGATGTGTTGATTTTTGTATACCTAGGTAAGTTTCGCTTGAACATTTGGTTTTTTGTTATTTAGGTATCGCAATTTGGCCGAAACGAATATGCAGAAAGACTACCAGTCGTTCGATAACGTGGGCTTCGAGACGGGCTCCACTACCAGACGCGTGCACTGGCCGGACCAACACATTGACATACTGCACTCCACTTAGACATACAATGCCCTGTAGGATTGTGACACTGCATATAGCCCGTACTTTCGTCGTCCTCGTACGAATGAAAATGAATTTTGAATCAGTTTTTATAGCACTTTATAAGGTGTTTTAGTACGAATTTATAGTTGTGATTAAAAAAAATCAACGTTGTAAGTAAGTACTGTAATTCTGTCCTATATAAGAATACTGTAAGCCTAATCGACTGTTTTTTTTTAAAGTTTGTTTATGAAAAATGTAATATTTTCTTTCTTTCATAGTTATTGTCATTTTTTTAGTTGTAATAGTTTTTCTACGACTTAGTACTTAACTATAAAAAATTTTCTATATAATTGTGCGTGTGACGATGTGTCGATGTTTCCCCAGTTACCTTAAACTATTTAAAGACTAACTAGTATTAGTCTTTAAATAGTTTAAGCTAACTGTCGTAAATAGCATATAATTGACTGTAAAGGAAATTGTAAATATACCTATTATTCTACTTTTTGAAGTTGTTTTTTTCTTTTCTTACAAAATACACAACATCACGCCTTTTTACCCTGAAGGGGTAAGCAGAGATGCACATTACAACACTTTATGCCACTTTACAACGTAACCCCCACTTTTTCACTATTTATGTTATGAGTCCCATGTAATAGAAGGTGAGCCTGTTACCATATGTCGGGCTCAGTTTCCAGCCACCGTGCTACTAAGGAGTTATTTCGGTTTTTCGAAGATTCTTCGCAGTAGCACGAAGTCTGCAACTGGGTGCGATATAGCCTACAATTTATGATGCCAATACGTTCACCGCCTCACTCCAAGTTTAACGTTAGAATTATCTACTTTTCACCAGTTACCAAGACTCCTGCAGGTAATACCTATGTATAGGCAAGTAGAAGAAAATACAAAATATCTTTCGCAACACTTTATTTACAGGATAAAATATATTTTTTTACATTTTTCTTTTGTCAGTAGTCAGTTTACGACAATGGTTTCTTAATTACATTCAATCTCAAATTCAATAAACATAGCAAGTCAGTCAGGAGAACATCGTACATGGATTTGGCATTTGATAAAATATAAATTACAATTCGCATAAAGATGGACACTACCGATGATTTACAACGCACCCAAAGTGTGGAACTAAGTGAAGATTATAGATAAGTAAAAACATATTCGTATTTTTTCTTATTCAGCTGGGTGGGCAGTGTGGGTGGAAGTAGTTCACTGGGTGGCGTTAGGTGATGCGGAATGTGGTGGCGGGGCTGACAAGGGCGCCGGAGCGGCGGGCTGACGCGAGCTGCCCCGCGGCGCCGCCTGCCTCACACTTTGCCTATTCGAGGCCGCGTTGTAATGGTACCCATCGAACTTGTCCGACGCACCGCCAGCCGGTGGGTACGTCGCTGTACCCATGTACATCACCTGCAAATTACAATAGATAATATAAAATAATTTCCTGCAAAGTCTACAATGATCATGGTCTATTGAAGAAGTTTATCCATGTGTGAACAGTTACTCTCATGGCCATAAAGGTTATTACACAAAAGAGTATCTACATGCTACACGCCTAATAGATTAATCAAATCATCATTATCATAACATCACGCCTTTTATCCCCGAAGGGATAGGCAGAGATGCACATTATGCCACTGTACAATGTAACACCCATTTTTCACTATTTATGTTATGAGTCCCATGTAATAGGGAGTGAGCTTATTGCCATATACCGGGCACAATTCCAGACTCCGTGCTACTACTGAGAATTTTTTAAAACCCAGTAATATTTTGCCCGACCCGGGAATCGAACCCGAGACCCCTTGCCCGGCAGTCGCACTTGCGAACACTCGGCCAACGAGGCAGTCATTAAATAAAATCTATCGTTGGAACTGTGGAACACGGCTTCGGATTGCGCCAGAAAGACCCGATTGTCGCCTCTTCTAGGGAGGGAGCAAATCGATCAGACACTTTAAGCAAGTATAGGATCAGACCTGTGGCTTGTATCCGTCAGGCCCAGCCTCGTACTCGACGAGCTGCATTCTGCCGTCAGGCAGCAGCACGTGGTAGGACCCAGTTGCATGGTCCTCCTTCCTCTTCTCGTTATGTCCGAAGTCCAAGCTAACTCCATTGTCTTGTACGTCGTACGAGAAGTCGTAGTTGGCTGGCAACTGAGATCAAATAAATTTATACTAGGCTATACCTGCAGTTTTATCCATGTTGTTATTACTATCCTTTGAGAGATATAATACATTGAATAATGTAGCTGAAGATAAAAACCAGTGGTGTGTTACTATTATTGGATAGGCCTACGAGGCCGGAGCAGGCCCGGCCGCCCGAGCTGATGATGATTAGGTATGATGAATACAGACTCACCGTCGGTTCCTGTATAGGTTTCTTAGGACCCCCGATCTTGGGTGGTAAATATTCTTGTGCATTCGCATTTGACCAAAGCGACACCAGTAAAGTAACCTGGAAATGTATTTATTTCAGTTATTATTTTTCTAAAAACCTAAGTTTTTTTACTATCTACTACAGACTCACACAAATAATACGCCACATTTTAATAATATACGCGTGTTTCCTATTCGGGTACACTGGGTGGTTTTGGGAGATTCAAGCAAAAATACGATGTTTATAAACCAACGGGACTGCGGTTGCGGCAACTCCGCCCACTGGCATTTTTTCATTAGCAAAGTGCACGATCCACGAAAATTTCGAAATGAATTTAAATGGCTTAGTTCACGCCAGTACTTAATGAGTACTCTATTTACCCATCTGCCAACATCAGTCGTGGTTATACATACTTTTGTATAATGTAAAATAATTTCATTTTACGTCTAACGTACCTACCTAAGAGTTAGACCTTGTGGAGGTAAGTATCTACCTGCCCAGGTAATAGTACGTATATAGGTAGCCATATTTTATAACTACTTCTAGTTTATCTAGTTAATGCTATACAAATTATAAGTGTGGGAGAGCCATGCTTCGGTATGAATGGGTCGGCTGGACCGGAGTGAAACATGGCCTCACAGGAAACCAACGTGAAACAATGCTTCCGTTGTGTTTTGTCTTTTATTCATATTCACAAGAAGGAAAGCAGTGATAATATTTTACCAAAACCAATTAATGAACCCTAAACCCCAATCGACAAAGTAAATGTGTGCTATTATTGATAGATTGCATGCATACAAAATATATGAGAGCCAAATAAGTCATACTGAGTCGTACGGGAATAATGAAATAAAATAGTAGCGTCAATTTTTATTTATAATCCTTAGAGTATTAATTATGGGTTCTAGTCATAATAAAAAAGGAAAAATGATTTCAAGGTAAAGGTAGAACGTTTCATTACACGGTTAAAATACTTTTTTATCTATATGTACTTAATATATTTTTTTAAATAAAAATCGTATTCTCTTGACAGTTGACACTTGACAGTGACATTCATAAATTTGACAATCTTGACATAAAAAATTAAGAAGGGAGAACACGCTGAAACGAAGACTTCTCTGATAAATTATTATGAAATTGATAACGCTAAGGTTCTGAATTAAATAATTAATAAGTGCCCCTAAAAATGAACTCTGTGCTAAGAATTAGGTGTGGTGCGTTATGTCGTGCGTTTAGTACTTCGATTGTTAAGAAATGTGCCGTGCCCCCGGTTCCACCCAAGAAACCGAAGAAGATAACTTCAGCAATAACATGGAAATCCATGACTGCAACTGCACTAATCGGCGGTGGCCTGACTGCGTTCATGATTTATCTTAGACATGAGAAGCAGGAAGCTATTGACCGTGAGAGGAAACGGCAAATAGGAAAGGCTAAGATTGGTGGTCAATTTGAATTGATTAACACAGAGGTAGGTGATTAGCTATGAGCTGATTAGCTCTTCCTTATCTCACTATAAATCTAAGAGTTATTAATTTAATTGCCTGAAGTAGTTATTTAATTTAAATACTCACTGATATTATGACAGAGAGGTAAGAAGTTACCTACCAGCCTTTCATCGAAGGGAACCTCTGTATCTATAGGGTATTACTAATAAAATTATAATAGTATTCATCTATTTCATGCTAAATTAATGTTGAATGAAGAGTTCTCTGAACTCTGGTTAAAAGTATTTATGTTTAAATGCGAGCTCTGATTTTCTTATTTATATAGTTCTAAGAAAACTTATTGGAATTATTTCAGGGAAAGTTAGTAAAGAACACAGACTTCTTGGGGAAATGGCTTCTAATATATTTTGGATTCACTCACTGTCCTGATGTATGCCCCGATGAGCTGGAGAAGTTAGCTGAGGTTGTCAACATGCATGGTAAATATTAGTGACTAATAATAATATAATTACACATAACATTATGTTATTATTCAATTGTTTGAGTAATGTGGTGAGGTAATAATTAATATACATAGAATTTCCTATACTTTCACACATACTTACACAAATGGCATATTACATTTAACTTGCAGATAGTGACCCCAAGCTGCCTCCTGTGCAACCTCTGTTTATATCTGTGGATCCTCAGAGGGACACACCTGAAGTAGTTGGAAAGTAAGTCACCACCTTTTTCTTTTATTAATTTCAGACAGTAAAGTTCAATAATAATTAATTATTATTTTAAACATAGGTCTAGCAACCTCTCTTGAATCTCATACATTTTTAATCTGTGCTAGGTACTGCAAAGAGTTCTCTCCACGTTTCTTGGGTCTGACGGGAACAAAGGACCAAGTGCAACAGGCTTGCAAGTCCTACAGGGTGTACTTCAGTGCGGGCCCCCAGGATGTTGACAACGATTACATTGTGAGTATGGGAATGTTCACTTTGAAGTAAGCAATTGGCTTCAGAGAATACACAATATCAGAACCATTAAAAATCAAAGAAGTTAAACAAGTGTGTAAGGAGTTTACTAAATTGCAGTAGGCAGTAAGAGAATGGGAGCGATTAGTTTTTATGGTGTCAGTTTTTTGGTGGATTTATAAGAGTACCTAACATGATTTTATTAAGGAAGTTAATTATAATTTGTTATTAAACAGTTTGTATATAAATCAAAAACTTACTGTAGAATGCACCCTTTAGCTCTTTTTTTAAATTTTAACATACAGGGTGTCCAAGAACCTGGCGTCCAACTGGATTCCCACGATGCCCCAAGTTCTAACAGTACTCAGAAAAATATTTTAAAAAATCCACCCCATGTACTTACAGAATTATACTGATTTCAAAAAAAAAGGGGAAATGAGCACCCTGTGACATACTTTTGAATGCTGTGACTGCTAATGCTGATAATTTCGATATTTCTTGGAGGTTTTGTAATCTAGGGTATTGCTGTGTCTAAATAGAATGTAAAAATAAAGTACTTATTGTACCATTTTAAAATAAAATATTATTTTAACTAAAGGTGATATGGAAAACTATTCAATTTCGCAACTTTGACCGACTGTAGTGTAAAAAAAATGTACCAAAATAGTATGGCAAGTGACGTCAAATTTTGACGCGTTTATTCCTCTTTTTAAAAAGGTATAATACTTACACATTAATTTGAAAAAAAAAATTTGATAATATTTTTTTCAAAGCTTTGTTTATTGGACTCGATTACTCTTTGTGCTCTGGACTTTGAAACGAACTCTTTACGACGACCTTTGCCTGTGTTTGGACAGTTTGTGTTTTGTGTGTGCTACCATGGCGACCTACACTCCGCAAGAATACGCAAATATGCACTACATTTATGGAGAATGTAGAGGTAATGGACGAGCTGCAGCGAGACTTTACAGAGAAAGGTATCCGAGGGCTACGCGATATCCCGACCATCGAGTTTTCATTAATGTGCACAGATCACTATGTGACGGGCGGTTCCCCAATCAAGTAGCTGGTGAAGGACGACCCGTAAATGACTTCATACGCGATGAAGTTTTAGAGGCGGTGTCGGCAAATCCAAGCATCTCTGTGCGAGGAATAGAAGCTGATACGGGGATACCGAAGAGCACAGCACACAGTATTCTCCAAAAAGAAGAATATCATCCGTACCACGTACAGCGAGTGCAAAGTCTTTTACCTCGAGACTATCCGAGCCGAGTCGCGTTTTGTGAAACAATCCTGCAAAAACATCGAGAAGACGAAAACTTTATCGACAAAATTTTGTGGTCAGATGAATCAACATTTAAGAAGGATGGCTACATGAACCTACACAACTTGCACGAGTGGCATGTGGAAAATCCGCACTTGATGCGAGAAGATAGATCCCAGTACCGGTTCAAAGTGAACATGTGGACCGGTATTCTCTGTGGGAATATTATTGGTCCATTTGAGATGCCCGAGAATTTGACTGGCGAATCATATTTAAATTTTCTTCAAAATGATTTGCCAAACTTACTAGAAGAGACCCCACCAGATATGTGGTTCCAACACGACGGCTGTCCAGCACATTTTCGCGTATCCGTTAGAGAGTTTTTGGACGAGCAATACCCGAACAGGTGGATTGGGCGATCAGGAACAATCCCGTGGCCAGCCCGCTCACCTGACTTAAATCCGCTGGATTTTTTTTTCTGGGGAACTATGAAGGAGCTCGTTTATGCGAAGCCCATTAATGACATCGCTGACCTTCGTGAGAAGATAACACAAGCAGTGCAGGTGATACGTCAAAAAAGTTACTCGCGAAACATAAAGCGGTCCTTTTTAAGGAGAGTGAGAGCTTGTATTGCCGCGGGTGGTCAACATTTTGAACATTTATTGTAATAAAATATCTTTAAACTAACATTCTTTGCTTTTATTCTACTGGGAACCCATCTACCTGTGTGTATTTCCTTCTTGCTCACTCTTGGAACCGAAGTAAATAATAGTAGTAACATAACAGTTTCTAAGATAAGAAAGGGTCCGACAGTTACCGTTAGTAGGTAGGCACTTCGTAAAAATTGGGTTGTTGAGTAAAAATATTATCAAAATTTTTTTTTTCAAATTAATGTGTAAGTATTATACCTTTTTAAAAAGAGGAATAAACGCGTCAAAATTTGACGTCACTTGCCATACTATTTTGGTACATTTTTTTTACACTACAGTCGGTCAAAGTTGCGAAATTGAATAGTTTTCCATATCACCTTTAGTTAAAATAATATTTTATTTTAAAATGGTACAATAAGTACTTTATTTTTACATTCTATTTAGACACAGCAATACCCTAGATTACAAAACCTCCAAGAAATATCGAAATTATCAGCATTAGCAGTCACAGCATTCAAAAGTATGTCACAGGGTGCTCATTTCCCCTTTTTTTTTGAAATCAGTATAATTCTGTAAGTACATGGGGTGGATTTTTTAAAATATTTTTCTGAGTACTGTTAGAACTTGGGGCATCGTAGGAATCCAGTTGGACGCCAGGTTCTTGGACACCCTGTATATAATTGATTTTATGATCCATTATTAATGATTATAAGAAAAAATTACCTTAGGGATAACAGCGTAATTTTTTTTTTTAGTTCGAATAAAAAAAAGAGTTTGCGACCTCGATGTTGGATTAAGATAAAATTTAAATGTAGAAGTTTAAAATTTTTGATCTGTTCGATCATTAAAATCTTACAGCTGCCTATTTGCCATAAGCACCCTTTGTTTATTAAATACACACTGACTACACCCTTCATTACAGGTGGACCATACCATTATTATTTACCTGGTAAATCCTGATGGTGAGTTTGTCGATTACTATGGTCAAAACAGGAATGCTAAAGAGATCCACAGCTCAATGCTTGTGAACATCAAGAAATATGAAGATTCTAAGAAAACGTCTTGGTTCTAGACTCTAAGAACGCATTTACGTAGTGAGATATATAGTTCCAAAGTATTTTTATTTAAGTAAAATAAAATTTATTGTTGCTTATAAATTTTGGTTTTATTTGATATTTCCTATTTACAAAATGATGGTTTTGGTAAATAATGACGATTTTAAAAATAAAATTTTTATTCATAAAATAATTACTTTAATCTTCTAATAATCTATTTAATAACAGAAAAATGACAACCATGTTCCAAGGGGTACACAGAAAAGTGGGTTCAAAGATATTAATTTAATATTAATACAGATGAAATTAAGTATGGAACTGAATGATGGTTCTTGCAGTAGAATTACGAAAGTAGATTAGATAAATGCATTCAAAATGCGTTCCTTGAAAAAATATGTATAGAGCACTTGGTAAATTCTGTTCTACCCCGTAAAAAATATAGTCTGAATGAAATAAAAAAAACTGCCAAAAAATACATGGCAAAATGCTTTACAATAAGTTAGTTGTCATTTTGCTGGTTATTTTACTAATAGTGATTTGTGCGCCGGCGCTATGTATTTGCATTAATCTTTGGTCTAATTGGTATAATTTCACAGTGGCTCCCTCTAGGCTGGTAGTAGAAATACTCATTCCACCTTCGTTTACAGTCACTAAATCCATATCAGAGGTGTAGGGTCTGTCATCGATGACATTAACGTTGCTAGTGTTAACGCACATATTATCAGTTTCATATTTCGTATTGTTTTGAGAATTATCAATGACTAGAAGGTCACCTTTCATTATGCTGTTATCTTCCAGCACCAACTCTTCAGTCAATTCCAGTGGTACTTTCTGTATGATATTGACAGTCAATCCGTCCAATTCACCTTGTGATTTATCGGCCTCAGTATTTTCATTAACTGTTGCCAGTTTACTATTGTTCTTGTTGAATACTCCATCGTCAGTAACGATGACGGGCTGAATGTTTTGTAAAATAACAAGTCCACGATTTTCTCCTCTCTTCTTTTTCGTTTGGTGGGTTTTAAAGTGTTTCATTTGTTGAGATTTCGTTGCGAATTTTAGTGAGCACATGGAACAGTCGAACGGTTTTTCTCCTGAAAGATAAAGAGGCTGGGTAAAATGGTGGTCACAATGGCCACGATGATATAGATACTATAACAAAATGTTGCTGACCAGTGTGAACACGGTGATGGTCCCTGAGCCGGGCCGAGTTAATAAACTTCTTAGAACAGAAGCTGCACTGGTGCGGGCGCTCGCCCGTGTGTTTCCTCATGTGCGCGCTCAGGTTCTTGCGCGTGAACCTGTAACACCGACATACTCAAGTAACCTGACTTTATTGATATTTTATATCTCTGTGTGACGTTATTGTATCAAATATATGGGATTCTAAATCAGAAAGTCATAAAAAACTGATCAGAAATTACGATTACTGAATAAGTTAAAAAAAATGAATATCTTAGATAAGTATGTCTTACCGTTTGCCACACACATTACAGCTGTATGGTTTTTCCCCCGTATGTATCCGTTCATGGCTTTTGAGTGAGGAGCCCGATGTGAACTTTCGATCACAAATCGAACACGAGTATGGTCGCTCACCTGAAAAAATAAAAGAATAAGCGTATGATATATGGCTTTATAAACATATTTTTTTAAATATTATAGATGATACAGAGATAAAATATGTAAGTATATTCTATTAAAAATATCATTAGTTTAAATCTAACCTTATCATGTACACAATTAAGTTCAGTTTTGCTTACCAGTATGTGTCCTCATATGCAGCGTCAAGTTGGAGTTTTGTATAAAACTCTTCCCGCAAACTGAGCACACGTATGGTTTCTCGCCTGTGTGGGTGCGGTGGTGAGTGTTCCGGGTCGACTCGTGTCGGAAACTGACGACAAAGTATAGAAAAAACCTTATTTAAAATATACTAGCTTCTGCCCGCGACTTCGTACGCGTAATCCCATTTTTTCCCGTCCCCGTTCGTGATTTTCGGTAAAAAGTAAAAAAAAAATGTTGGTTAAAAGTATCCTATGTCGGTCTCCTGGCTCTAAGCTACCTCCCTACCAATTTTCAGCCAAATCTATTCTGCCGTTCTTGAGTTATAAGTGTAACTAACACGACTTTCTTTTATATTCGTCCGCGTAGAAATCGTAATAATAATAATAGAACAAAACTTTATTGTTTCAATTTTCCTAAATAAAATTAGCCTATGTTACTCCTTAGTACATCAGCCGCCTGCCAATAAAAGTCTTGCAAAATCGCCATTTAAAAGCCATTTCAGAGATTAGTCAGTACAAACAGACAGACAGAGGGACAGAAAAATTGTAAAAAAAATATTTTGGTATGTGTATCGTATGTATATATCACATGCATATTACAATTAGACACTCCAATTTTATTTAAATACCTGTATAGAAAAAAAAAATACTTTTTTGACACTTCGAACACCGAGTATTGAATTTGAACTGTTGAAATAGTTACCGTTTATCACAATACTGGCAGGCGTACGGCTTGCGGTCGGAGTGTATGAGCCGGTGCGAGGCGAGCAGTCGGTTGGACGGGAACGTCTTCCCGCACGCGTCGCACTCCCACGGCCGCAGCCCCACGTGGCGCGACATGTGCGCTGCCAGCAGGCCGCTCTCACTGTACCTGGAACGTTTTATTCATATTTTGAATCGTTATTCCCGCGAGACATGGTTGTCTTAAATTTGAGATATACATTTTTATATAAATATCTAAAAAAATGGAAATTTCAAATATTACCGACCCATTTGTGGTGAAGCATGGTTACTTCAGCACAAAAGGGTCGCTAATATTCGACTAGAGTGATAACATGGCTTCATAGGACACTGACGAAAAACAAATGTTTGCGTTGTCGTTGTGATGTTTGTCGCTGTGTGAGTGAGGAAACCGGAGGCTCCATTACTCCCTGCCCCTCCTAAACGCCGGTATCGCACCTGTAACTCCTGTTTGCGAAGCTGATTGCTTGCCATCATCATCTTTGTTCCCCTATCCCATAAAAAGGCAATGGCCAGTAATATGTTACAAACCTCTTATCGCACATGGTGCAGGCGTGTTTCTTCTCAATCAGTTCTCCAGTGTGCACCCTGGCGTGTCGCTTCAGTGCATAGAGCTCGCTGAATGCTTTGTCACACACGGGGCACGTGTAGCGCTTCGACTCCATATGCCGTAATATGTGGCGTCTGAACACTGATCGTGCTGGAATATCGTAACAAATAATTTACTGCATATAATAATTAGTTTTTATCATGCAATAATAGTAATTCTCTTTTCTAAGATCTTCTTTCTTTCCTCTGAACTTTGGATTTACTGGGGTTGTTTGGGATGAAGGAAAATCGAAGAGAGCAACTTCAATGACTAATAGGATACCCAAGTCCAATAAAATAGTGAACAGGTTCAAAATTACTTTTACCTACATTACTTAGAAAGTGTAACTATGAAAGTTTGGACAGATGTATAAAGGGTGTGCTACCTGTAGACCCTGAATTTATTTTATTCAATGTTATATGTACACCCTACTGGGCACTATTTATCCAATTGATGTAGGTAGGACAAAGATAACTTACCCTTAAATTCTTTAGGGCACTTGTTGCACTTCCAGTTGCCCCCCTTGTTATGTAGGGAAGTATGTACAGCGAGGTCGTGCTCGGAGTCGAATGACTCGGTGCATTGGTTGCACGCGTGCGCTCTACGAGTCGTCGGGTGCTTCATCCTCATATGAGCATGGAATGTTTTCGCATTTTTAAACACCTGCAAGGGATTGAATAATGATTTTTCTTTCCTCAGATATTTTTAAAGAGGATTTCTTATGTAGTATACATACTACTATTTAAGTATGGAAAATGTCTGAAAAAGGAAAAATGCTATAGGTACCTTAGAACACATTTTACATGAAAACGTATTTTCCTTGTTTCCCCGTTTTCTGTGCTTTTTAGTTGCGGGACTCTCGAATTCTGAAATATTCAAAAAATATTAGTGTTTAGGCTTCTATAATAGGGTAAATGACTAATTTTTATTTTAATGTCCACCTGGTAGATTATTTGAAAACATTACATACGTATTTTTTATTTTCTTTCGGAAACGAATAGTTTCGAAGATATTGATTTGAAATATCGCATGACGTCACTTTTGGTCAGTCAGTCAGTACGGTTTATAAGTACTCTAAAATGACATAGCTACCTCCCACTTCTAAATTTTGATTCGTTTTATCTAAGTATTGTTTTCTTATACGACTAAATAAAAAATACGGTCAAATATTTTTTTATTACCTAACTGACGGACTAATTAGATTTTTAATTTTCATACCCTGTCATCATCCCTATTGTTACAACTGTATGTAAAGTTAAATAAACTTACCACCACCTTTATCATAAATTGCTTTTTTTCTGAAATAAGAAAAACGCATTGTTTTAATTATTCAAGTCATTAATTATTATGTTTTCGGCTTACTCACGCAAATATTTGACGAGGGTTCTCGACTAGTTTCAAACCATGCTACAGGCTCATATTCATGAACAAAATTCCGCGACCCGCGACGCAGCGAATTACGTGAGTAAGCCGAAAAACATAATAATTAAGTCAGACTATGGGTTGAGATTAAGGATGTCAAGCAATAAATAGTATGATACTTCAATAAGGAATAACAAATGAGGACTGTGGAATACCCTTAGAACTCACCTTGTCTTTCTCTTTTTATCTTGTACTATGTACAGGTTATCATTATCACTGAGATCTTCCAAATATTGCACATCTGAGAAAAATAAAAAAATGTGTTTAGAGTTGCATTATTTAAATGAGCACGCCAAATCTTATTATAGAAAGCAAGTAAGTCAAACATGTTAAAAAATGTGACACTACAAAAAAGGTTTCTATCACAAGGAAATAATAGAGTTGCTTTTACAAAAACAAAATTACCTTCAAGAAGTTCCTTTTCATTCTTGATATCAATGTTACTATTAAAATATTCACTGCCATCAATATTATTATGTAAATTATTCATATTATTATTTTCCACATTTTCTTCTTTTATTTCCCTAAAAACAAAATATCATAGTTCATTACTATTTTATTAATAACATATTTATTATCAACAAATATTTTGATTCCCGAAAGTCGGACATTTGCAATGTATCATCTACCATTCAACAGTTAAAAATACTGTACAAGGGGTGAGCCAAATACCTTAATATTATATTGAGCACAATTTCAAACTCCATGCTACATATAATGTAATAGGGGGTGAGCCTATTGCCATATACCGGGCACAGTACCAGATACCATGATAATACTGTGAATTTTTGTTTAAAAAACCCAGTAATACTTTGCCCGACCCGGGATTCGAACCCTAGAGGGGTCTAAGTGCGACTACCAGGGAAGAGGTCCCCTGGTAGTCGCATTTGCGACCACTTGGCCAACGAGGCAGTTGAGTATTAACTAAATGAATAATATGCAATTGGCAAAACAAGAGTGACTCTGTTACCTTTTTATTTGATTTGTCTATTGAAGAACAATATGTAAGTATAATGTAAATATTAAGTGGAATTTTAAGATTAAAAATACATACATGTCTTGAATAGGTACATCCTCTTTGGTTACAAATTCTCCTTTCAGTAGTGACTTGAGCATGCAGTCTGACTTTTCACACTTTATCTTGAACTCGTAGCATTGTACCACTAAAGCTTGACATGGCTCACATATACTTGCTGGTAGACCATCACCAGCAAAAACCTGAGAGGAAAAATGTATAGGCAGCTATAATACAAATATTATACATTATATTACATTAAATATTATAGGTATTATGCATATTTCTTTTGATGTTACACATACACATATCATCACGCTTTTTATCCCCGAAGGAGTAGGCAGAATTGCACGTTAGGACACTTAATGCCACTGTACAATCAACACCTACTTTTCACTATTCATGTTACGAGTCCCATGTAATAGGGGGCGAACCTATTGCCAGGCACATTTCCAGACTCCATGCTACAGTGCTGCATGCACTGAGATATTTTTAAATCCCAGTATTACTTTGTGCAACCCGGGATCTGAACCCGAGACCAGGCAGTCGCACTTGCGACTACTTGGCCATCGAGGCAGACTTTTGATGTTAGTTTACTAATATTATAAATGTTTGAGTTTGTGTGCATATCTGTTACTCAATTATGTTAAAATGGTTAAAGGAATAGGCATGAAATTTGGAACAGATATAGGCTATGATCTGGAATAACACAGGGTACTTTTATCCGACTATGGTGAAGGCATCAGCTTGAAGGCAGCACCAGCTGGCAGAAGCTAGTTATTTAAATGATAAAAGATATTAATTTATTCTAGGTATATTGTTTACTAAACACACCGTTTTTTCTATGTATCTTCTGAATATCCCTTATTGTACAGTATTGTGTCTGTACGATACAATACTGTACAATAAGGGATATTCTATTCTACTCTAAAGTAACTATGTCACTGTGTATCTTTAGAACTAAGATTTACCTGAATCGCGCTAAATGTAGTGTACATCTGAGCTAGTATATTGTTTTCTTTGGTAGATATAGTAGAAACTAAAGGATATAGGATCTCGTTCTCTGTATTCAGACATATTCGGCACATATTCTGTATATTACAATTGTCTGAACTAAGATATTGATATAAATTAAATGGTATTTCAATTTCTATGTAGTTTTCTCCGACAATTTTTTCTTCTTCATCGTTTTTCACAATTTCCTCAATTGCACTTTCGGAATCCATTTCCAGTTGTATAGCTGGATTAATGTTTTGTTTTAGAGCGTGTAAACGATCCAAGTAGTTCTATACTTGGTTTTCTAATTCAAGGTATCTAATCATGATGTTTAATTTTCCCCGCACAAACACGTATTTTGCTCATTTATTTTATCTTTACAGCTTGCTTGGCTTACTTGAATATCAAATTGTCACTTGTCTGACGCAGTTGACATTGACAACTTGTCACAAAATGACAATGACAGTGACATTTTGAAAGTATCGATGAATTGATATTTGGGTTACTCTCTTTTTATCCATTGGGCTCGAAGGGAATGTTGGTTGAACTGTTGAAATAGCCATAAGTATTTTGTACTTTCCATATTTGGGGCACAATGATAAATCTCACTATGTTCTAGATAACTTTGTGTAATACTAAAAGCAAAATTCTAAAATCCTCGGTCCAATCCTGAAGATTGGGAATCGAACTTTTTAAATGTCGTGTGTGTTTACGTCTAATAAACCAATCAGGCATTACTTACTTACAGATTTGTGTAGATACCCACTATTACAAACTTAATGAACTATTATAACTAACCAGAAGTGCAATAAACAAAACCTCCCTAATGGAATGGTACCCACAATCGCCATACACGGCAGACTAACTTCGGATTACAAAACAGAAGACAGTGTACAATGTTGATGCGTTCTAGGTCTCATGTGCATGTGCATTACTAGGAACATAAATCATACCCTAATTAACTCATTTAATTTTGATTGAACCATTTGCGATGGCAAAAATTAGTAGGTAGTTCTAGAACTTGCACTGATGCTGATACTGATAATAAAATTGGTATTTACAACTTGATAGGAAGCGATGATACAAATTAATTAAACAAATTTTAAGTTTAAGAGTAGAAGATAGACAGACCGATAGAAGAATTAAAATAATTATGCATTTGTTATCGGGTTTGTTCTATTTCGATAGGTCCGGCCGCAATAAACACAACCCAATTGTTTTATAACAGAACGTTTGCTTGTTTTAGTTTCATTATTGATGAGCCAATCTAGATTGACAACTGACCGACTATTGTTGGAGTTTAATCTACACTCGATTCCCTGTAAACTTCCACGGACATGGAGAAATTCCGCTTTACAACAAACGGATACATAAATATCGTGTTTAATTTGATAACTTTAACCATCATAACCATTTAACAATGCTGTCTTATTTTTAAAAGTGCTAAGATAAAAAATAAAGGTGCTAAGATAAAAGTGTGGAATATTTTTTTAAGGGTCTCGTTACATTTTTTAAACCTTTAGTCTCGTAATTGACTAATATTTTTTTAGTTAAATTGTTAATCAAAGTTTCCTCCATAGTAACTAATCAGAGTTAGTCTGATTCGGCATGACCAATGTAATTTGTTATTTAATTACATATTGTAACTTAGTAATCGTTATATGGGCGTGTTCTTTCATAGTTGCCTACATGAGTAAATTATCTATAACGAGTGTTGATATCTAAAATGTTTATATTTTGTTTATCAAGTTTTTTCAGCAAACGGGCACGCGTCTTTTGAATGAATGAATTGTGTAGGCAATCTGAAAGAAAACATTACGTTCACTACACAATTTATTTAAAGTACAAACCTAATACAATTTTTTCTTCATATATCCCTGCAATATTATCCTCTAAAATATATGATTATCTTTGAACTACCTAGATAATCAACAAGGTAGTCAAAATTGTCGATAGTATTTGTTAATTTGTCCATTAAATACCAAGATGGTATGGTATCCCGATTTCACGAAAGTTACCAAATTATCTAGTGCTGTAACAATATACCTTCGCGAGCTAATTAAATTTCTTACAAAAGCTGGAGGGCCCAAAAATATTTGCAGTTGTATAATGACGTTTAACATTGTATTCTTTACTCACAGACTAAACTTGCATACAAATCATACACTGATTAAAATGTGTGTCGTAGGCCACATGAAAACAAGCTGCGGGCCGCATGCGGCCCGCGAGCCTTAGTTTGGACAGCCCTGATCTAGGGTATGTCCCAAGCGTAAGGCGCGTCGCCGCGCGCGCCTTAAAGAGCCTTCGGTTGTCGGGGCTCCGGGTCGAAGGGCAGGTTTTTTGGCTGACGAGATAGTCTGCAAATCCCTCCCGCCTCACCCAAGCGGGAGAAGTAATTCGATGATTATCCGCCCTTAAAAAAAAATCTAGATAAATGGTTAATGGACAGGTCACATTTTTGTATCATTCTACAGAGGTATAACAACATACATACACAACTATAATGAAGGTTGGGATTTTTATTAGGGCTTTTACTTGAAATTAATGAATTACTCCAATTTTCCTGAACAGAGAGGGTCTTAAAAGAGTTTTTAAATTATCGCTGTATACTTTGGGCGTTACATGCATATGTGCATATGTAAGGACATCTATACCTATCCCTTTGCAGCAGTGTAAAGCGTACCCGTATTTCAAATATGCGAGTATTTATAATATGTTATTGAAATTTCTCTGACGATATTGTATCTACGAGAGAACGTTGTTATTCGTTGCGGTCAACAACATCTATTTGGGGGTGAAAGGTCTCCTCTATCCTAGAAGATAATTTCTAGATGTGTGCATGCATAATGTACCTACTTACATACCTATGTTTTCATTTCTTTTTGTGAATCTATGTGACTGGTTACATTAAATAATTGTAAGAAATGAATCTTACTTATTTTGGGATTGTAATAAACACACCGAGTTTTCTATTTGGAAAAATTATTGCACTCTGATAGATTATAACAAGTTCTATGATATGAACTATAGGTTAAATGTTAGGCAAATCAGATATTTAACTTAAGCGAAACACTACTCTGTAAAATTTCTGTTTTTTTTAAAGGTAATAATGCACCTTATGTGTGCTTACATTGTAAGTTAAAGTCGGGCAGAGAGTCAGGGCCGGATTTAGGGGGGGGCAACCGGGGCGAAAGCCCCGGGGCCTCCACAAGCAGGGGGCCTCCACAATAGAGACTTCGGAAAAAAAAATCTTTCAAATTTCAACTAGTAAACCTAGTAAACATCTTTTCTTTGATATTTTTTTTTCGCTTTTACCTTTACCTACAGCCTAAAGTACTTTATACATACATGATTATTTGATTATATTAATTTTAAATATTAACAGAAACAGAAATCATTGATCTATATTTGTTCACTCCAATCAGGCAATACGTGAAATATCAAAATCTCAAATGGCTCTGATAAGCACTTCCAATTTACTACCCATCTTGTACCCCAATGGCTCAATGGCTCAGTGGGATGGTACTTGCCCGCAACCTCGGAGGTTGGCTATTCGATTCCGTGTCTCGACCATTAAAAAAATTAATTGCAGTATGTGAACAATTGGTATTCTTCAATTCTTAAACTCGAAATCTGTCGAGCGTCCTCGAAATCTATCGAGCATCCTCGATCGTTTTCGAGCGTCCTCGAAATCTATCGAGAGTCCTCGATCGTTTTCGAGCGTCCTCGAAATCAAGCGAGCGTCCTCGATCTCAATCTGGAAAATAATTTGGGGCAAGGGGGCCTCCACTCCTTTGTTGCCCCGAGGCCTCTGGACCCCTAAATCCGACCCTGCAGAGAGTTTTCTGAGAAACCTGAACCTTTTACCAGTGATCTCTAATCTTTAAGCATGTATTACTACTACTAGCGCCTCGCCCCGGCTTCGCACGGGAGCAATATGCATGTATTATACATGTAAACCTGCCTTAAGAATCACTAATTACTTATTAAAAAAAACGCATCAAAATCCGTTGCGTTTTTTTAAAGATCTAAGCATACATAGGGACAAACAGACAGTGGACAAAATTTTATATAGAGATTGATCTAGCGAACTGTCACAGGTTGTTGGTATAAAATTATGATTGTAAGCTCTGTCACGAAAGGTCTACCTTTGTTGATCCTAGTAGATAAGTCTAAAACAATATTGAAACTGTCATAAGTAGATGGAAAAATTTGCAACATCAATTTATTGGCGTAGGTGTAATTATTTTGTTTCAAAGACGTATTTTGACCTCTGAGATAAGGGTGACCTGAAGGCGGAGATAATGCGTGTGGAAGTATCGCGAGCGGGCGGGCCAGCGGCGGGATCGCGATACAAGCGCCCGCGCATCTCATACTCAAGTTGCTCACCCAAGAGGCTGGACCGCCGTGCGATTACTCGCTGCTGCTCTAGTCTCTACCAATATGTTCATTGGCGTCACCTCAAGTGGAGACAACGTGAATTCTCATTACGACTACCTGATTTGAACGCCGGAGGTAAGTAAATCTAACTCTGCTAGCAGATATTGAACTTACTGAAGGTCACCCCAAAAGTTTATGTAAATAAGTGATTACCGATAGATACGAGTCGTAATCTTCTCCAGAATAGCTATTCAACGTACTGACCCAGACGGCGACTATCATTCATGTAATATATCTATGAATAATTATAAATTACTGTAAATGATTTATATTTTATCTTCTCCCAGGTGGAAAATATATTTTATAATACTGTGTTATATAGTACCTATTCTAAGATGTATTCAATTTGTTGCAGGCACATCTAGTGAAAGAAATTTTGTACGCTTACAAATATGGCGCTAGATTTCGTAGCTGGATGTATAGGGGGTAAGATGAACATGTTATTATCTCTATTTTATATTGGTTTCTAAAACATTTATTGCTGTACTAATGCACGGTACTATTTTCAGGTTGTGCGGGAATCATTGCTGGTCATCCTTTGGATACATTGAAAGTGCATATACAGTCGGGCAGAGGTAGCGCGCTGCAATGCACTAAAGCTCTTTTGAAAGGAGGAACATTGTCGAGTGCCTACCGTGGAGTAGGTGCTCCATTAGGCGGTATAGCAGCTGTTAATGCTATAGTTTTTGGAGTATATGGAAACACACGGCGGGCGCTGCCTAATCCTAATGCTTTGAGCACGCATGCGGCAGCAGGGGCAGCCGCGGGCCTTATGCAGAGCTTTGCTTGTGCTCCGGTCGAGTTAATTAAGACACGACAACAGTTAGCAAAACCTGGAGATGGGATGCCGTCCGGAGCGTGGGCCGGAGCGCGGCACATCGTACGCACTGGAGGCTTCAGAGCGCTTTTCCGTGGACTCGGTGTGACAATAGTTCGTGACAGCCCTGCGCTTGCGATTTATTTCACCTCTTACGAGGCCATGACTCGAGGAGATCAATCTGTGATGAAAGTGTTTATGGCGGGAGGTGCGGCGGGAGCCCTATCGTGGGTGGTATTATATCCTATTGATGTGGTGAAGTCGAGGTTTCAAGGAGATGTAGTGGGGAAATACGCGAGTTCATGGGACTGCTTCGTGCAGTCGGTTCGGACTGATGGCTGGAAGAGTATGGGTAGAGGTGTGGGAGCAGTCACACTGCGCGCGTTCATTAGCAACGGTGCGTGCTTCACCGCTGTCGTCTGGACAGAGCGCGTGTGGCAACGTATGGCTGCTGAGCAGGGTGTGAAAACTTTCGCTCAGACCAATGCCATGAGTGAGGCAGTTTGTGAGAACAATGACCGACAATATGATGTGTAATCAAGGTTTCGAATTAAGCTGTAAGCTTTCTTTATCTTTACTTTTATTCAGAAAAGAAGGATTTGTACATGACGGAGACAAAGATAAAATGATGTATTCATACTATTTTTTTGTTTTTTTTACATGTTCTATTATTGAACTATTGTACACATTACGTGTACCTTCAATCCCGAGCTTTATAAAGTTCACAGATAAAACTATGAATTTTAACTGTTATCAATTCGTGTTCATGTGATTTGTTTGTGACTAAGATAACAGAAACTACTTATCATCGTAAAGATACGACTGCTCGAAAATGTATGCATATGATCAATTGCTTGAATAAAGTACGTAAACTCTTACATAAGTCGTGTCGTAGACAATTCGTAGCACCTGGCCGTAGACAGGTGCTACAAATTCGTAACTTTGCTACGCTAGGCTACGAAACGCTACGAAAGTTAGCGCCGTTCAAATGTAAGTTCTTTCTTCTTAAAACTGTCGTGTATGTTTTGCTGTAATTGCTATTTGTTTTAGTCTTTATTTAAATAAAACACGAGCATTTCTTTCTTATTAAGTATCATATACTTGTCTGAAAAATTTCATACAATTTTCAAAAATATTCCAAAAATACAGGAATGATTCACATTATGAAAATATCACAACATTATAAATATGCCAAAATTGCTATAATAAATGTAAATATTTTTAAAAATAAAGGACGGTTACATAATAATTTTACATAATATTAACTTCACTATACTTTTTCCTAAGACTTTTATTTCTTCATCTTATTGATTAGGTAGTTTACTATCGACGGGGAGGCTTTATACAGTGAGACCTGAAAATCAAAATAAATATTAGTTTACTTAACTATTGTAACACACAAAGCACAGCACACAAACAGCTTTTTTATCTCTCTGTATCTTCAGATGTAACAAATATTAAAAAGTGGTAGAGGAAAACGAAAACTCCGAAACGAAACGTAAGCACTTGTAAATCTTCTGTTGTTGCGGGTACCTATGGGTGGTACAGGAGATTTGTCTGCTTGTTAACCTCCAAAAAGAATGGCAATAGCGTGTGTGTACCTTGGAGTGCGCTAATCTTGCTCCATAGGCTGAGGGGGTAAAGGTGGCGGTGGGGGCGGCGGTGGTGGTGGCGGCGCCGGCGCATCATTGTTGGCAGCTTGGTTCTCCATCAGCCCCAGTTGCTCCAGCATGTCATCGTTGTCTTCCATCAGGTGAACCTGCACCAACCACGGCCGGTTACTCTGTAAAAAATAATTTGAATATCCAAGACGGAAAACCGTCGACTTTGATTCATAATATGTTGGGTCTTCGTGATTAGTGTTAAGAACTTCTTGTTTTCTTGAACAATTTTAATCGTTTGCCATTATAAGTAAATGTTTCTGAACTAATAAATCACTGTTTTTATTATATTATACTGGATTTTAATGTGATCTTAAAGGACCTATGATTCTCTAAATTATATTTGCTAAAAGTTTTAATTTGCTTTAAAACATACTTGTATTGAAAATAATCAGCAACTTATAGATTCTCATGTTATAACAATAGATCAACGTCAGCACGAGTCAGCAGATCCGTAAAGCAGAAAAAATAAAGCAGAAATGCGTCTTATATTTATTATTAACTGAGTAATGACAATCAATAATGAATTATTATTATTTACTAGCAAATTGAATCATTCACAATAACAATGAACCGAGTTTGTGTTCGGCCACGGTCGGGGCTAACTTGCTAGCTTTAACATTTTAAAACTTGCTATTTTTAGTGACCGTTGACCCCAAAGTTATCGCTTATTCTAAGGTTCAGTATGTTGACATCAACATAATAATCGAGTTATTTTATTATCTCTGCTTTAGTCTATTTTCTTCGCACACTGATTTATTTTTACGTATCATGAATCAGGTTTTTATTTAACAGTGGGCCTCTTAATAAACTGATGATCATAATAACTGATTAATTTTATAATCGACGATGATTGCTCATTATCTTGATTTATTAACTGTAAATACTGAACTGGAAACTAAAAAAACGGTGTTTTATAAGAATAGCGTAGCAAATATAGACCCTATTACTCGGCTAAGAAAATAGAACCTTAAAACATATAAGGCTAAGTTTGTTTTTATTTATTGTTTCCAGAACCCAACAGCAAATAAAATGTTGCTGTTGCCAACCATCGGGTCCCTCGGTAGGTCTCCTATGATAAATTTTGTTTATCTATGAATAAACAATCCTATGCTGATTGCGAACTAATATAATTAATAACAGATACTTGCATTCAAAATAATATAATTAGCAACAGATACTTAATATTAATAGTTAGGTATTATTTATTATTAAATTGTAACGCCCACCGTTACACCATACATCCCTAGTAAAATGTTACACAATTTACATACAATACATTTACATTTACATACAATACAATATGTAGAAATTATATTGGGCACAGAACATGATATGATAACGACTCGACTTTGGATTGGTGCAATTATTTTCCTAGTGCTGGGTATTATTATCCGATACCTGGACCTACAGATGACATAGCGAGTTACTGAAGCTACGAAATGCAACAGGAGTAGGATCGGGGTGATTTTCAATCAGTAAAAATCTGACACTCTCGCTTGTCAGACCCGGCGGGAGAAGTGATTGGATGATTTTCTCCTTACAAAAAGAGTATTTTCTAATTGTTACCTCTCTTGAATATCTTTTTCATGTAAATAAATGCTACAAGAAATTCATGTCCATGCCCATGTTCATAGATATACATTATACATATATTATGTAAGTAGAATAAATACTTTCAAAATGGTTTGTACGTATATACATTTTAGGAACATTGTACGCATCTAGCATAATGTAAGTTTACAAATTAAAAATTAAGTAGGTATCGCTTTTTTATCTTTAGACGTCATAACTGATCTATTGATAATGAAAAATAAAACAGGAATAAAATAACACTGCGCAAAAAGAGTGTATTGACCTCTGAGAGAAAAAAATAAGGGAAGACCCACGTCACGGTGATGTAACATTTTATCACAGATGCTTAATGTTAATGGAAAGAAATCTTTTCAAATAAATAAATTTTTATATCAATATCTACCATTTATCAACTTTTTGATACTTGTGATTTTTTTAATAAAGCGTATTATGGTGTGTTCAAAATTTTCGTAGCAGCTGACTACGAGATTGGCTACGGATTATCCCCGTGTGCTACGAAGTTTGGTATAATGTAGCGTGTGAAAAGTATCAAAATAGCACAACTATACTGTTTCATATCGGGTGGGTCCCAAATAACGGCGGGAGGAGTTACCATCGGCGTCGAGACGACGATGAAGTACCTAGGACTCGTCCTCGACAGTCGGTGGAACTTCATAGAACACTTCCGACGTTTGGCTCCAAAGTTGGAGAGGACGGGGGCTGCGTTTAAACGCATCCTCCCCAACCTCGGGGGGCCAAACGCCTCCTGCCGGAGGTTATACGCCGGGGTCGTGCGGTCCATGGCCCTCTACGGCGCCCCTGTTTGGGCGCCTAACCTGTTGCGGCGTCCCGCTCGGACGCTGCTCATGGCACAGAGGGTCATGGCGATCCGAATGATCCGCGGATACCGCACGATCTCTGGGGAGTCGGCGAACCTCCTTGCCGGATTACCGCCGTGGGATCTGGAGGCGAAGGTGCTCGCGCGCGTGCACAGCATGCGCGCGGAGGCACGTCGCCGGGGCGAAACTCCGCTGCCGCGCCAGATAAGTGCGTGGCGGGATGAGCTCCGGCGCGATCTCATGGCGGAATGGCAGCAACGACTGTCGCAACCGAGGACTGGGCTCGCTGCCATCGCAGCGGTAAGTCCCCTCTTTGAGGAGTGGCTTGAGAGACGCTACGGCGTCCTCACCTACCGCCTGACGCAGGTCCTCACCGGACATGGCAGTTTCGGGAGGTACCTGTGTCTGATGGGGCGGGAGGAAACGCCCGGGTGTCATCACTGCGAGGACCGCCCTGAGGACACGGTGGAACACACGGTGGGAGAATGCCCTTCGTGGGCTGAGCACCGCCGTGTCCTCAGGGAAGTGATCGGCGATGGCGACCTCTCGCGTCCGGGCCTAGTGCAGGCCATGATGCGGAGCGAGGGGGATTGGGATGCCGTCTCCTCCTTTTGCGAAGCAGTCATGCTAGCTAAGGAGGAGGCGGGACGCGTGAGGCAGCGAAGCGCTGCCTCCTCGCAACCCAGCCATCACGAAGGACACACCGGGCGTCGGGGATCGCGGGACGATCTCCGGCCACCGTAAGCGCGGGCCTGCGGACGGCGAGCATGGGTGGCTCCCCGTCCGACCAGAAACAGACCCGAGCGTACGGCGCGTCGCGTTCCGCGCGCGCCTCAAAGAGCCATCAGACCACCACAGATGGGGCCCAATAGGGCCGATGCCGATTCGGAGTCGCGGAGAACCTAACGGGTAACCGGGGCTCCGGCTCGACGTGCAGGAGAAGGAACGGGGTGGTTTTTAGTCAGTAAGAGTCTGACACTCCCTCCCGCCTCACCCAGGCGGGGGCAGTCATTCGATGATTTTCCCCCCTTAAAAAAAAAAAAAAATACTGTTTAATATTATTCGATACCTTCTTTAGTCATTATTCAATTCATCTGTTTCTTGTTCAACGAATAAGTATCTACGTCAGTCATAAAATTTTAAAGATAAAACATTTTTCTACTTGTATCAAATGGGTTCCGAAAGAATGGCACCGATTTGGATTTCATATTTCACGATTAGCAAACTTATTCACTTAGACCACATTTCATTTTAATCTTCGATACCTAATACACGATTGGAACTTACTCCAAAGATGATTAATTGAATTGATAAAGAACTTTCTACAAATTGAATGCAGGACAAGTCGAATGCGCAGTTAGAACTTGAGTTATAGTATTATTGTAATAAAATAAATGACTTTTTTTACTAACATCAGGCAATGCAGTGCGATGCTGTCCATGGCGCGCAGTCTCTGACAGAAGGATCTTCTGTCGCTTCTCCTCCATGAGCCGCTCCCGGTGTTTGTGTATGTAGTCGTACACATTCGGCAGACCCATGATCACACACGCAGACAGAGCCGACCGGTAGATGTTCATGTCTGTCGCTTCATACCTTCGAATAAATAAAATAAAACATCGTTATTATCAGTCAGTGTCCCCTATAAGAGGAGGTTTGCCAACGCCCACTTTTGGGGACCACATTTAGGTCATTGGACACACCCACTCATAAATGATCATAACACAGACTTAACCAGTCTACTAGTTGTTAGGTAATCTATCGTACAACATCGCGCGATTTAGTTTGTTATCAAAAAATTTGTTTGTTTCAATTGTAATACTATTGTGGCCCACATCCGGGTTTATGTAAAGTTTACACTAGCTCTTACTGCAAAATATTTTTTTTTTTACTTTTTGGTGGTTTTTGTTTAAATGGAGCTCTGTGACTATATCAGTGCTTAGAGGCATAAGCAAAGGTGCATGTATACATGCATGCAAACATAGTAAAAAGTTACCGTTGCACTATATATAGTGCAAGAGTAACTTTTCACTATGTTTTAAATCTCATCTCATGTAGGTTTTATAGGAGTCTGGAATGCGTAAGTAATTGCACGCTGTTAAATAATGGATTATTCTTTTAATCCGTGTTATGCCGTAACGCAGGTCTACGCGAGACACAATGTGTTTTCTATTGTGTGTCATATACTAACATCCAAGCGGTTAAATGCCGAAAAATCCCAATATTAATTCATCCGACTCGGCGGTTGAACCCGTGATTCCTTGACGGAGATATGTATTCAACGACGTTAACGCTTACCTGTCCCAAAAGTCTTTGATATCTACACACCTACTTCCCACATCAATCTCTTTACCATTTTATGAACTCGACTTTTCCGGAAATTTATTTATTTATTCATATGTATGTAATTGAACAATAAATACTACTCCTATGTATACAGCACTAGAACTGAAAAACATGTTCACGCATCCATCACGATGTATTATAGAGAGATAACCCATATACTGATCCCTCATTAACATGTGATGATGAATGTGAAGAGTTTCATCATGCGTCTCCTTCTTTACAATAAACGTGAACTGATTTCTAATATTTTTTTGAAGTTTAGAAGCAACACGTGACTCTTTCGACTTAACCACAAATATGATAGGAAAAATTTAGGGTCTTGTCATAAATGTAAAAAATCGGTATTAGATTAACATTTAGGTGCCTTATAACTTTCTAACAACGAAGTTACTTTTGAGATTAGGACCTTTGCCGTCTCGTTAAGAAGTATTTAGTTCGGTCCTTGCGATTTTGCCTGCATCTGTTCTTACTTACTTATTTTAGGTAGATTAACTAATTTTATCTAGGTGAACAATTGATACAATCTGCGGCCACCGTAGGTACGGGTCTGCAAACCAGACCCGTACCTACGGTACGTCGCAGAGCGTCGCGTTTCGCGCGCGCCTCAAAGAACCATCAGACCACCATAGATGGGGCCCCGTAGGGCTGATACCCGATACGGAGCCGCGGAAGGCCTAACGGGTTGCCGGGGCTCCGGCTCGAAGAGCAGGAGTAGGAACGGGGTGGTTTTTGTCTGACACTCCCTTTCGCCAAGGTGAACATTTGACCTCTTAGCAAGCCTTTCTTGCGCGGGCGAAGCCGCTAGCAGAAACTAGTTCTAAATATTTACGAAGTTATATAAAATGTTGTGAATAACGTGATGTTATTTAGTACTTAACATGTTATGATTAGATTTGCAACAATTTCTGTCTATGTAAGTAAATAAATACATAATTATCATATTAAGGGCAGAACAGAAGCGGTTGGACCACATTCAATGTTAGGTATAAAAATAGTCTACGCATGCAACGATAGAATGAATAAATTGCTCCCTTTGCACTGTGAATTCATTCATTAGCATACATACATAACTTCACGCCTGTCTCCCATGGGGGTAGGCAGAGACTAGGGAACACCAATTACTACGATTCCTACATACCTCTTTCGCTTCATCAATAGTCATCCATCTTTTCACGCATATGCTCGTCGGTTAAGGGTACTATTAATTTGGCCCTTCTTTAATATATCGTCAATCTGGTCACTATATGTCCGTCTAGGGCGCCCTCTACCGATGGCCCATTCATATCCGCTCTGTATACTTCTTTCGTTACTCTACTTTCATCCATCCTTTCTACATGTCCAAACCAGCGTAACATTCCTTTTTCAATCCTTGTCACTACATCATCTTTCAATCTACACTTTTCTCTAATAGAAAAATTCTATTTTTCACTCGATCACTCAATTTTAGTCCACACATACTTCTCAGGGCTCTCATTTCCACCGCTTTAATCCTGCTTTCATGCTTCTTCTACCACACCCATGATTAACTACTATACATAAGCGTTGGTGTCAATTATTCCGTGGTGTCAATACACACTGCATTACAGCAAGTCGAGCTTTGCTGTATATTATTTTACTCGTCATTACAGAGTGTAAAGCACCATTCACACTATTTCCCGCTTTCACTCTCCTTTCAATATCCCCGTCACACTTTCCATCTATAGCAAATAGTGAGTGATTCCAAATACACAAATTCATTCACTTGTTCCAATTTTTTTATCACCTATCATTACCTGATATTCTGTTATCACCTCATTTCTTTCTATCATATCTTTCGTCTTGTTCACATTTACTTTTATACCTTTCCTTTCAAATCCATTCATTCAAAACGGCATTCATAATAATGTCATAGTAGGGAATTCTACTAACGCTTGCGAGGCTTTCCATCCTATAAATTCTATAGATGAATAACACTGTGAAAATAATTATCTTAATCTAAGTAAAGATCAGAACTCACCACTCATTGGTCCTCTCGTCGTAGCACTCGACATGGTATATGGTGGTGACGCCATTGAACCCTCCTATAGCGAAGATCATGTCATCGATGACTTCTATAGCGAAGTTGCTGCGAGGATTGTACATGTCTGGTACTGGCGACCAGGTGTTCGCCGCGGGGTCGTACACCTCGCCGCTACACATTCGAGAGATACCGTTGAAACCTCCAATTACGTAAATCTAGGAAGAGAAGATGATAATGTAACATGACATTGGACCAAAAACATGTCAAGTAAAGAATGGATAAGTTTAAATATAAAATAACTATAATTATTAAGAATAACAAGAATAGAAGCTCAAAACAAGTCACGATGGAGAACTACTGTAGACGCTCTCTACCCCCATCTAGATAGGATATTAAGTTAAGTAATGTCAAAAATAGACATAGGCACACACAAAAGTGACTCTAGCCACACTACACATGATGGTAATTGTGAAAATAAGTAAAAACCTTTACCTAGTTTGTCAATTCAAGGGCAGCTCCAAGATTTGTGCTACTACAGAGAATTATGGCACTCATGAAATACTCTGTCCGACTTGAAACCTATTTCCTTAGTTGTGCTCCCCGCGAGCCACAAAGTGTCATCAGACCACCACACATGGGGCCCAGGAGGGCTTATTACCCGATACGAAATCACAGAAGGCTTTATGGGTTTGCTGGGACTCCGGCTCGAAGAGAGGTAGAGAGGTAGAGAGTAGGAACGGAGTGGGTTTTAGTCAGTAAGAGTCTGACAGTCCCTCTCGCCTAACCCAAGGCCGGAGAACTCATTGGATAACTTTCCCCCCTCAAAAAAAACAAGTGCAAGCTACTAGGCAGTCAGTCGCTGGTGGCATATTTAGTTTTACATAAGTCTAATAAATAATAATATATGTAGAGATTACAGAATGATAACAACAAGTATGGGAAGAACATAAATACATAATTAACTTGATTATTGGTAGTATATTTTTGCAATGAATTAATGAGTTAAAATGCTCATTGCTTAAACATTAATGAATTAGAATTCTGACACATCATAAAGTAGGTACGTACACTTTTATCAACCCCATTTCGTATTCATTCTAGAAGGAACTAGAAATCACTTCACAATACTGAAATGGTAATCTGAATTGAGATAGTGTGATAAACCGACCATTAATTTTTTGTTAATAATATCGTCGCGGCGCGCGGCGTAATACTTTGACCTACGCTGATCCTGACACGATATCGTTCGTTTACGATTTTGAGTTCATATGTTCATAGTTTGAATATGTGATCAATATTATTGTTCTTAAATGTATCTAACTATGTATGATTTGTTTATCTACGTAATTGTGGGTATAGGGACATTTTATTACGTAATTCAGCAGAGTTTGTTAGAGTTACTATGTAAATAAATATAATACAGGAAACTGTGGTATACGTCGTCACGTAAGTTCTCAGGGTACAAACACTAATCAACAAAGAACACTCAACGTGTAACATAATTATTAAGTATGTCTCTGGTTGATGAACCGGAAAAAGTGCTGTTAAGCTTACTTATAAATACTAACAATAAGATTACAAGCAATAATACCTAAATACCTTGTTGTGGTAAGCGATACATGAGACGCCGGACCGGCGGGACCGCATGGGCGCCAGGTTCGTCCACTGATTCGTATCCGGATCGTACACCTCCACGCTGTTCATGCATTCCTGGCCATTAAAACCTCCCGTAATGTATATCTTATCTGAAATAAAATGAATTTGTTCTAATTTGTATGAATATTTGGTAATTTACAACATAGGTAATATGCAATTGCGCATACATGTTATTTACGCCTAATAACAATCGTGAGGTACATCACCAACTTCAATAATATGGACAGTCTATGAAGACAGTCCTTCATCCGAAATAATTAGAATAACTGTAACCGCATATAACTAGGAAAAACCAAAACTATGTTGATGATATTTTTTACTTTTTTCACAGATCTAAATCCAGACACCAGAATAGATTATTGTGATGTTAATCTTATGTGCAGCAGACATTAGACATTGACATTTAATAAGAGCCGCTGCGCAGTTTGCCTGATTTATAGAACTTTAACTTCTTGTAACTAGTTAAATCTAGAATTATAAAGTTCCTGCTAATTAACACGGATGCTAATTGGACATTTTAATTGTTGTGCAATTTTTATCGTCCAATTTGTCAAACGCGACCCAGCGTCAAAATTATGCTGTATTTTTATTTAGGTAGGTACTTAATTAACAATTTTACAGCCCTGAATTAGGTAGGTACACTTTCTATTAAATATATGTCAGTAAACCTTGAACTGTGATATTTAGGGGCATCTAAATGTGGCATGCTTGACTCACAACAATTCCTCTTTGTAACTCTTCTGGTGCTACGAGTGTTCATACGTGGCGCTGATTGCAACTATCAGGTGATCCATCTGCTCGTTTACACCCCTATGCATCAATGTTTGTTTTGTAACTATGTTGTCTAAAGTATAACTTACTGTCTAGAGCCGCTGCGCTTGCGTCTGATCGTTGCGCGTTCATGGGTGCGACGAGCGACCACTGGTTGGTGCGGTGGTTGAACCTCTCCGCCGTGTTCTGGCGGTGGTGGCCGTCGTACCCGCCCATCGCGTATATTGTCTCTCCCAGCACCGCCACAGACACGTAACAACGACGTGCATTCATTGGTGCTACCTGGATAAGACGTACAAAAAGCAAAAGACACATTTTCAATCACACTAAAATTATAAATGTGAAAGTTTCTTTGTTTGGATGTTTGTCCGTCAACCACGCTGAAACCACTGAACTGAGATGAAATTTGGTATACAGCCAGGGCTGACTTAGGTGATATTTTTTATTACGATTGGGAGCACCCATGGGATAAAACAGGATTTATATTCTTCGCGGACAAAGTCGTGGGCAACAGCTAGTGATATATAGTATAGGTATCTCATAATTTACCTAAATTACAATACATTCTGGGCACATATAGGCAGGCAAATAGGGGGGAAATATAGGGCTTATTTTGATAAGCAAAACTCATCATTACTTTCAATACAACTACTAACGTAACTCAACGGAGCATCTACTGTTTGCAAGAAAATATGCTTACTCCATTGATCCAGAACTGTCTTTCGTATCAGATATGATATAAAATTTTTGTTAATGCAAATTAACTAACATTCTTCATTAGGGTTTAAGTAAGTATTTAATAAAGTGCTTTATCAAAATGATAACTGAATTATCAAACATAAAACATTTTGGAGGTCAAAGACTTTCGTATTCGCAGTTTTACCTCACGCCAAGACTTGGAAACCGCGTCGAAACAGCGACACGAGTTGAAATAGTCCATTCCATCGAAGCCACCGATCACGTATATGCAGTAACCTAGAACAGCTGTGCCGTGATATGCTCGCGGACCTGCGGGGTCTACCTCTTCAACCTAACGAGAAGTAAACGGTTTAAAAAACAATTGAAATATAGCATATACTCTGTAATGGCCTCATTGATAGATTGACCGTCAATGATTCTTGGGTGGGGCAGTAAATTAGCTTCCAAATACATTAGGACAGGAATAATTACATCAACGATGGAAAGCGAGTGCTACAGCTGTATCCATACGTCAATGTTTCGTTCTTAAGGAAATAATGAAGCTAACCTTTATCCACCTATCAGCTCTCGTGTCGTATGTTTCAATAAAAGCTGTCGGGGATCCTCCGCTCCATCCACCGATTGCAAATAGAACCTGGAGCAAAATACGGCAATTAGTTCTTTTATATAAATAGGTCCATAGCCATTTAAGTTTGATTTGGTGAATCCACGGCGTTTTCTTCAATTTTTGTATTCAGCGATCTATTTTAATGAGAAAAATATCTTTTCAGAATTGAAACAAAAATAAAATGCAATAGTTTTTGTACGTAGTGTTTTGAAGACCTTAGCGTGATGAGTCGTAAAACATATAGATCGTAATAATTTTCTCATTACAACATCTTCTTCTTCAGATTCTCTTCTTTTAAAGACCCTAGGAATGTATTATATCTACGAGTACGATTAATTCGAAAGTGGTATCTATAGATATTAGGTAAAAAATGGAAAGAAAAACAGCGTTACTTCGTGTGGGACTCTAGGGCGAGCAATCTCCGGCGTAGCGACTTCACCGTCTCTCTGAGCAATCATCTCCAAGTCGTACAGGAACTTTAAAGTTTCAATAATAATTGGCCGTGAACCTTCATTGCCAGTTACGTATGGGTGGTCCTTTACGTTTTCTAAGAAAAACTGAAATAGAGATAGCATTATAGCGAGCCTTGGCTGTACAATAATTCATAACAGCCACGGGATATTTCGGAACTACAAAATCAGAACTTCAGGTTCCAACCATAACCCTCCTTTTGGCTTCGCCATAGTCGGGTAAAAAACCAATAATAGTTATACCGATTCGGAACACAAACGCTGAAAGAAAAAGGGTTATACTTGTGTATCCAGTAGTCCGAGTCGTATGCTGCCCATCAGTTTGACGGTGTGCTGCCAACGACTATCTGGATCATAATTGACCCAGCGAAGCACCGCTTCCCAGACCACTTCCTCGCTCTTAACGTTAAGTTCATCTTCTAGTATAATAGAGTTGAGTTCTTCGAGAGGCAGGTGGAGGAACTCATCGCTTTGAGTCGCTACTGTCACGAAATAACGCAACAAATAACGTCTAGCATCCGCCTCGAGCTTATAACAAAACACACGTCTGAAAAATAGAAAACTAATAAAACAACATGTTGATAAATTATCCTTTCACGGATAGAAGACGATGTAAATAAAATTGCTTCTAACCTCGCAAACATCATAATTCCGAGACAGTTTTTAGGATTGAGAGAGGCTCTCAGATGGTCGCAGCACAGCTGCAGCACACCGAGGAAGGCGAGGTAGTCCGCGGTCATGAGCAACTCGTGAACATTCGCGTCGGTGACCTCGATGCGGCGCAGGTACGCATACTCAATTAGCAGCAGCAGGATTTCGGACCGCACGCCCGATATCAGCACGTCGCTTTGTTCGCGAGAGTGCAACGTTGTTGTAAATAGTGCCCTGTTACAATGCCACTCTTACACTTTTAATTTTAGAAAAAATCAAGTCTACGGAATACTTTGAAAATTGAAAGTTATAGTTGTGTATAGATGTTTATTCCTCTAACCAATCGACACTAACAGCACGAGTAATTCGAAAAATGGCATAATGAGAGGGTTAATTTTTGCATTTGCCCTACACAAAATACTTAAAAAAACCTGGAAAGATGCAACTATTATTAAGTCTACTTTTGGATTATAGATTGGCATAGATTGAGAAGGATCGTACAGGAAGTATGGGCTGCAGGCTGAGAGTATGGCACGGTGCACAGGAAAGGCGGCGCCGTCGTCTGCGCGCACTATTGCGTCGCAGAGCAACCGGCACTCGCGCAGTCGGTGCAGCGCCTGCATCGCCGCCACCGACATGCACCGTCCAGTCTCGCGACCCGCCGTCTGACCACCACAACCAAATTATTAGGTACAGCTACTAATGCAACACTAAAAATCTATGTAACCTAAACAATTGTCAATCTAATCGTCCTTGATGTTCTACTATCTCCTACCTCCTCTTTGCAATAAATCGGCGTCGTCATTTTCAGTATCGCTGCTACAATATTTGCTAGAAAAAAGCTAACTGAATTATCGATATTACCTACACCTAATCTCAAACAATTTGTCCGTTTCAATAGCCAGAGCTAAATCGGATTGTGCTTTATTATTTTGCACGTGGGTGATTTGAGCTTACAAACTTTTGCGAATTCGAAAATTTAAGAAACAAGTAGTCTTATTTTGAAATTTATGCGTTACGAAGGCGATGTTATAGAAATCGAAAAGCAAATCCGTTATTTTTTTTCGTAGACTAGTGTGAGCCCCACCGTCGCAGCCGTGGAGAGGCGCTGCTGCACTCTCGCTTGCTCGACATCAGTACTTACTGTGTTATTCGGGTCGTTTTCCATTTCAGTGTGACTTTAACGCAAAGTCATCATTATTAAATTGTCACGCTTTAAAAAAATCTTAAGTGCAAAATGGACGTGTCACGACACAATCGAGATTTAGCTCAACAAATTTATAAAAATAACCGTAAAAAATAACTCAAAATAGCAGAATCAAGTCATTTGATAAAACATTTTAGGTTAGCAAAAAAATGATATAAGAATGACAATCATGTCACACCTTTTTTTTCCAGATGACATTACTGGACAATAGTATTTTCATTGTCAGCGGTTGTCTTGCTGCAGTCAAAAACGTTTATACTGTTACTTTTTCAGTAGATAAAGGCGTCCACGGTGTTCATGAAGTTGTTAACTTTAAGGTTTTGTGTCAAGACATTGAATGAAAAACAGCAAATTGAACATTTTGTTTTTATTAAGTAAATAATTATTTCAAAGCGCTGTCACAGTTCGTATCATCACACAACATTATTATTATAGCAGTTTTGTACACATTACTCTATTAGCATATCTACTTAGACATATTCTAGAAACAATCTTAAAATTAACAGTATTTATATTATTTACAAAAAAGGAAACATTTGTATTATAAAACTAGGTTGAACACATTTGCAATGCCTTTAGGTCCCAAAATTCGACTGTATATCACAGAGATACGGCTGTGTCGGGAAGCGAGTACGAAAATACTTTTGAGGTTCAGTTGAGTGGAGTCGTAGTTTCTTTCGCGTGGATTCCGTCAGCTCTTAGTCGGGATAATAGTGACTTGTAGACTACTGGTGAGAATGGGAGCACCACACCACGCTCTTGGATTTCGCCTGAAATCAAAAGAAAACGCATTAAAGACAAACTTTAAGACTACGTGAAGAATAGTGGTGAGGTGGATCATTTGTCACTTTAACGATTGTGCCTTTACTTCGAATGACTGGAAGAGAATCGCATAATTCTAACTTAGGGCTCGTACACAAAACTGCGATGCGGCCTCTGATCCCAAAAATGTGCGAGCTATCTTTACAAAACGCAATGAACTTGCGAATTGATTCGCATCGCGCATCAAAATCTTTTCTTCCCAAAATCTTCTTTATTTCTTTTTCCTGTATCTCCTAAGCAATAACAGAAGTGCACACTTCTTTTTACGATCCATGTCACAACCTAGTGTTCAATTTAAAATACGTTTAGTACGGTTGACGGTCGTCAAAGGAATGGTTACCATGGGAGACGCATTGTCGCACGAAATCGCATCGTAATTCTTTGCGTTGCAAATTCGCATCGCATCGCTGTTTTGTGTACGAGCCCTTAAGGAACCATAGTTTCAGCCAGATTTGGAATGACTATTTATGGATCACGCAAATATTACACACGATAACTAACTATGCAATAACAATAGGTAAAGGTCTAGTATCTTACCATCAAGCACCATTTTAGCAGCGATGCCGGTGGGTAGGCCTACGGTCCAGGCCATGGCGGTATGTTTGCTGGGATCTCCTCGCACGGTCATCGTGACTTCCCTTCGTTCACGTTTGCCATCGCTCCAAGTCACGCCCAGCTCGTGACGAAGTACCACCAGGTCAGTCTCATCTTTTTCTGTAAAGGAGACAGAGGATATTCTTTATATGATTTACTTGAAAAGATTTTCGAGAAAAATAATATTCCTAATATAAGTAAGCGATGTTATATTTACTATCTTAGTTAGTAACACATTACATAACATCACGCCTTTTATCCTCGAAGGGGTAGGCAGAGGTGCACATTATACCACTGTACAATGGAACACCCACTTTTCACTATTTATGTTATGAGTCCCATGTAATAGGGGGTGAGCCTATTGCCATAAGCCGGGCACAGTTCCAGACTCCGTGCTACTACTGAGAATTTTTAAAAACCTAGTAGTACTTTGCCCGACCCGGGAATCGAACCCGAGATCCCTTACCCGGCAGTCGCAATTGCGACCACTCCGCCAACGAGGCAGTATCTTAGTTAGTCTTATTAGTTATCTTAGTCTATTTGTCACTTGGTCAAATAGAGAACCTAAAAAAACGGAAGAACAAGAGAGTATAGAAAATTCCACTTACGTAATTGTAATTTCTTGCTAAGATAATGGCTGACAGTGTCGAGAGGTGTGCCGCACTTGACAATCTCGACGTCATCTAGAAGACCGAGGGACTCCAGTGACTGAGCTCCTGAAGGTCCGATGCGTTCTGATAACCTCGTCCTCAGGTTCTCGAAGAATATTGAAGAGTCGACTAGACCAAGGAGCTCGCAGGCGAATTGACGCTGCATGAACACATTCAATTTTCGTTGTCAATTTTGTCAAAAGTAAAAGAGAAAGCAAATACTTTACCAAGCTATAAAATATTAAACAAACACATAGTTTGTGTTATTGTGGTATTTACACACCCATGTGATCTTAGGTCCATCAGGGTGCAGGGACGTGTGAGGGTTGGGGTCCACCAGACCAAACAGCTGCATCGCTATCATGTTCTCTGCAAAACCTGGAATTTCATAAATTACGTTATTTTATTACTATGAGTTAGATTAAAGCATCATATGTATATTGACTGCACGGTTGGTGCGGTGGCTGGGCAACCGGCTGCCGTATAACGTGTCGCGGGTTCGATTCCCGCACGGGACAACACTTTGTGTGATCCACAAATTGTTGTTTCGGGTCTGGGTGTGCACAAATTGTTGTTGTGTATGTGAACTTGTATGTTTGTAAACGCACCCACGACACAGGAGAAAATCATAGTGTGGGGCAACGTTTTTAAAAAAAAATCAAAAAAAAAATATTGACTGTAAAGTTGCGTACAGAATGAACAACATCTCGGTCGTAGTTTCTATGTATTGTGATGTTACCAATTTAAAGTATGCACCTACGACTGCCATGTCTATAAAAAATGTGTTACCTTTGTATCTAATAGTTCCTCTGAACATGGTGTGAGCATCTTCAATGCCGTACAGCCTGGAGTACATGGTGCTGTCTCTGTTGGGGAACCCTTCAAACGCGAAGCCAGGCAGGAAGTTCAGGTCGCGAGCCACTGACATTAGTTCTCCACCACTCAACACTTCCACGATCTGGGGAGCGAGTATGAAAGCACTTACATTAAGTAAGGACAGTGCTTTGGCTTTTCTTCTAAAATAATAAAAATAAACTACCAACGTTAAAAAAACTTCAACCCATCTTCTTTTTTTGAAGGTGGTTAATGATAAACAAACTTGTGTGTCAATCGCATCAAAATCGGTTTAGAAATTGCGTGATAGTCGCGGACAAACATAATTTACATGTAGAAGTTGGGTAAAAGAGTACTTTGTGCATTAGTACTTAGTGATAGTACTAATTCTTCTTATTACCTGTCCTTTGCTAAGATACTTGGCTCCGGAGATTGTGTTAAGCAGCACTCCTCGAGGGTTCCATGAGAATTTATATCTTAGGGCATTGTCACTGAATTCGGGTGCTGGCAAACCTGAAAATCGATTAACGTGCTGTTTATGGATATTTATATCGATATCATTGTCACTTTTTTCATTTACCGAGTTATATTTAAATTTTAATTCCTCGGACTTTCTAAAAACTGTAAAGTAACTGTCACTACAAATAATATTGAGCAATTTTTTATCAAAAAGTATATATGCAAACTGTATTACATGTCTATCCAATAACTTATTGCTTTTTAAAACGTCTCCAATTACATCTTGTGCGAGTACTGAAGGAATTATTGGAGAGAAGAACTATAGAGTTTGTAGTTATCAAGGGTTTTCTCACCTCCACAGTATGATACGAATGAGTCGATTCTTCCTCCATGGTTCTGTATATCATGGATGCATTCAAGTGCGAGTAAGTGGTCGATGCCTGGGTCCAAACCAACTTCATTGAGGAGTGTAATACCAGCGTCTTTTGCACTAAAACATAAGAATATAATATCACGTTTTTTGCACCTTTGCCGCCAATGTTAACAGCTTAGAGAACCTATGATTACACGACCGACGAATTTATAAGTAAAATGTAACTAAATTGAGACAATATTTATATACAAAACTATCACATAATCAAGAATGATTAAACAGCGTGAACAAGAACTTACGCTTTGTGCAGTTCCTGTACTTCAGGTCTGACGTAGGACGCGGTGACCATGTGTGCGCCTGCGCTAAGACAGGCCTTCGCCACCGTACCGTGGAGGTCGTAGGGCAGGAGGGACACCACTACTCGAGCCCGAGACGCCAAGGACCTTAATGCTGACTCGTCTTTAGCATCCAAATACTCTGAGGAGACTCCATAACGTTCTGCTAGAGCATCCGCTTCTTCTTTTACTGCTGAGGCTGTCAAATTGATATTCAAGCGTTATATAACATAGCATTCATAAAACTGATAGAAAGATAGATAGAGTTGTGGACGTCACCAATGTGAACGATCAAAATAACGAACGAATTGTAGAAGTTAAACTAAAAAAAGAGATCTTTTAAGAAAACACGAAAGAAATACAGTTGTAGAAATACAAACCTACTGTAACAGCAATATTTTTGTCTCTAGCCAGATATTCCACCACGGGGGCCGACACCAGACCGCTGCCGAGGATTAGGATAGGCGTCTGTTGCTCATTGCCTTCCACCTTATGACGGGAACGTCTGAAAATTATGAGACCTTAGTTTTTTAGTATACAATATCCAAAAGATATCTGATAGGCCCAGGTCACACCAGAGCGGGGGTTAAATTGTATTGAAAAACATAACCGCAAGTGCAACCACTTGTATTCGGTTTGTTTTAACAAAATTGCTCCGTTAAAAACCGCCACGGATCCTCTCTGGGGCGGCCATAGAAATTACATGAAACCTCAAAAACTATGACGCTTCAGATTAAAACCGTTGTTGGAGTAAAATCTCCCCAATCTACTTGCGTTGACGGTTTTACCAAGCGACGAAGCAAGTTCTAATAAAGTTAAGGTAAGAAAACTATGTTTTCAGTACAATACTTACGTGTTTGCCATTCTAAGTTCGTTGATATACTCGAAAGGGGGCGTCAACCGTCCGTTGCTTGTTATAATGGCCTGAAACGAAAATAAAACAATAAATATAGGTCACGTTATTGAAGGAGTTACTCACTAATATTGTTATTTGCAAAAACATTACGATAAAAGTAAGTTAGCACTGATATAAATTAATATCTACGAAGACTAATGAGGGTTTTACTTAGTACGTAATAAAGTACCTACTTATTCGCGAAAAAAATACATAAAACTATTTCAGTACTTTGATAATAATCTTTCTAAACTGGCGACTACTTACATTGAAATTTCTCGTGTTATTGACTTAATATTATCACCAACTCCCCGATAAACAGGATACTATCGTAACTTATACGTACCTATCTACTTATGTATGTATGTATGTATGCCTTATATTTATATCCTCGTTTACTAAATATGTTAGTGATTTGTCTATTATTTCTTTCGTCGGATTTTTTATGAGAATCTTGTAAACATAACATAACATCACGCCTTTTATATCCGAAGGGGTAGGCAGAGGTGCACATTATGCTACTGTACAATGTAACACCCACTTTTCAATATTTATGTTATGAGTCCCTTGTAATAGGGGGTGAGCCTATTGCCAAATACCGGGCACAATTCCAGACTCCGTGCTACTACTGATTTTTTTTTAAAAACCCTAAATACTTTGCCCGATCCGGGAATCGAACCCGAGACCCACCGGCAGTCGCACTTGCAACCAATCGGCCAACGAGGCAATCTTGAAAACTTTACGCATAACTTATGAGTAAAATATCACGACGAATATGACCCTAGTGAAATAAATCTGCGATAGAAAGGTAAGTTAAAAACCTTGAAGACCATACTTTTAATTAGAATGAACTTACTCCTTGAACCACAGGCGAGAAACTGTGTTCTTCTAGCGGTTTGGTGGCGTCAGACCTCATGATATCTTCTGCGTATGGGTACAGTAAGTCACCGAAGAAGTCAGTGGATTCCCTCGGCAGTTGTGTCGGCATGTTGTCTATTGAACATACTAGTACACCGGGACCTTTGAAACTGAATACAGAATTGAATGTTTAAAATATAATTCCTATATTCTTCTGTTTTCGTATAAGGTCAGGAAAAAGATATAATTATGGTCTATGATAATAAAATATACTGGATTTCAACATGGAAACTTCGACTTTGGAATCAGTACGGGATTATTAGAAGAAAAAAGGAAATGACGGGATTAACGTGTAAGTTAAAGAACTCTTAAAAGAACTCTTTTTAGGATGTAAATTGCTAAGTAAAATAATCAAGTAGGTAAAGGCAATATAGTTGATTCATAAATGTAATTTGTTGAGAAACAAACCTAATGCTATTGAAATATGAACTGACCTCTTAGTATCTTTATTTCTATCAGCATCGTAAAGACAGAAGGGCGTGTCGATAGTAGTACATTCATTCATGAATTCGATTGAGCCACCAGGGTCAGCAGATATGTCGCAAATAGCCAGCATTCTGTAAAAAATGAATTTAAGAAAGAACTATAAAAACCAAGATAAATAAAAATAAACTCTTCTGACATAACAATAAGTACGTATATTATTTCTTATTAACATTTAAAAATTGCCTGTATGTATGGATTATTGAAATAAATGATTGGACTTAGATATTTTTATAAAATCGTCTGTTTAAAAGACCGTTCGTAGTTCGTAGTACATATAGCTACGATTCGTAGCTTGCGTAGCACCGCGTAGCTACGTAGCGTAGTTCGTAGTCTACGATTTTTGGTGACACCTTTTTGTAGTTTTTATTTCGAAGATATATCTTCTTATTATTTTTACCCATACTACAAATTCATAGCATATTGATATGTTATTTTTCGTTGGTTTTCAGTCAATATTGCCAATATTGTCGTCATACATCCAAAACAAAACTGGTTTTTTTATCTAAGATAAATATCTTATTACCTGTGGGGTAAGGCTGGGGCTCCAATACTCTTGGGTAACCACGGAGTGTGTGAAGGTAGCAACAAGTGCTTAGCGTCTGGAATGGTCAGCAACTTCGGACTGCCTACCGCCCAGTAAATGCAGTTTACTAGGACTGATGTATATGGTGCAATCTATTAGGAAATAAAAGTTATTATTAAAAGTAGAATGTGAAACTATTTAAAAAAATACTCTACGTGTAATGAATGTAAAGCTAAAGAAGGTTTACAGTGAGAGAACGCAAGCTGCACTCTGTAGTTTCTATCTAACCATAAGGGACAAACATGAACATAACTAATAATATAATAGTAATAATATATAGGTAAAATAATCAAAATCAGATACGAATAATAAATAGGTGATTCAAATCTAATCTGTCAACTACTCAATTAAGATAATATGTGAATTGTTTTCGTTTACAGTCTACCCAATAATATGTAGGTATGTATTTTACAAATAGGATTACGATGAATTGAAATATGTGTTAATATTGCAGTCTTAAGTTTCCAATTACGGTTAGCAGAGAAAAAAAGTAATAGTAACTGATAAGTCTTGTGGGAAATGTCCCTTTATTGAGAAAAGCTTATCACGAGTAGGTAACTGTGGAACAGACGTTAAATCAGATATTAAAAATTGAGTACTTTTTGATACGTGCTTTAAAATTCCTGCATTGTTCGAATGCTTGGGAACGAGTGGGTGTTGTTTTTGCTGTACGAGTGTACAGGAGAATGACCGGACATTTGTAATGACTGATTAATTCGCAATCAATTGCATTATTGTTCCCTTTCCTCTGATAAGATATTCATGAACAAAATAAATTACTAAATTTTTCTTTGACTTTGCAAATTAAACACAATCTTTTGTATTTAAGTAGATTATTGTACGATAGAAGATAGAAAGATAACGTTATCATACAAATGTGGCCCACACAGATCTGTTGTCAACAGCTAATTGCGTTGTGGCCTATATTTTTTGCGTTATTTTATCGAAATGAGAATTACGCGCGATAATTTAGTGACGTAGGCCTATTTCTTAAATCAAATACTTTATAAGTACCAAGATTATAAAATAATACTATTTGTGACTCTGTGTTATCTTTTGATTACCATTTGCAAAGATTATGTGTCGTTTTAGTTTTCAAGTAATAAAAACAGGATAGCAATATACTTAAGAAATAATCGCGAGTAATAAACTTTATGGGTGGGGGGTACAGATTAGATTAGGTATTCGTGTACTAGTTACCTTCTGCGCGAAGGTTGAGATGTATCGTTCTGGATGCTCATCGTATTCCTGTGCATCATAACCTCCTCCATTTTTCCTCTCCAAGTGATGTCTGCGACGAACTTCGCAGCCGTAGATCTTATTTGGACCTAGGGAAAAGTTTCATTCGTAATTTCATTATTTGATTGTAGACTTAGAAGTTAGACTTGGTGATTAGATACTTACTTCCATGTTCAGCCACTTTCCTCAACATCTCTGGAGGTACGTATTCGTGAGGTAATTCTTGGAATATCTCTTGACTTCCCTGTGACAAGAAAATAATTATTATGTAACAATGTAACCTTAAAATACTCACCGAAATAAAAGAATGAGTATAGGAACATACACACTGGTGTATGTTCATACCTAGTGCATGATTTTTGTCTTACGAATTCCACCATTCTAATATAGTCTTAGAAATATTTTAATTTTTTGCATTGTTGAACTTACAGTTCTTTCTAGATACTCAAATTAAAACAACGACACAAGAGTAAACACCTTAAATTTTTATTACCTGAGAGACATTTCCAGATCCAGTGAAGACGAAGGTGAGAGGTCCTAGAGATTTGGGCATCATGCCCAATGCTACTTCATAACCAGCATCCCTGATGGCCTGTCGTGCCATACTGGAGTTGCGGTAGTTGTGAGATGGTCCAATGTGCTAGAAAGTAAGATCGGTCAATAGAGTCATAGATGTTGTCGAATACTTACTTACTTATCGTTCATAGAATAAATTTGGACCTTTTACTTTCTTAGTCCCATTGAAATAAGATGTGTCTATAACAACCAATTGGTCATCTTCTAAGCACTGTGTTTTTAACTTAATCCTAATGGTGAAAGACCAAATTACAATGTGTTGAAACGAAAAAAAAAAGCACGGACCCTCACCGTGCTTTTCGATAGCACAAAAATTTGATCGGCAAAAATGCGCATTAATATCTATGGATTTTTGACTGAAGTCATATCGTAATACATGCTCCTATAAAATAAAAGCAATAATATGTAAGCCTTTTTGCATAGTACAGATTTATATTTGATGATTTTGATTATATTTAAAATTTATCAGTGTACGGTTGCAATTTTGGTATGTCCACTGATTAAATTGCACGAGTTTCCTGAATTACTTATCTATGAAGGTTACTTTCAATCGTGTCCTACAAAGACAATCATAAATCTCATCGACCCCACCTGAAGCATATTAAGGTCATATAATTGTTTGTCATATAATATCTTGTTACCAGACACTGATATGACAGTACATACCTACTTGATATGTATTTACCTAATAAATATTCGAGATAATAATTACAATCGCTATGAATTACAGTAGGTACATGAATTACAAGATAAATTGTCAAATTTTCCATACCTGTGTAGTAAGTTTTCAATGATTCGACTCAAATAATGAAAATTCCCCATTTTCATCTTCTCATGTGGTTAAAAGCAAACAAAAGTTTTTTACTAAGTATCCCTTAGACTATGACCTTCTATTTTATGTTATATGTTATAATTTCTAAAAATTAGAAACTACGAGTACAATGTTTCGAAATGATTACCTACCAGGTTCAGAAAAAACCCCGTTTATCTAAACTTAGTAGGTGGCATACGATAATAGACGGAATCGAGTGAACATCGAATACAAGAATAGATCTCAAATATGTGTTCATCGTTATTTCGCAGCACTTTTTACTTTAAATTTGATTAAGTACCGCATTGGCAATAACTGAATGACGTTCTAAGCTAATGATTGTCTAGGAAGAGTTTAAGATTTTTAAACGATCGTGCCGTTCATACCTCTGGAGTGAAGAGGCGAATTTCCGCCTGGTTGAAGTCTATGCTTATATTTGCAGCCTGTTTACTTACCATGAACGGTGTATGATGTCCAAGTGCGAGTAACCTCAGCCCAATGCCGTGTAGTATATTGATCATACCCGCCACTCCTGCGTATTTGCCAAACGCCACCACGCGGTTACCGGAGTCATCCATCAACTTTTCGTAATCTATTAATCGAATGTTCTGAAAATTGAAATTACATAATCCACTCTCTATCATAAGTTCCATTCTTTAACAGGTTACAAATCCAGTTCCATGCAGACTTTAGGTCATGTTTTATGTTAATTTAGCCAAAACATAAAACATGCAAGAATTAAATTTGATAACTAATACTGATTTATCTGCGAGACTAATTAACATTTCCTAACCTTGACCTACCTTTTTCAAAATGGCGTCTAACATAGGCATGTTAGCTTCCTGAGCTTTGATAGTATGAGAGAAGAAGCAGTATGTCTTGTTTGGTATGAGTAGGTCGATGGGTGTTTGTTTCACGCCGAAGATCACGCTCGCCTCGCTGATATCCTCCTGGACTATTGCGCCCGCATTTATGTATGACTGTAAAAAAATTGTTGCTAATGTAGAACCAGGTACAAGTGTGGAAAAATGATCAAGTTTTCAAAATCTTTCATAATAATATGACGTCCGCAATGGTGATCATCGTATGGTTATTGTCTCACCCTCTATCACTTGAGTGAAAAGAAAATTACTTTACGTATGTGTAGCTTTGGTCTACAGTTAAATAAAACTCTTAGCAAAAGAGTAATAAGTTTTATAATATTTTACGTCAGTCAAAATCAAAACTACATAGAGTAGCTGTATTTTAAACGACGTATGAGTGTTTTTGGTGATTGTCACTCTAAAAGCGTTTCTTTTATAAATTTTTACCTGCATAGGATAGGCCCTTCGGTTAGAGGGCTGCACGATTACCCTGACGCCCTGTCGCACCAGGCGGTTGACGTTGGACGGAGAGAATGGAGCTCTTCTCTCCCATACTGACTGGTCTTCTCTCCTTATTGCTATCGTTCGGGTACCCTGAACAAGAAGAAATGTTAAAGCGTGTATTAAAACTTACAGGTAGATTAATTCATTAATATGTGTCTAATGTATAAAAAGAGAGAGTTAATGTCCCTGAAGTAAACGGTATGGTATTAACTCAACTGAAGGGAGCCCACTCGAAATATTCTTAATGAAAATCTAAACTTGGGTGAAATACAATTATGAATGTCTGCTAAAGCTCTGACACTCTGATGGTACAGATAGGTATCACTTAGATATCTATTATGGACGGAAATCAGTAAAATTCCATGCAGTACATTCACCTTATTAATCGAAGCATAAAACTGACTTTTAAGTATGTAGACTACCTACTATATGTTATCAGTAATTGTAGTATTAATCAAACATTCCAAAAATGCAATTAACAAATAAACAAACAATATGCTTTCATTGACACACTTTGTTCACGCTCAAACGTGTTGTTTTCCATTATCTGAAACAAATAAGTATATGTTTTTGCATCCAGTACAACGCTCTCGGATTAAATATAATACATACGCAGAACTTTGTCATTATTGGACCGCGGAAACGATACATTATCATCTTAGCTAAATATAGAAAGAGGTCAAAGTATTGTATTGTGCATTTATTTGACCTTTACAATAGAAAATTTATGTACCATATGAAAAATATATAATGAGGTTTCATCGAGTTTAAATAGGAAATATAAATAAGCCATTTTCCTAAGAGCCAAAAACGTTTTTGTAAAGTAGGTAAAACAAGGTTCAGTAAAATGCTACATAACACACGTGAAAAATTTTAAACGTCATGTCAGTTTGATCTAAATATCCTGAAAGAATTAATTCTTCACGATTCAACTGTATAAAGTACGTTTCTCATTTCACAGGAACCTAATTTTCTCCAAACAAAGATAGAGGCTTCTATTAATACCTACTTTGTTATAGGAATTAGTAAAACCTTTAAAACAAATTGTTACTTGAGAACAACTTATTTATATTTACTTTTAAAATAGCGAACAGGAAAATATTATTTTGGCTAATCACACATATAATCACACTATAAACAAAACTTATATAGATGATCATAAATATTCAAAAGAAATTTATTAGATGCTTAGATTACCGCTGCTGTCACCCTCATGTATCTTATGAGACCTCGTTAAGATACCACAATTTGTCATTGCTCTCTGACAGAAGAAAGTACTTTGATCAAATGTTTCTTTTTAAAATAATTAATGGTTATATTGACTCACCCCCACTATTAGAAAAAATATATCTAAGAGTGCCCCGACATGGTTCCCGCTTGCGAACATTATTTTCAGTACCCTCTTATCGAAAAATATACACAAGTAACAACTTTTTCAAACGCAGTGTTAACACTTATAATGAAGAATTGAATGAATTAGACATATTTAATACCAGTACCAATGTGTATAAATCTAAAATTAAGCAGAAATATCACGGTCACTTTATAGGAATGTAATTTCGTTTATCATTTTAAAAACTTTATCTCTGTAATTCTTTTCTTTTTTTTTTATGTATACTACTGATTTGACACCTTTAAAAACAGTGCCTTTTCGTATATTATTGTTTTATGGAACTCTAGGTCTGTATGTATCACATTGTATTTTAATAATTTTATTTGTAAGAGACTGTCTGTTTCCTGAATAAATAAAAAATAAAAAAAAAATAAATCATTTGACGTCATTTTTACACAAGGGAAAATACGTGGCAACGTTTCTTCGTTGGCCCAAAAAGATAGTACACGTAGAAATTTAGATACATACGCAAATATAATTATCACAAGATTCGCCCACCCTCCTATAAATATTTATAGATCGTTTGTTATTACAGCTTATGACTCTAAATAAATCGAGAGTTCTTGACACACCCTAAAGATAGTGGATGTCAACAAGTTTAAGGTAACAAACAACGATAATATAGTAACAAAATGCTTGATAGTCATCATGTAATAGTAAAAATATTCCATCACATGTTAATTCTTTTATCTCTAGATGTTAGTTTGTGTGAAATGCTACGGAACTTTCCTTGTCCTAAAATAATTACCATTAAGATAAAGTTACCAAATAAGATAAAGTAAACTAAGAACCTTCAAGTTTACTGAGAATCAATAAGAATTATTTTATTTGAAGCACTCTTTTGACTAATATTTCTTAAGAACATTTTTAAAGATCTAATAGAAATAGACCGGAATGTTCATTGAGGATATGCGAAAACTACATAAAATATCGACACAAAAAGAAATCTATTAATTCTGGTCTTACAATGAGACTTCAGTAAGTTATTCTGTAACTTTCAGATGATCAAATGGCTTATATTAAATTCAAATTGAATGCAAATTCACAATTGAATCCAAATATAATACGGATTGCTTTTATACGAAATTAGAAATTACTATTTTACTTAAAGTAATTACCTACCTGATAAAATTTACTTATGAATATTTAGCATGATCTGTACAGGAGGCCCGTACCTACTTATCACGCGAATGTTTATGTAGGTAACATTAAGATAAGTTATCATATAATTGTATGTTCAATTAAACCTGGGTAGGTACGAATACCGGGCATCATAACAATAACTCCCCTTATCAGTTGCTACCTAGGAATTAAGACAACTCAGTGTGTCAGGCCTACCTACACGTAGAAATAGTTAAATTAAATCAATATTAACCTTGTAAGAATATTACTTTCGTTATCATTTAAAATGTGTTCTTGTGTAAAATCTTGACGTTTTTTTGTCCAATGTTATTTACATTACGTACAAAAATAGCCCAGGTATCTATTTATGCTGTTTGCACTAGTATTTTCTTCAACTTTTGGTACTTATCCACTTATTACTGGGTGTATTCTTAAAATTCTCAGTAGTAGCATGGAGTCTGATATTGTGCCCGGTATATGGCAATAGGCTCATCCCCGATTACATGGGACCCATATCATAGTGAAAAGTAGGTGTTACATTTTACAGAGGGCGTAAGTGCTGTAATGTGCACCTTGCCCAGCATCTCGGGGATAAAATGCGTGATGTTATGTTATTCCTGAAGTAGAAAAATGTTAAAGCAAAAAATCTTGCTTGTAACGAGACGAGCATTCATCTCTTTTCGAACTTATCCTGCATTTTACACAAGGAAAATTGCATGTCTATCACAATAGCAATGAACTAAGTTAACATTTTTATGCTTTAAAAATAAGATTTCCTTCCTGTAAATCTTTTTAAACTAATCAAGAAGTGGAGTGTTAACTATTATTTAGGTAGATACTTATTTCCTTTTTATTTTTCCATAACTGCAATATTGTTGAACTTGAAATAGTCAAAAAGAAACAATTATTTACTTGTAATAGGTAGATAGTTTGTCATAAGGTATAGATAGTTTGTCATTTTATAATAACTTAGGTTCTCTTATATTGCCTTTAACAAAGGCATGCAAAATTGATAGATATAGATATTTCTTAATTTCCGGTGACCAAGTTTACATGCTAAGTTGCATAGGGTCATAATAAGTACCTATAAAATTTGTTATCGACATCCCGTCAAAGGCCTTCACTTCATCCTTAGAGAGGGTTTGCTTTAATACCCTACTTGCTATACTGGGTAGATTGGTAGTTACAACTTGTTTTTTAATTCGAACGAAAAGATAACTAAAAATATTGTAGATAATATCTAATAATAAAATCGGAAATTGTTTACGAATTCAGACTTAGATTATATTATTCTATCGATCATAATATTATATTAATGTGAAGTAAACAGATTATTATTTCGATTAGGCTGTTGCTGGGTTTTTCTAATTACCCATGTAGGTACCTAGATTAATATAAATACTAGATTATCTACGTTTTCCATTGATTCTTATAAGACTAATTATTAAATTAGTAATCGTATTAGCTTTAGTATTAGTTTACGTTTTTTTAAAACATAGTCAAATAATGTTTTTTTTAATACTTAATTTAACTATGTAAAAAAATAAACAAGTAAATATTATATCCTAAACCTCCGTAAATGTATTTATTTAAAATCGTTGGTAAACTTAGTAAACTTGGTAAATCTTACCTTAGCCGAAGAGTAATAAACCACATGTTTCAAATACTGGCTCTTCGTCCGAAGAGCCGCGGATTTGTACAACATAATTATGACCACAGATAACTTTTAATTTTTTAAATAAATAAAAAAAACACAAATATAATCGGTCTGTAACGAGGCGTGTGTCGCGTCTATTTCGTATTTCGAACTAAATAACGTAGCTCCTTTGAGAAAACATACAATCGACATGACGTTTTATCATAAGTGATAGTGATACCGCATTTGTTGTTTGATTGCGTTACTTGCGTACCAAGTCTTCACTTTGTTTTCATACACAATTAATGTTAAATAAACTTCCTACTTCTCTGATACAGATGTCATTGTTATCGTTTATTTAAACACTTCGGTTAAATGTGTGCTTTTGAACTCGATAATTCTGCAGTCTGTCGTATATTGTATGTGTTTTGTTTTTTAAGTATTAACACAAATTAACTTTGTAACTTAAATAATAAGTACATAAGTCTGGATCATTTCTCCACACCCAAAAGTAACTGACAACGATTGCTTATCAGTTATAGCTACGTCTTACTACACTACTATACTAAAACAATACTCACTCAACTTATCTCTTCAAGGAATAATAGTCGTGATGATATGTTTGAAAATACTCAGAAGGACTGTAAAAGTTCTGTTTTTTCTTCGTTCTAATAATGTAGCAGATTAGTGTTCGGTACCTAAACAGGTCGTAGGTTAAATTTAGTACGTAGGTACTATATATTACTACTACTACCTACTATTAATTATTACCCGTCGCGGAGAATCTAACGGGTTACCGGGGCTCGGGCTCGAAATGCAGGAGAAGGAACGGGATGGTTTTTAGTCAGTAAGAGTCTGACACTCCCTCCCGCCTCACCCAGGCGGGAGCAGCAATACGATGATTCTCCCCCCTTAAAAAAATATTACCCACCATTGTATTGTGTGCACATTTACCTACCACACATCAAGAGTTTGATATCGCGTCTCAGGCTTTTATGACAGTTACATAAAAACAAAAGGAGCCTAGTAAAATTATCATAGCAACCATAGTATTAGAAAATAATTATCCCAAGCATTTATCTAATTGATTAACATGATCTTTAACATATTATTTTTTCTGAAACTAACATGAAATAGGTACGGTAGATACCTAATTCTCTTCTCTATCTCCCTAATTCTTGAATCCCCAAGAATCCTCAAATTCCTAATCCCCAAAACGCCGGTAACGCATTTGTAACGCCTCTTGTGTTTCGGGTATCCATGGGCGGCACCGATTGCTTACCGTCAGGTGACCTGTCTGCTCGTTTACCGGCTTATTCCATAAAAAAATCAAATTATATGTAAAGTGTGTATAAGCCTACGGCAGTCTATAATAACATTACATAATAATATCTATACCAAGGACGTTCGCGAGACGATCTCCGGCCACCGTAAACGCGGACCTGCGGACGGCGAGCATGAGTGGCTCCCCGTCTGACCAAAAGAGTTTGTGGTTTTTAGTTACTAAGAGTCTGACACTCCCTCCCGCCTCACCCAGGCGGGAGCAATCATTCGTTAATTTTCCACCCTTAAAAAAACCAAGGACTTTGAAAAAAAGGCGGACATAGTCTCTTGAAACAACACACTTGGTGCTTCAATCATTTCTAAGTGGCATTATGTCCGCCTTTCTTTCATCGTCCTGTTTTTATCGTCAACAGGGTCCACAGGGTCTTGCCTTCTTGGCCTTATTGGCAACAAAATACGATCCACCATTGTCTATGGTTAACATAATCGATAATGTAACTGAGCGCAATGAGTTTATAAAAGATGTAAATAATTACATTTAATTTAATAAACATTTTTCTACGTAGTCATAGATATTAGTCTTATTATATCAGTGTACGTAGTCGACAATACGGTAAACATCGGTGTCTCATAAAAAGAAATAAAATAAAAATAGTCTATGGTTTTTGCGACTTCCCTTCGCAGCTGAAAAAGGAAATGTCATCAACGTCAATGAAATGAATGTATTTTTTTTTAATGTCATCAGTTGTCATTTTCGAATGAGCGAGTGTGGTTTTGTGCGTGTTTTAAAATAGTAATTACGCTGTATAAATAAAAAAATACGCGTGATATAGAGCAAAATAACGTTATTTCGTCACAAAAATTCTGAAATATAAAGTGTGATGTCGTAGAAGAATGAATTTAATTTATATTGCTTTCAAATAACAAAACATAATTTTCAACGTTCGTCATGGCTCGCTTCCTGTCGGAAGATAAATTAAAAGGTTTCGAAAAATACAAAGTAAGTCTTCCTTCTTTTCCCAAACTTATAAGTAAATGATTTTGATGTGATATTTTTCCTAAATAAATCTGTATTTCAGCTTCTAAAAATAAATCAAGTGTCAATCTTACTCAGAATCAATTTTCGTGAATTATAAAAAAAATCGCCTTTTGTTTCAGTATAACTCTGTGGATACTAGTGTCCTCAGTAACTATGTTATGCACCCATTTTGGAACTGGTGTGTCCAGGTAAAGTTCCAGTCAGAAATTTATCATAATTATATTTGTCCAAATATTATTATCTTTTTATTCAAATTCAAATCTATTTCGTGGATCTACAAAATTCCTACTACATATTCAAGTTAACTCGTCGAGTACCGGTTTTATAGACACAATTAAAGAACAATAGGTCGCGGTCACCGGTGACCGCTTGGTGTTTGACAGATTAAATTAAATTTTAAGTCTATAGAACTAAATAGACAGTAATTAAGTTACAAATAAAGCATAAATCTATTTATCATATTTTAACAATATTTTCTTATATTTTTTGTCCTTCACATAAAACTGTAGCATAATTAAGCCAACTTCCACCATTTTAATTACCTTTAGAATGACTTAATTTTTTAAGTGAAATTGAATAATATTTAATATTAATATTCCTTGCAGTTCTGTCCAGTATGGGTGGCTCCGAATCTGCTGACATTCACTGGTTTTCTGCTGACAGTGCTGAACTTCTTTGTTTTCTCATACTATGACTATGGTTTCTATGCTATGACAGCTGAGAATGTCACCAAAGATCACATACCTTCGTGGGTATGGGGAGTCTCCGCTGTCAACCTCTTTGTGGCTTATACTCTGGGTGAGTCTTATTTTTTATACTAACTAGTTTCTTTTCACATATGAAAAGTAGCATGTGTTATTTCAGGCTATAATTTATCTCTGTGCCAAATATTGTTCAGATCCATTCAGCTTTTGTTTGAAAAAATTACCAACATACATCCATCTTGTACTTCATCGAGTAGTTTTTGTTTCAAAGAATATACATCCATAAAACCTCACAAACTTTGAATTTGTGATTAAAATGTATGTTCAAGTTCGAAAGTAAATAGAAGATGTTCTCTAATTATTATTGTCATGCTCTAAAATCAAGGAATTCTTTAGTCAAGTTCTGTTTGTTCAAGGGCTTCAAATCATCTTTTATACCTAAAGAAATTTTACATAGTTACTTGTCATAGAATGATAAATTGATTTTGTGTTTCTTTTCATTGCTTTGTGTTGCTATAAAATAGACTAAAATGTTAATTTGTTAGTTATTTCCATAAACATAAAACATTTGAAAATAATAAAAAAATCTATCTAAAAGTTTATTCAGTAGATGTAACAAATTATAATATAGTGTTTTTTATTAATTAATATAAATTGCAGCGCCCTTACAGGGTCATGTTGATACTGCTTAACCAAAATAATATGTATTATGTATAACACCTTGGTAACCACACATGAAGCAATAAAGACTTTGAATTTGAATTTGAAATCAATAAAAACAATTTATGGTTACTAATTAATAATTTTAATTATAGGTAATATTGGCTATGGAAATTGTAATCATTGCATTAAAATTATAATAATTGCTGCATAAAATTTGATAGCTATTTTACAGGGAAAAGAAGAGTAGGTACATGAACACTATATTATTTTTAGTGTTAATGGACCCAACTCTTGTCTGGAAATAGTCACAAGCCTAATTTCGCGCAGGATAATTAAAGCACACATTAACACAAGTTTACAACAATAACCAGTTTACAAATGTGTATTGTGTAATGAGATTATGAAGCCATTATTCAGGGTTACCTTAGTTACTAACTTGACCTTTAAATGTAATTAAAAATGTAAGACTATGACATGTACTAAAATACTTGGGTATTTTTACACAAGATATTATGCATAAATTATCAAAATATGTTGTCATAGCAACTTATTCGAAGCTGTGATTTTTTCCTTCATTCTGAAAATAAAAATAGTGATTTGTTTGAATGTATATTATAGATGCCCAAATGACTAGTAGGTAGTTTAAGTAGCACCTAGTAGTAAAATTTCCCCTTGGCACTCTTTATACGCCTGACATAGACTTTATGGCGACTGCGTGCATTTTGTGTATTTTAATAGACATAATATATACTTAGGATTTTTATACAGTATACTGATGCTGAATTCACGCATTATAATTGGAATGATGAGAGGGTATGAAAATTAAAAATATAATTAGTCCGTAAGTTAGGTAATGAAAAAATATTAGACACGTATTTTGTTATTTTGTCGTATAATAATAAAATAATAAAACAATACTTAGATAAAACGAATCAAAATTTAGGAGTGGGGCTAAAACGTTATTTCTACGTATAAAATGTACTTCGTCAAAGGAATTGGTTTCTGTAATAAAATAAAAAATACGTGTCTAATGATATAAATTAATCTACTAGACGGACATTAAAATAAAAATTAGGCATCTACCCTATTATTATAACGTTAAGGTTCAATAGATAAGTATACTACCTAGTTACCGGGATTATATGACTGGAGCACCATTCACTTGGTTATGACATCTCAAATATGCCGCCGCTTGTAGACATACCCATGTGTTTAGCAAATTGCCAGTGAAGAGATTTGTCGCTTCAAATAAAGGCGAACGATATTCCCATTTTGTCTTCAACATAGTTTGCTATGGTTCTTGCAATTTGGCGAAGCTGACGTAGCTAGTTATAATGGAACCCTAAATTGAAACTTTTACGACGTTGAGACTAGTCTAATATTTTGGAACTCACTAACAGCAACTGCGCCTACCCACTGTATAGATTTTTTAAAATTTAATACACTACTCTCCGGTTTATTCTGAATTATTGTTGACGTCACTCTGCAGTGTAATGTATGTGGCGCCGAACTGCATGACGTGGTAGGCGCTAAATATACCGGAATCCGTTTAAAATTAGCGGTTTTATTGTTGTGATTCAGGTGCCCGTTTGTTGCGTACTCGCGCTTAAGTAAATTTTGTCCAGCGTACGACACTCGTAGTTAGCTGAAACTGGTTGTAAGAGCCCCTGAGTTATGAAATAAAACCTGTGATGAACATAAAACCACCTAACTCAGCTTTACATAAATATTATCAAATATTAGGTAAACTTGGGAAGGAAACCATGACTTAGGAACTTAGGAAACCATGACTTAGGAACTTAGGGAGCCATGACTGGCATTAAAGTAATTAAATAAATAAATAGAAGACGACAGTCATTCTAGGTACTCGTACTGTCATTTGGTTATTCGTACAAAGTGAAAAGAAAGAAGACTAAAAAGGGTCTGTTGCTGTTAAAATGTAAAAAGTTTTTTTTTTCAAAAAGAAGTCAGTTGGAACGGTTTCCCTGTTAAACACGTGTTATGATTATATCTAACTTATTACAATTTTTCTATATTCTAATCGTTATTTCAATCAAAGTACGTTTTAGTAATGATTACGCTATAATCATAAACAAATAACGATAGCAGCAGCCAATTAGTAACAAAATACGCTCGCAACATTGTCATAATTTTTATCAATATTAGGAATTTACTTACTCGTACGTATGTGATATCTATGTACTTGGTGAACTGCGTGCTATGTCATACATGCGATAATACGCGTGTATTAGGAATATTACACTAAAATAGACATTTTCGTATCTTAAAACAAGAGTCGTGAACCTTTTGACAATATACTGTTATAGGTAGGTACCTATTATATGTAAGTATGTAAGTACTTACGTATCTATATTTGTGTATGTTTATTGAGTAATATTATTCGCATCCACTCGTGTATGAAGTGGGGACATACTGATTAATTTATTCTGTTTTGGTCATTATTCATTAAACTGTATTTAAACTTGCCAATTATGACGCATACGCATGTGTCTCGTTTACGTAGTGATTAAATAAGTTTGTTGAATAACCCGCCTAATCCTAATGGGTCATTCTTTATTTAGGTAATGTATTTTGCTTTAAAAATATAGTAGACCTAAGACGCTGGATATGATGTCTTGTAGTAACTCAACAAGCAAACTGACTAAGAGGGTTTGATCATACTTTTTCGTAATTCTATTTGCATCTATTCTTTCAATATTAAGAAACTCCATATCATTCCTTTTTTAATTCTTGTGCATTAAGAGCTCACCTGTATCGTCATACCTTTTTTCAGTTCGCTTCTCTTAATCCAGACGGTTTTTGCATTCTGCTCACTAACGATATTTAAACGGGATGAATATGTTGCTTTCGGTACCTACTACCACTACTAATAATTGTAAAAATGCCGACCGAGAAAACAATAGGCTTTATTTTATATTATTTTGTATGTGTGACAATATTATATCAATCTGGCAGATTACCGTCGCATTCCAAATTACCATGAAAGTATAAAATTATATAAAGTGTTAAGAAACAAAATCAAATCAATAAAGAAACAAATTCAACGCTAGCAAAACGCGGCCTCGCGTGTGTATTCTCTGCCAAACGGAGTCAATTTCCACTGACTCCTCCGGAATGTATCCGTTCCGTTAACTGAATATATTGAGCTTCTTGGCGTAACTCTGACGCCCACACTCAACTTTGGCTCCTATATAGAATCGAAAGCGCAACTGCCTTATAGGATATTGGGTATCCTATGGAGGGTGAGACCACCCTGAGGACACGGTGGAACACACTGTTGCGGTATGCCCTGCGTGGGCTGAGCACCGCCGTGCCCTCAGGGAAGTGATCGGCGATGGAGACCTCTCGCGTCCGGGCCTAGTGCAGGCCATGATGCGGAGCGAGGGGGACTGGGATGCCGTCTCCTCCTTTTGCGAAGCAGTCATGTTGGCTAAGGAGGATGCGGGACGCGTGAGGCAGCGAAGCGCTGCCTCCTCGCAACCCAGCCGTCGCGAAGGACACACCGGGCGTCGGGGATCGCGGGACGATCTCCGGCCACCGTAAGCGCGGGCCTGCGGACGGCGAGCATGGGTGGCTCCCCGTCCGACCAGAAACAGACCCGAGCGTACGGCGCGTCGCGTTCCGCGCGCGCCTCAAAGAGCCATCAGACCACCACAGATGGGGCCCAATAGGGCCGATGCCGATTCGGAGTTGCGGAGAACCTAACGGCTCGACGAACGTCGAACCTAACGGTAACCGGGGCTCCGGCGCGACGTGCAGGAGAAGGAACGGGGTGGTTTTTAGTCAGTAAGAGTCTGACACTCCCTTCCGCCTCACCCAGGCGGGAGCAGTCATTCGATGATTTTCCCCCCTTAAAAAAAAAAAAAAATGGAGGGTGAGACGGTACTTCACGCCGGAACAATTGCTGAGCCTGTACCAAGCACAGGTTTGGTCCTGTATAGAGTACTTACTGATCTCATCTTTGGGACGGCTCGGGTAAATGCCAGCTGGACGTGTTGGAACACATCGAGGAGTGTGCCAAGAGGCTCATCAACGATGATGCGCTTATAGAGGCCCGGCTTCGAAGCCTCGAACACAGTCGTAAGGTTGCAACCCTTTCTGTTTTTTACCGGATACATTTCGGTGAGTGTGCCGAGAGTTGTACAACTTGATTCCCCTTAGTCTTGATTTTACCACATCATCGTATCACAAGACAATCGGCAAAGCGTCACGGATTCATGGTAGATATCCCACTCACACGTCACACGCACGAAGCACTTTGCATCAAGCTTCCTTGTATGTACTGCTAAGGAGTGGAATTCTTTGTCTGAGTCTGTGTTTCCTGAAGGGTATAACCTGGTTGTCTTCAAGGCTCAGGCCTTGAGTGAAAAAGTTGCTTATGGATAGATGTGCTTCATTATAGGCCGTATCATCGCTTACCACCAGGCAAGATAGAGAGTTAGATACCACCGCCCAAAAAATTAAAAAAAAAGAAATCAAAAATGTAGTAACGTGCGACTGAATACTGTGATGGTGGCCGCCTCGATCTCATTCGCGCACTCTTATTGTTGCCCTTTCTTATCTAATGTTAAATTTAATGTGTCATGTGATAGTAGACGTTTCATCACATCCTTGTTTCTTATAAATCAAACGCACTATCTGTGCATTTATTGGTCTGTTTTATTAATAGAGAAGAGAAACAAATATTTAAATATTCATATACTCTGTCGTATGATCGATAGATTCATAGAAGTTTGTTATTATCTACTTAAATAAACACTTAATAGCAAAGTTCAATGTTTGTGTGAACGTTTGTTTACTAACATAACATTTTATCAATACTAAAAGGCTAGATCGTAGAACCTAATAATATAATCGAATTTTGAAGCTACAATTCATTTTTACAATATTATTTGTTATAATTTTCTGAGATGGTTTTTTGGTTCGTATAGGCACAAACAGACCATTATTATGACATTTTAAGTCCTTGCTAGTCTCACCTCAAACCACACTGACCCGCGGTACCAAGATCACAAAATTCTAGGTGCCAATTTTGTCATTACTTGACAATTCGAAAATCTGGTAACTCATGTTAATAATGGTAGAAGTAGATTCTTGATTCAACGTTATGCAGTAGGTAAAGATACCATGCATAAGCAAAAGAGTCCGTCAGCCTAGTATCACTGAGTAAAATACAGAACTAGAGAAACGGATCCATGCTTTACGTATAATAATGTAGTACTAACCTAATCGTATTAGAATTAATTTATTTCCACAAATTAATACTTAACGGATGACATAAAAGGAAAAATGTAAATCCGGTAAATATCTGGAAGGTGACCTTCACAAACCGGTTGCAGGTAACATTATCGTTACACCAGTTAAAACTCGCGACGGTGAAATAAATCGCGAAACCATTGTTTATGAGGTAAGGCTGTACCAAAGCGCGTACAAGTCGCGTGTAATGTTTCTTTATGTTTGATTCTATTCGGAGCATAACGCGATCTTCATTCTATCCAGTTAATCCTCAATGAAAGTGGCGCGATGAGTTCAATAGTACAAAAGACTTATCTACAGTGGGCGTGCTGAACACGTGTTTCTACAATCCGAGCCTCGCAAGGCAGATCGCCGGCATTGCTCCACAATCAAACGGACGTGTCACATTAGCCGTGCAATTTTTAAACCATTGACCTTGCTTCAAGAAAAATGTATTTAAAATCATTGAACACGCAAATGATGTATGCTAATTGACTGTTTTGATATTCTTAATCAATTTTTCGCATATTTGTGTATCAAAATAAAGATTCTTTAATTTACTTCCTATTTAGGATTTACATAATTATACATATATCATTAATCTACTACACGATGTCTATATCCTTATATCCCACCAAAATAAAAATAAAATAAAAATACATTATGTTGTATTAGTAGATATAATAATAGGTGTATGGACACACCTGTTCTAGCTATTGCCAAATGATACTCAGTGAAACTGTATGAAATGTTACAGATGGTATCGACGGCAAACAGGCTCGGCGCACTGGTACCAGTGGTCCATTAGGAGAGCTGTTCGACCATGGACTGGACTCGTACTCCGCTGTGCTCATCCCTACCTTCCTCTACAGCATATTTGGCAGGTATACCACTCAGATTTTTATTTTACCTAAACATGCAATTGGGAGATTGCTTATATTTGGTTATTAGAAATACCCCGCTTCTAATCTCGGAATGGCACTATACCCTTTCGTTGTTATCTAATGAAAATAAGATACGCTAAATATGGACTTAAGTTATTATGGCTAAACGGTAAACATATCAGCTGCTCTCGATAGATATTTATTCAACTTCCAAAAATAGTAAAAGGTTTATCATAATACATAAACGTGACCCCTACCGTACATATACCGGTTAATTCGTGTAATTAATTGTTCGGAAAAATACTTAATGAGTTTTATCGGCAAACTTACCTACATGAAACATGAACAGAAATATAAAAATCTGGAGAATATTTTTGTGACCAGTAATGACGAAAAAAACGTGGCGATAAGGCGAGATTTAGCTAGAAATCTACTAATTAGGTGATTAGGTCCAATGACGCATGTTACGGATACACGCGATTGATGAATTACTTTAATTATAAGTTGTGAGACCTTTATATTTCTTCTCGAAACGTTTCAAACATGTAAGCAGAATCTGTATAATAATAGAAAACAATCATGCTATTTACTTGAAATCTTGCTACCAAATCTGAATTCATACAAGATAATAACTTACCATTGCCAACAGCAACAAATTGAGTAAAAATTGCTGTGTTTAAGTATTATGTGTCCTTGACCGTTGACTTTTTTATACGTAATCGCAATTTACTAAGTATATACCTAGTATAGTTTGTACTACGGAAGAAACGTTATAGACGCGACATAATTTTGTAATGTTATTTGCGCTTACCATTTTAAATCCGCGCGTGCGGGTTAAATAAGTAATCAAATTTAAAATGGATAAAGGATGAAGTAAATATTTGAATATATACTACCTATGGGCCTCCGTATTTACATGTTTCGTTATTTTTTTCTGTTTAGCACCTTGGCTTAAGTTGCGGCGGATTTATGATAAATCCGAATAAGTACTGAATAAAAGTCCAAAATATTTTGACGTACCTAATAAAGTTGTCTATGCCATAGCAACTAATTCCCTAGAGGCCTTGCCTTGGGGCCTAAGTTCTTAGATGTAGATATGTCTTTTAGTTTAAATTTTGAAGTAATATTAATTAACCTAGTAGAAATTACTGAAATAAATCTAATAAGTTCTATTTTTATACTTGAGTAATAGCAAATGACACACCATTGTCCATTTGTTAGCTATTACAAAAGGGCGGATCACTAGTAGTTTTTTTTTGCTGATAAGATATCGAGTAAAGGGCAGAGCTGTCAGATAGAATATCCGGCACTTAGATAATGAACTATCTCAGCGAGGCAAATTGATTTACTTTTTTTTAACACACTCAGATTATGTAGAAAGCTGTGGCTATTTAAAAAGGGTGAACATTGATTATTATAATGATAAGTGTTTGGATTTAATCATTCACGGAGGGTGATTTTTCGTACGAAATTGTAAATATGGCTTTTCAAATGTAGTAAATATGGTGAGAATTTATAGCTCACCTTTGCCTCGGAGTTTAATAGGCGTTATATGTTATAGTTTCCGCTACCTTGGTAGTATGTACTTGTATCCTGTTTGTTATCAAAAATCAGGTGATTTTCAAATAAGTAGTGTCTTACGTACGTGTATCAAGATAAGTGAAGCGATAGAAGACTTACAGAATGATTAAACCCTAATCATTGTGAAGCAGACAACATGGTACCAAGTCACGCGTTAGATACTTTTTTGTGATAAGTTATAAAAAAATAATTATGCTGACTATGATGACTGGCGTTTGTTATATTTCATGGTTTTCTGTAAGTACCTACATAAGATTACGCCTTTTATCCCTGATGATGTAGGTAGAGGTGCACATTACGGCACTTAATGCCATTGTATAATGTAACACCCACTTTTCAGTATTTATGTTATTAGTCCTATGTAGAGGGAGCTTATTGCCATCTACCGGGCACAATTCCGGGCACCGTGCTACTACTGAAAATTGTTTAAAAAAATCCGTAATACTTTGAGAACCCGAGACCCCTTGCCCAGCAGTCGCACCTGCGACCGCTCGGCCAACGAGGCAAAGTACACTGTAATTTGAATTCGTACAAAAAAATGTCGTAAGTTCTTTTTTGATCTTCAATCAATATTATACAATTTAGTAGGTACGTACATATTTTACTCGATTGATTTCACTATAATATTAGTTTATTTTATATTCTATATACACGGATTATTTTGAAAGTGGTAGTAATGGCCTATTCCGCATGACCTAAGTCCTCTTAAAATATAGATATTGTTAAAATACTTAAATAGGAATTTTCTCTTGTCATGTACAGCTTATATTTTCTTAATCTGTTGTTAATTATAAGGATTTGAGTTAAAATAACTACATAAATAAAAATAATGTGCTGTGGAACTAAACTATTTGTAATTAGGCTGTACCTATGTAATGAGAAAAAAAATATAAAGTTGATTGTTTGTAATGACGAATCAAAATTACTTTAAAATTATTCACGAAATCTTATTTAATTATTATGAAATATTAATACACTTTGCACTAGACGACTAAATCTGTTGTATCATCATTGTAGTTTCTGATTCATTTTTATCGATAGGTAACGTTTAAATCATACGATTCATTAATGTTTCCTTGTATGATGTGATTGCATAAAATAAGTATGTATGTAGTATGTGCATGCATTGCGGCATTTTGTATATCATACAGCAGAGAGAATACTTCTCAATTTGCTATGAAGGTATATTGTATTTGTATTACACTTCTGTAGTTAACTTGTTAGGGAAAATTAATAATATAAATTAATTAGGTTAAGAAATGAAAATCTCTTCGTCCTAATGTTTTTCTTAATCTCAATTAAATTTTGAAGACTTTTTTGTAACTCATGTATTTATTACCTTTCAGGGATGAAGTGAGCACGCTACGGTTCCTGTTTCTGATATGGAACATATTCTTCAACTTCTATCTGACACACTGGGAGAAGTACAACACTGGAGTCATGTTCCTGCCCTGGGGATATGACTTCACAATGATTGTGAGTCAACCTTAACTTATAAAAACTGCGTTACTGTAGGGAAATTTAAATAAATATAGAAACAGATAGAAAGATAATGTAAGACAAAGGCAAAAGAGAAGTTAATCCTTCAGGATCCCATTTCCGACAAAGTTATGCGACTAGCTTCTGCAACTTTTTTCGGAACTTTAGCAGGCCTTCTCCTACAATGCCGAATAGGAAAAAAGTGTTGAAAAGTGAAAATTGTCACATTAACTAATTTGTTCCGTTTCGTCCACGATTTATGAGATATTCACCACCACAAATTAGGTTTGGGTTAACTTAAATGGCCCACTTTGTAACACAACTGACAAATGGATAATTTTGTTAGGCTATCTAAAACTTAACAGAGTTGGTGAAAACAGGTCGAAAAGCTAACAAAAATTGCAAGTATTTTTACGAATACTGTTTGCTGCCTCCAGGGTTCTTGTATCCTCTTGCTGGTGACGTCAGTATTCGGTCCCGAAGCGTGGCACATTCCCCTGCCAGGCAACATCACGCCCGGCGTCATCTTCGAGTTCGTGCTGTACTTCTCCGCGATGCTCACCAGCCAGACTGTCATATTATGGAATATTTACAAGTAAGTTTTGTTACTTTAGTATTACTAAAGCTTATGAAATTAAAGCATATATCTGCATAACTAATTACTTAGTTAATGTTATTGTTATTTGAAGCGTAACTAAGCAATGCCAAACAATAGCAATCATTGGTAGGTGCAAACATTTTGGAAATGCTACTAAAAGAATGGATGCAAGTAATGGCTCTATCTCCGAGACGATAAAAAATAAAAGTATTCAATCAATGAAGTTACGTTCATACTTCGATGACTCGATTTGTGCTGGATATCGTCAAATTGTTATGAATGCCGACCATAATATACTATCAGTTTTCATTTTTGAAGGCCGTGGACTGGCTGGATGCGCAGTCATAGTTTGCGCATGGCTGATTTAGTAGACTTATAATTGGTCATTTACTTATTTTTACTCCACATTTTCAGATCGTATCGTGACAAAACAGGCAAGATGCGTTCATTCAGTGAGGCGGTGCGACCTCTGGTGCCCCTGTTCATATTCTTCGCATTAAGTTCTGTCTGGGCCATCTACTCGCCAACTGACATCATCAACAGAGCTCCTAGAATCTTCTACATACTAACCGGAACCATATTCTCTAACATTAATGTAAGTTTTATGTGTTAATTCTGAAAAAAAAAAGATGTCTCATAAAATCGCAGATTTCGTCGATGTGCAACCATTCCATACAAGATAGTCTGAAAGAGAAATAAAAATACAAGAAATTTAAATACAATAGAGAGCCAGAGCTAGTTTATTAGGTACACGTTAAGTACTTAATGTAATTGCAATTTTATAGTATGCATGCATTGCACCTAAAGGCTAAGGTTAAGGTTTAGTTCAAGGAAAATCACCTGTTAACTATAGTTACGGAATTAAAATATTGTCAAATGTCCTTGTCTCTAGTTACTAGCAGGATAAAGAAGTATATTCGTGTTTTTATTTCCAGTGTCGGCTAATAGTGTCACAAATGAGCGATACTCGGTGCGAGGCGTTCAACGGTTTGCTGATTCCGTACGCGCTGGTGATGTGCACGGTTTTCTTTTTCCCCGTTTCTGCTATCACTGAGCTCTTGCTACTGGCCGGTCTATGCGTCGCCAGCTCCATTGCTCATATCTATTATGGCACTAAAGTGGTAAGTTTTAGATCTATTTTCTTTGTTTCCTTAGATTTTTATTACCTTTTTGGTGTCTTTGCCGATAACTCTCTCTGATTCAAATCGAATATTCATTGGTGTCATTATGGCCTATATACATAAATAAGGATATTTATTATACATATAAAAATCGTTCCTAAGTGGCGTTTTACTTTTTGACTGCCTTCTTAGAACCAAAAAGTTAGCCTACTACTAGTATCTACTTTTTTAATGTATGTACCTATATATTACCTCTTTGAAATAAGTATTAATATTGTTTTTGTGTTTTCCAGGTACAAGAAATGTGTGATCATTTCAAAATTGAATGTTTCCATATCAAGCCAAAGATAAAGTAATTATATTTTTAAATAATTTTTTGAATGTCGGGAATTATAGAAAATATAAAATTTTGTATGGAAGTAAGTACCCAATACTCTTGTATGTGGTAGTTAGTATTCAGAAAATGAAATAAAGGTATGCGATCATCCATTATTGTGCATTTATAATGTTCCAATGTTATTTAGGTATGTAAGCCAATTATTGCCAGTTAAAATGTTTATTTATTTGAGTTTCATAATTTATTTTATTCCCTATTTCTAAGCCAAATCGTATTGGACATTATAAGAATCGCCCAAATATTTACGTTTATTTTCTTATCGCGTTGTTATGCAATGAACGTGTACCTTTATAATTATAATTGTTACGTAGCATCGCAGCTCTTTACCATAGCGCGATAATCTAGGCCCTAAATAAGTGTAAACATTTGATTTTTAAAATCAGATTTGTCATTAGATGCAAGCTTTTACCATACTGTTAATGTTAATTTATCTGATACTATTTTCTGAGTGATATTCCAAATATATTATTATTAGTTCTATATACTGAGGACCAATACAAAATTAACTGATTTTAACGAATTGATCGTTATGAATTGTATTGTCTTTCTCTCATTTTTTAAGTCTGTAAATATAACTTTAACTTTAGTCCAGGGTAAACATTAATATTGTGTTACTGATTGTAATTACATTGAACGGGCATTTATTGAATTGTAAGACCTTTTGTCCTCATAGCAAGTAAGGCTAAAATTGAAACGTTACTAGTAACGCTAGTCATGTTTATTAGATAATAAATGAATTGTTACTCATGCCATATAATATGTCATACAATAGATGTGTAATTTCATGCCAAATGTTTCCATTTAGGTTTAAATTTAGTCAATTTTATCAAATTATATACTTTCTAAGTAGTAGGTGTCTATTGTACATGTATTTTTATATTGTTAGATACACTTGAAGATGATCTGAAATCCAAATCTCAGGTTGTTATACGCGTTCCTCCTTTATATAAATGTTTTAGTTTTATTTGTGGGTCAAGGTATGAGTATATTCCAATTTGTTGTGATGGATTAGCATGTTTAGTTTTTTTCTCGCTAGTTGATACTAGATAATTTTTGTAAGTGTCTATCATTCAGTACGCGTTTGTACCATGATTCATGATTTTAGGGCAAAAACAGTTCACTTGTCTGAGGTGCTTGTATAAAACTGCACAAAATAGCAGTTGTAGTTTATCATCCATCTAGAATGATGATAAGACTATCGATAGACAAGCCTCGCTGCCCCAGTGATTTCAACAGAAATTGAAGTCATCCGATTTCACCACCGCTGGTTCACCAGGAGTCCATTGTAAGCACCTCAGAAATATTCACTAGGTGTACAGAAGACAAGACCTGTTTTCTGTAGTCTAATGTCAGATAAATATTCAAACAATGCACAGGAGTAATTTTAATGCATTGTTTTTTATTGTCATAGAATTTAATTTCATATTTTTATACCTTGCAATAAATAGTTTATTTTGTAAGAATTAATTACAGAATAATATGTTTGTTTTTGCTCTTAAGTATCAGTGGTATTTTGTGAGGGTTGCTCAATATTGTACCTGTTTATTTTTATAGTTTTATGATGAACACCTAAAGGTTTTAAACCAAAAGGTAGGAACTGTAAAGCGACTCTGCCTCATCTACATTTCAAGTCTTGTATTGTCAATAAAGGACTTTTAATATGAAATTGCTTTTTATTTCAAGTGTTTTACCTACCAAAAGGTATAAATGAATGAAAACATTGAAATCAGTTGAGTACTTATTTTGGGTCAAACTACTGATGAAAGGCAAAAATAAAATAGGTAAGAAGTACTATATCATAACTAGTTTCTATTACCTATTCAGACTTTCTTACATTTGCAAAAGTAACCAGCAACTGGTTAATGAAATTGAATCTTATTTATTTATAGTCACATTTAAAGTTAATTATTTTGAGCAAATCCTTAAATCTAATTAGTCTTTCATTTATCACATGTCCACAAGCAGTGTCATGCAGTTTGAGCACTTAGCGTTACATGTGGATGCAATCAAGATAGTAACTTCTACTCTGATAAATTATTATCAAGTTTGATATAATACTATCTAACTACAAAATTATGTCAATGTAAGCCAGTACTACTTTCATCTACCTAATTACAATAAACTAAAGTCACGCCAAAATAACATTCACAACCGGGTGACCCATTCTAAAGTGGCCTCTAATATAATGCATAAATAAAAACAAGCAATATTAAGATAACTCACATTTATTACACAGAATAAAGAACAACAACAACATGTATTTTGCTCTCAGCATAAGGAACCAAGCGTTTCATTTATTTCGTCACCAAGTGACAACAACTTTTTCCATTGTTCAGGGGTCATACTAATCCCTTTCTTCCCTGGTAACAGATCACCATTCTTTTCATAAAATTCTCTTATGTCTACATATACCTTGCCTTTGAATTCTCTGACCTTAACCAACTTCTTCCCTTGCAATACCCATGTTGGCTCTTTGTCAGCTGTCCTGTTACCCATTTTGGCTTTCTTTTCTGCTGGAGGGTTTCTCTGCAAAAATCAATAAGGAATATAAACAACACAGATAGGTAAGGTTAAGTACTTAGTTTAGTTTTAAATACAATTATTTTTTAACATAATTAAACAGTCAGTAAAAAAAAGTGTTAGAAAGAAATTCTTGCAAAATTTCTTATCAGGTTGGTATGTATCTGTGTAATTATTTATTAAAATCTAACTTCATGAAACTCAATCAATTTTATCAATTGATAAAAGTATTTGAAAATAGAACAGGTACCTACACTATGTAAGTTTTATGCCGCCTTTTTTGCATAAAAGCGAGACATTTGCACGTACACGTGTATTTGAAAAATACATTTATCATCACATACTGTCCATGTGTAGATTTACAAATTAATCCTAGTAAAAGTATCTTCTAAAATACAACAAGATTGTAATTAAAACTTACGTCGACTGGTCCATCATCGCTATCCGAGCTGCTGGAACTCTCCTGCTTCTTGTGTTTGGGCATTTTACACACAATTCGGCTTATCTAAAATAACATATATTTAGAAAGTAATAACTTTTTATCTTATTAGGACAAATTAAATATACATTTTCATAAAACTTCAACAAACTTATTTTTAGTGTATTATTTTTTCCACAACACTACACCAGCAAATACAAGTAGATATACGTACGTACTTCTATAATTTTATTTTCCTTTTGCTTTGCTGTTCGAGTTCGATTCGATAGGGATTTGTTCGATAGATAAGCTATACCTATTATAGTTACTTTACTCTTTCGCAAAGCTATTCGCCGTTTTTGCAAACATTCGTTCGTTACACTCACTCGTTCACTGTCGTTCACTTCAGCAGTTCAGACAGTTCACTCCATTTCACTCACAGAATACAAATACTATTTTTTTTTTAAGTCGGTGCGGTGGTACATCCATACTATTAATGCGGCGGCCCTCCGCTAGGAGTATTTATATTCTATGGTAGGGGTACGGTCAGTCAGTACTAGTCTTATCATATCAGTGGTCAGTACTCGTTATTAGTCATTAGCCACCGTCGTTATTAGCCATCGTTATTCGTCGTTATTAGCCACCCACCCACTCGACACTGGCAGTATAGTCGACAACACCATTTTGGAGACTCGGTTGCCAAAGAAGAAGAAAAAAAAAATTAGTACCATTCAAAGAGTATAATAAGTATAGGGGTAAAGAGTTACCACTCGTCAAAATTTATGCCAATCAATTTGAAACGCCATCTGAAAATTGAATCCTAGTATATTTTTTTTTTTACTAATGTCTACAGATAATCCTAAGTATAGTTAATGCCAATACTACCAACAATGCACCTTGCAGGTTGGTACATTGAAGGTAGTATTGGAATTAGCTATGTCTGGTAGCTGCAAAATCAAAGAAGTTATTAATTACAATATTACATTTATTTTACAGTAAATACAAATTAAAATTTAAAAATTATCAGCTAGTAGGGAAATATCAGACGACAGATTTGTTCAAAGTATAATTCAAAATTTTAGTTCTTTTTAATTTTATGTTTACAAATTTCAGATATAAATATGTCGTTCAAAATTTATTTGAATTAGTTATTTTTTTAATTATTGATCCCACAAAGACCTAAAATTAAAAATATTTACTGTTCACCGTTGTTTACACAGTACCTAACAGAAGTTAACAATCTAATGATATAAATTAACCGTAATACCTACACAAATGTAGTACATTTTACCATCGATTTGAATCGCTTACAGTATTTACAAAAACACAAAATTATTATACAATTTACATAACATAACATACATAACATCACGCCTTTTTATCCCCGAAGGGGTAGGCAGAGGTGCACATTTCGGCACTCAATGCCACTGTACAATGTAACACCCACTTTTCACTATTTATGTTATAAGTCCCATGTAATAGGGGGTGAGCCTATTGCCATATACCGGGCACATTTCCAGACTACTCTACTACTACTGAGATTTTTTTAAAACCCAGTAATACTTTGCCCGACCCGGGTATCGAACCCGAGACCCCTTGCCCGGCAGTCGCACTTATTATTATAATGTCGAAAAATATAGTGCTTAAAAATAAGTCTCAGTCTGCCTCTCAGTCAGTCTCAGTTTTTTAGTACTTTTTTTTGCTAGTTGCTAATAATGCCTGACTTGTCGTTTCCTATATCTAGTTATATTACAGTCATTTTTACTAAACAACTACAGATTTTTCCTATCCTCAAATATAATATTTTTATAACATTATAATGAAACAAAGTAATATTATTATTATAAATACAAATGAAAATGAAACAGGCAAAATAATGTGGGAAATCCCAATTCAGGCAGACTTCACAGTTGCCCACAACAGACCGGACATAATATACACAAACAAAACATCCAACACCACATACCTCTTTGACATAACTGTACCATGTAACTACAACATAGGAGCAATAGAAATTCAGTAAATACCACTTTTTAAAGACACAACTCAAGGCTAGACGCCTTGAAATATTGAAACGCATGTTAATTTTATAGTAATTGGAGCCACAGGAGTAGGTACTAGCCAAAAGCCTCAGCAGATACACAGACAAACTAGTAACATAAATAGACATTAGCCACCATTCACACAATAATCATTCTTAGCAAAGTACTAGGAGACACAGTTTTCGTCACATACATTCCAGATTCCGATCAATTACAACCATCTCAAGCGCAAACACCACATACCACTCAGTCAACCATCACATGTAGCTCACAATCCACATCTGGCACACAAACTACATCCAGTTAGTAGTCAAGTAGTCAGCAGAAGAGAAAGAAGGAGATTTATAAGTCAAATTTAGAAGGGGCTATGAGCATCGTGTTTCCTGCTGGTTGCGGGAAGCGGTGCCCATTTTCACCAGGTCAAGCCCAAGAAGGAGAGACCTCTACATATATGAATACAAATAAGTAAAACCTAGGATAATGCTGCCAGTCTTTTGGGCACCCTACTCCACGATAGCGATGAAAAAGAATTTTTTGATGCCCTAAGGTAACTTTTTTTTAAGGTGTGAATATGTACCTATTTTAGTTTATTTATAATTTAATATTACTTTGTTGTGCGTAGGTACTTAAAATGTTGTTCTAATTATGATATATACATTAATACAAAGATAAAAATAGTTTTACAAAAATAATACGGCTTTAATATTTGCAGCGATCTATGGGTTTCTTGTTTCTTGAGACAACAATATACGTCTGAATGTTAGAATAAGTCCAAATAGTACCTGAAAAAAAAAAACAAAGATTATTTTTACATGCAGAAATATGTATTTTATTTATTTGTTTTCTTTTATTTATCTAAGGTAGGTGTACCTTACGTGATATTACTGATGTTACAAGAATAATAAAGTATTTACCATCTCTAAAATAGGTTTCAAGCACTGCTGGTACCTATAGATCGGCACTTTATCCGGACATCGTAAGACTCGTAACTGCCGATAAAAAATTGCACTATTGATATTCTGCAATGATGATGCTGAAGTAATATCGATGCAATAGCAATTCCAAATATCACTGTAACAAATATACAAAAGAAAAAGTAGAAATTTATAAAAACTACACAGGTTCAATAGCAAAAATCATAAACTTGTTGTAGGTTTTACCTTCAGCAACATGATTGTATTCTTCGTATTAATGTTCTTTATTATTATAAATAAGATATATACGCAAATTAAAGCGTTTCTTTGTAAAATCAAGTCCAATGAATAGACAAACAAACACAATGTACTTTTATGATTTGTGATACACATGTATACAAAAGGTCCTTTATAGAAAACACAACACACATCGCAGAACTTCCTTTTTTAGAAAAACAATCACAAAATCCCATCACAAATTATTAAATAATTTAAAATATTTTTGGCAAAAATTTTTACAATTTTGACATTTCAAATTTTTGTTTTTGTTTCTTTTCTTTATCAAGCAAAAAGTATACATATTATATGCCAGTATTAAAATAGTACAAACTTCATGCATACTATTTTATAGAAATAAGGAGATAATATAAAAAAGTATTTAATATCAATATCTAATTATTAACAATATTATTTTAATAGTTATTTATTATCTAAATAATTTGGAAAATTATTATTGTAATGTTTTAATATTTTTTTAGTTGCCGTAAAAAATAATAATTGCCGTTGCCGTAAAAAATAATAATTTGACAATCCATATAGTACAAGAGCCTATGAACCCCAGACCTTTGTTATTTATAACGGACTTAAAAAAAAGGAAAAGTTATATACCTATAAGGTTTTTTTGTGTTCCTTCAGGGATGACTTCGTCGTTTTTTAACGTATTTTGATGATTCTTTTTTAACCGACTTTAAAAAAGGAGTATCAGTTTGATCTAAATGTATAAACATATGTTACAGCCAAAGTGATTAATTTGATATTATTCGTAATGACTAGTAATTAATCAATTAATGACTAGCTATTATGAATAACATCTTCGAAAACTTGGATAAAGTAAATCAGCAAATGGAAATGAACAGGGCTGACGTCTGCACAAAATTTTGAATTTATCGTCATGGGTGTCGTTTTCATGGTTTTCGAGGGTGATAAAGCCGATGGTCCTGTCAAATTGTAAATCCAAGATGGCGTGCGCACAAAATTTTTCAATTTATCGTCATGGGTGTCCTTTTCATGGTTTTCGAGGGTGATAAAACCGATGGTGTTGTTAAAATGTAAATCCAAGATGGCGTCTGCACAAAATTTTGAATGTATCGTCATGGGTGTCGTTCTCATGGTTTTCGAGGGTGATAAAGCCGATGGTGCTGTCAAAAAGCAAATCCAAGATGGCGGCTGTACGAAATTTTCAATTTATCGTCATGGGTGTCGTTTTCATGGTTTTCGAGGGTGGTGAAAATGATGGTGCTGTCAAATTGTAAATCAGAGATGATGACTGAACGAAATAGAGTTAGTGCATTTATCGAGAAAGATTAAGTATGTGTGTGTGATAGAGAGACAGAAAGAATGCGTGCAACCTATTTTATAGATTTTCTATGAAAATTGAGTATTTCCATATAATATTAGTTTTTATATTATAAAAACGGTGGCCTAGACCTGAGGTTCACAGGCTCTTAGGTTAATGCTTTTGGATGCAGAAACCTGACGCAGTCACTTCATAGAGTTTAGTTTGTCATCCATCACTTAATATCTTTTTAATCTCTATTATTAGTAAAGAGGCTGTCATCTTTGATCGATTATGCCAGCATAACTGTCATTTGATCTAAGTTTAAGGAATTATTTTGTAAAAATTGCAATATAGTATTAAATAAATGTGTATAATGTTATTTTACTATTTCCAAAAAATATTATTTTAAGCCTAAATTTTAAAATAATGTTGCAACCTTGCTTGGAACTGTGTGCCCACTGAAAATATTAGTTTTGACAACATTTAATTTCAGGTTCGAAAACTAGATGTAGTTGACGGTCCGATTTTTTAAGCTGTCAATGGCTCTAAGTGTGACGGCCCTGGTACCATTAATTGACATTGACATTTATGTATTATAATCTGATTATTTTGAGGTTATGTTGTTTGTTGTGGTTGTTTAGCTAGTGCTAGTAGTTACAGTTATTACGCTTACACATTTGAAAATGCCATTACCATGGAATTCCGCAACAGTTTTACCACCCCCTGTAACTATGTTTTTATGTGTTACTAAATTTGGTAAGTAGTTTGCTTCCGCAAAACAACAAATTTGATGATGATGAATACGACGTTATTCATCGAATTTTGGGAAGAGTGCTTATTTAACTTCTCTTTTACAGATTTGCCTGCATTAAAACAAATAACTAACAATATTATCAAAGTTTTATCAAAGCAGTCACCTCTACACAAAGAAAGTGCCATTTGTTCAAGATTTTTGTATAAATATGACAAGAAATTTCGCAATGATATAGGTTATAGGAATTTGAGAAAGGTAAATACAGCTCTGAGGAAATACTTAGCCTTAAACCTTTTGAAAGAAATAGAAAACTTTTCATCAGCTCTCCCAACTGCTGGAGATGATGATGACCTTTACTTACCTTCCAGGCAAATGTTACAATATGTGTTACTAAGAATAATGGCATTTGCTAAAATAATGGTGCGGATATCCACCTGTTCAAAACAAGCAGCAGTATTCTATTTAGATAGAATAAAAAGGGCAGAGAGTCACTGGATGAGTTTACTTCCTTATGCACTATTGAGTAGATTGTGGTCTATGAGTATGGTGCTTCTCCAACACAGTACCGTCTGGTATTCAAACTTATACCCATATTTAAATAAATTGCAAATGAAAGGACTGGATTTCCTGCCTAACAATTATGAATTACCAGAAGACTTGGACCAGTGGTTAGACTTGAAGCATATTGATGAGTTTGGCAAATTTGATTGGGCTCAGAAGAAAGACATTAACATTGATAACACATTGAATGATGATGATAATGATTTGTTAGATAATATACTAGATTATGTAAACCAAAATGATGATAATGAAATTGAATCCCAACATGAGGAGGAAATTAAGCCAATATCTGTAAAAACTGAAGAGGCCCCAATTGCGGTGCCAAATATAACAGAAATAGATCATGGTGTTGCACTATCTAGAGAAAGTTTTAAACTGCTCCTAAACACTAGTAAAAATGGTAAACAAGATCAAGTGCCACCACCTAAGAAAGAGAGACAGCATTCCTATAAAACAGTAACTAATTCTACTTCACTGAAAAAATTTATTGAAGTAGAAGAAAATTTTAGGAATGAATCTGACAGTAAGTCACTAACAAGTCATTTGAGCCTGATGCAGTGGCATGCTCTTAAAAACACTTTACTCAAATTATGTGACACTCCTACCAACAGGAAGATAGATAAGAAATTCCATAAAATATGGAAACAAAAATGTTTAGATTACATGTAATAAAAGCTTTTATTAATAATATTTGAGTTTTATATTGTTTAAATAATAATATTTACAGATACAACAATTGTTACAGCACCATTTTTAGATGAACAATTATGCACACAATCAGGCATTTAAATTAACATAATGCATTAAAAAACAGTATATCAGGTACAATATATGTGCATGAATATAACTTGATATTCTCAATGATACAAATCTCAGTTTTTGTAGGGAGCCTTCCCAACAAGCCATTCTCTGATGATCATCATTTTATAATTACACAAAACCCTTAAATAGGATTATGTGTTATAATTGTGGTGAAAAAAATATGATGGCTATGATTAAAATATTAGGCCTTGGTTCAACCCATGTTCCATACAGAAAACAATATATTAATTACAAAAATAAACAGTTTACAAAAGGAATGTATCTACACGATATTGTCACATAATATTTACGCGAGTGTTCCTCAAAAGGATAGGCACAGATGCGTAGACGCACACATAATGCATGGAGCAGTAATTATTTCTCATCAGGAATGCAATAATTATATGGAATGTTATGTGTGAATGTACTTTAAAGTAAGAGTGAGTACACTATTTGTGCATGAAATAAGGGCGACAATTAGTTCTTCTGTTGTCTGTTAGTATTATTTCCTTGAACTAGATAATTTCTGCAGTCGCGCTTTGAGACCACCTTCCTTCTTAGGCTGAGTCTGTGGTTTTCTTTCTTCTTGCAGTTTCTTTGCTTCTTTTAACCTGAAAAGAAATAAAATAATTTCTTAAAAAGAAGTCCCCTGCATGTATGTATAAAAGTGATAAATTCAAAGCTTTGGACAATTATGAAAATATTCTTACTTTTCTTTTATTGCAATTTGTTCTTCTTTTTTATAAATATCTTTGAAATCACTACAAAATGAGGTCCAGAGTGAAAAAAATTCTTTTGGTTCACAGTCTTCCAGTTTGCCGCATTTAGGAGTATACTGGTAAAACTTAACAGTTGCAATGAATTTCATTCGGCACTCGTCTAAGTTTTCATTTTCAGTCTTAAGTTTCTCTTCAGCAGCATTCAGGAATGTGGTCATCTTATCTTGGAACACCTCTAGTTTTCTCTTTCCCTCATCGGTTGGAGAGTCTTCATTGAGATTGCGTCTGTCAGCATCATTCTCTATTACTTTTTTCATTTTATCTTTACATGCTGTAACGAAAACATTATGACCATATCAATCACAATTTGAACAAAACAATGTAGAATATTTATAGCTCACTGTATCAGATAAGGTGATTTTTTTAGATAACGTCTATATTAAATATTACATTCCAATAAACAATTGGTATTGTATTGATACAACGTTGCTTACCATCAAGTTGCTTCCTGAGGGTGGAAAGATGCGTGGCTACATCAGCGAAGTCCAGCGTGGCGGCGCGCGCGACGTCTCCCGGCTCGGGCACGGGCAGCACGCACCCGTCTGACAGCGCGCCGCCACACGACCGCATGTACGTACGCACTATGAAGTGGAGTAGCGTCACGTTTGACTGCTTCGACTGGAAACATAATGATAATGTACTGATTTGTTATAGCATCTTTTTACAACGACCACAATATGCAGTGAATATAGGAGCACGGTGTTGTACTAGTCTTACTAAAAGGGTAGGGTCACTGGCCAAATTTCTTTTCTGTTCTTATCTTAAGTAACTTAATTTGTAAAATATGACTAATTGAGAAATAACCTGAAAGAAAAGTTTATAACAGTTTCTGTTTTTACTTACTTTTACATCTTTTAATTTTGCAAGAATTTCCAGACCAAAGCCATCAGCTTGCCCCCTTTGACCATTACCACCATTCATATAGTTGCCTAAAGTCAGTATAATAGCAAATAATTTCTTCAGAGATTCACTGGTTGTTAGAAACTGCAAAACAAATAAGTTTCTTTTATTAATTTATCTTATTTAGTAAATTAATAGCAAAATATTTCCTTCTCTATGTGAGAATTGTTTGTACCATATGGGTTCAAAATTAGGTACTTTAAAAATGGCTCACCTCGCAAGTATGTTTCAAATTATCTAGTTTGTGCATCATTGTGCTGACAGCATCTTCAAACTCAGCTTGGAACATAAAACAAGATATTCGCTCAGCAAAGTTCGGTATTCCAGACAGATCGTGTAGAAATGCTTCAGGTCTGTCTAGCGGTATCTCTGGTTTGTGATTTAGGTGCTCTTTTATTAACGACAGTTCCTCTTCACTAGCACGCTAAAATTAATAAAACCAGAATTAAATCAATAGCTATGTAAGATACAAGCTTTTTAGTAGTAACAAGAATATGGTGCATAGATATACTAACCAGTTCGTATATCTGATGCAACGCCTCTAAACTGACTACTGACGTATCGAAATTGTAAATGGCATTCTCAATCTCTAAGAACTCGACATGTAAACTTTGTGCTAGAATGCCTACGTTTTGCGATCTCTTACTGTCCAATATCTTAACAGGTTGGATCTTTGTCTTGACTTCGACTTTCTTCTTGACAGGCGCCTTTACGACTTGTCTAGAGAACAGATCAGTAAATTCGTCAATATTGTCTAACTTAGTTTCTTCTATTTCCAACCATAAAGGTTTAAAATTGCCTGAGACTGTCTCTCCCTGGCTGGTAGGAGCAGGCGCAGTGGCGAGAATTCGCGTCCAATACAATGGTTTCATTGGAGCGGCAGGTTTAACTGGGGTCTTTCTTAACGCTACAAATAAGAAGAAGCTGTTAGTCACAATCTTAAAAAGACAAGTGTTGACACTCATATTCTTTATCTCACTATAGAGCTACAGAATTAAGATAAGCTTTACATTATTCACTCAGAAAAGTAATTAATACCAAGCCTAATAAGAACATTAGATACAAGAGCTTTAAATTCTATAAAGTATCGTACTTACTGGCTCTTTGAACATTCCATCCTCCAGCAGGTGGTGCTGGAAAGGGTACAGGCCCGCTAGACAGTGGTGGAGGGGGTGGGGGTCCTGGCATAGCAGGGGCTAAAGGAGCATCCATACCTGGCAAAGGAGGTGGGGGAGGACCCATTCCTGGTAGAGGAGGTGGTGGTGGACCCATGCCAGGCATAGGAGGAGGTGGTGGACCCATGCCAGGCATAGGAGGAGGTGGTGGGCCCATTCCGGGCATAGGTGGAGGTGGGGGACCCATTCCGGGCATTGGAGGAGGTGGCGGGCCCATTCCAGGCATCGGGGGAGGCGGTGGGCCCATTCCGGGCATTGGGGGCGGTGGTGGGCCCATTCCGGGCATTGGGGGAGGCGGTGGGTCCATTCCAGGCATTGGGGGAGGCGGTGGGCCCATCTCATGCATAGGAGGTGGTAGGGCCATCCCAGGTATTGGTGGAGGTGGTGGGGCTATCCCAGGTACTGGTGTAGGTGGTGGGCCCATTTCGGGCATGGGAGGAGGTGGTGGACCTACCGCAAGCATAGGTGGCTGTAACGGCGTCGTACTAGGAATTTCCGGTGGATATTGTACTGTAACAGGCATTGTTTCAATTGCTGGTTGTGGTGGTACAGAGGTTGAAGTTTGAGCTGTCATAGAAGGAATTTTGTCTTGCAAGGAATTTGAAAATATGTCATTGTCACTATACTGGTCAAACTTAAGTGATGCTTCTTCATCTGCTGGTGGTGTTCCTGGCATGGGGGGTGGGGGAGGTGGCATTCCTGGCGATGGAGGAGGTTGGAAGGGTACAATTTGACTAGTATGTTTTGCTTCTACTGGAGTGACTTGGCCTACCACAGACACCCCTTTCGTTGGTATCGAGTCCGCAGATACCATGAGGTCTGGAGACCTGTCAGATATTGATAAACATGTTTTAACATCCATTTCAGCTATACTGCTCACGTTTTCATGGTCCAAGGATATATTACTTGAAAGTTCCAGTGACGACTGACTATTTGATGCTTGTTGCATTTTATTAACTGTTGTATACAGCACTTGGGTCTGTGGAGGATGAACATTATTTTCAGAGACATTGGGTTCTCCTTGGCTATCTACCTCAATGAAACTTTTAGCACTGTACGTAATTAACTCAGTAGATGTATAGGTGCTGAGGAATGAGGCATCTGAAGAACAAGCACTGGTTTGGTCAACATTTTGAAGGAACTGATTCTTCTTTGTATCTTCGGCAGTGTTAAGTTCTGTTGAATCATCTTTACGATATGTTTTATTACAATCTCTACTTTTATTCAACTTACAATAATTTACAATTTTTTCAGATCTGACATCAGGTTTATTTGTAATAGCTGTCTCACTTTTATGTTCTAAACTACTTAAATCTAATGTTTTATCAATATTTACATTTGTTCTTAGAGGGTCATATTCAGGTATGTTTATCACAGGTTTATTTGATATCTTATTTAGTTCATTGGCAAAATTTGATGTTTGCACTTCTTTACTTGTTAATTCAGATTTGGTTTTTAATAGATTATATTCATTGATGGAATCAAGCCTTTTCTCCAAATTTTTATTAAGTGATTCAATCTGTGAGTTTATTCGATATTTTTCTAATTGATATTCTAGCTCTTGGAGCTTCTTCTTCAGTTGAGATATAACTACTTTAGCTTCATCAATATCACTTATTTCTTCATTGTTGTTTTGGGTAAAGAATTTGTTGTTTTCTAGGTCTCGCTGGTTGTCCTGTGTGAGGAAGACTGCATCTTTGTCGGGTGGCCAGACCGAGGTGTGCAGTCTGCCCGGTGTGACTGGTTGTAGTGTCGGCACCTCCATGTGTGCCCAGTAGTACATTAAATTTGGCTGAAACGATAGGGGAATAAAATTGATTAAATATGAAAACTACAAAATAATGTAATGGATATTAGTCACTTTTTGTTTGTTTGTTAAATGCACAACTTTTGGATATGTGTTAACTTAAAAAATACTTAGGTTATTATTTTTGTATTTCACAATGTGTTCAATTATGTCAAAAATATACACCATTTTGCTATCTAACAATATTTAAACATATTTTAGATAACA